TGATAATTTGTCTGCGTCGCGTCACGAAGTCTTCCTTGAATCACAGAAGTATGGCCTTTGGTTGTTTATTTTAAATATTGTAGGTTTTTGCTGTATCGCACTAAGCCCTCCGTAAAAATTTGAAGTAGTAGATTGTGATGTGATTTTATTGCGGTCCCGCTGATTTTAGCTGTTCTTTTTTTAGTACTGTTTCTAGATCATTGTTGGATTTATTGCACGTTTGGGTGGATTTGTCATAACTTACCCCGTTTATGACAAATTCACACAATGATCCAATCGAAAATCGGGGTAAAGTTGGCTATGGCAAGTCAGTAGGATATATTCCACCTAAAGAATGAATTTCACAGAATTTACCCCGTTTTTCTAGAATTCGCTGATCAAATGGAAAATCTGAGTAAAGATGGCATTTGGGAACTTAGCGTGTTGGCCACTTGCGGATGAATTCTTAGAATTTATCCCGTTTTTCTAGAATTCGTTGAAAAAAATGGAAAATCGGGTTAAAGATTGGATATGGTAACTTCGGGTATTATTCACTTGTAACATGAATGCTCAGAATTTACCCCGTTTTCTCGAATTCACTGATCAAATGGTAAATCGGGGTAAAGATGGCATATGGGAACTTAACGTGTTAGCCACTTGCCGATGAATTCGCAGAATTAATCCCGTTTCTCTAGAATTCATTGAAAAAAAATGGAAAATCGGGTTGAAGATTGGATATGGCAACTTGGGATCTATTCAAATTGGAGCATGAATTCTTAGATTTTACCCTGTTTTCTAGAATTTGTTGAAAAAAAAGGAAAATCGGGGTAAAGATTTTTTTTTTTAAATCTGACTGTCACAATATTTTTATTTATTTTTTTATTTATTTTTTAATACAAAAACAACTATATTACTTTAATTAAAGCTATATTACTTATATCACGGTTACAGAAAATAACTTACAGTACAGTTACATCTATAGCTACATTACTTACGTTTTTTGTTTTTAATAAATACGTACGTTACAGTGCAATACAATATTTAAAACAATACTGGTTGAAGAGCGACTAAACAAATAACTATATATTAAAAGAAAAGAAAAGAAAAAAACAAAAAAACGTTTACAGCCAGAGTGCACTACTCACAATTTATAGAAAAGAAGGTAGTTTAAAAGAAAACAAAAAAGTGCGGGAAAAAAGGATACAAACATCAAATTATATGTAAACAGAATTAAAGAAAACACCATCTGAAGCACAAGATTCTGGCAACAGGGATGAAAGCATGGAGTTTCTTTTTGCTCTCCAACGCATGACAAGCAGTCAGAGTGTTCCTCGTAACTGGTGAGATGACTTAGAATTGACTTTCCCAGGTTTTGCTTTCTGTCTCTCTCCCAAAAGATTGTACCATAGAGAAAGTACTGAAAACCCGAAGCCTGTAAAGTTTGAAGGCCAGTTACAAACTTCTGGTGAAACACAGCTTCTTCTTCCTCTCTGTCAGAAAACGACGATACCATGGTAAGGAGTCCATAATCCAGAACCTGATAATAACTCTTCAACAAATCATCAATACTTCTATGGTGAGCCACTTTCCTCAACCTTAGACTTCGATTATACATCTCCTTACGCACAGTTAGGCCAAACTCTGAAATGAAATTGTGCATATTCAGCAAAGATAACTTGGGGGGTGTTTCACAAAGGGGAAGTTCACACTGCTTTTCCTTGAACAAAACCATCTGGCCACCAAAAATGGATTTAACTACTAATTGCTCTCCACATTCTATCTCCACCTTGAACATTCTTCCAGGACGCACCTCTTTGATGACCCCTAGAATATTCAAGGGCTGAAAGGGATCCGGCTTTGAAAAATGCAACCCTTCTGAACGTGGATTTTGGAAGAGAACTTTGTCTCCCACCTTAAATTCCCGCTCTTTAGCCCTCTTAAGAGCCCGTTTGTGATTCTTTTGAATGGTGTGTTCTGTTGCTTCAAGGACATCCACCATCTTAGATTTGTATTCTTCACTCAAGTTGAAGAGGTATTTCGTGATGCTCTCTACCTGGAATTCTGCCTCTGAATCCACTGATTGAAGTGGGATATTGTTGTGACTGTGAGAAGGTGGAGAATGTGAATTTCCTTGCACTATCTTCTTAACAGCTGCTGACAGCTGCTTAGCTGAAACACCCAATGAGGACAATAATATGGTCTCAGAAGAAATTTGCAGGATGGCCTCTGTTATCTCTTCTAATTTAGATTTATCCATGGAAGTGCTTTCCCCATGTCTCTCAAGTTCAATGAAATCTTCTGATGAAAATTCATAATCCTCAAGGCAACCATCTTCAATACTTTCTGTCTACATACTATCATCTGGGATGATGTAGTCCACCAAGCAGGAAGGCTCACGGTTCTTCTATATTCGTTAGATTTTGGGGTACAGTGCTGTGATTTCTAACACAGTATCTTTAATGCAATTACTGATGGCAAAGGAGTTAATTAGTACTTCAATGATAAATGTAGAGCATGGCAATTAATGAAACAATCAATGTCTAACCATGAACTAGCTCTTTGTCAGTGACAAGTTCACAAAATTAATATTGGTGAAGGTTACTTCATACAACAATTACTGTAAACCACCATACCAAAAAACATGGTGACTGGTACATTCAACCAGAACTCTTTGTGCAAGAAAATACTGGAACCACTCATAAAAACAAGCAGTAAAGGTCTGAAAAATTTAAACCTTGCATACATAATGTTGTTGTTTTGTGAAATACTGCTTTCTACGAGTGCCTTAGCCTAAGAGTAATAGTAAAATGCACAGGTACCATCTTTGTCTGTGACTGAGTGGATTGAATCTATTGGGTGACCAGAAAAAATAGTAATATTGATACAAATAGGCTTAGGGTTTAGTATAGGTATGCTGTGGTTTAGTATAGGTATGCTGTGGTTTAGTATAGGTATGCTGTGGTTTAGTATAGGTATGCTGTGGTTTAGTTTTATCCTTATTTTAATTCTTTTACTTTTAATAGAGGCCAAATTGATGGTGACACATCATCTTATCATAACTTAGGCTAGGAGCTAAATTTTATCTTTCTTTACACAAAATGCATTTTTCATTCATATCATTAACAAAACCAAAGGAAAATGATGTTTATACCAAGGACAAAAATTAAGCACAACATATACCTTTTTATAACTAGTGCATAATTCGCCAAGAAAATGTTTAGAATAGAGCTTACCACCTCATCAGCACTTTTGTTTTCTTTACTTTGCTGCTGATTCTCATCCATGCCTGTATGAATGATATTAAGTAAGGGTGAAAGGATTGGTATTTTCTAAGCAAAGATAGCTGCAGAGAGTTTCTCCACTAATATACAGATCACCAAATGCTCACAATGAATGCCAACAAGACCAAGTTCTTGCTAACACATGTAGGAGCAATAATTGCTAATAGTAGGCAATAGTCTGTATTGAATTAAGTATTCATTTCTGCATGAATTAGTGTTTATTTCATTTTAATGTTTGTGACACATAGTTGAAAAAGTATGGATATTCCTTATAATATAATATTCCTTATAATTTGGTACAAGGGACTTTACTCTAAATTGATCAAAATAAAGAACGTGGCATATGTCAGCCACTGATTTAAATAGAAAAGCACTAATTATTAAGTGAAGAGTAATTTCGCTGCAATTCTGTCCCTTCTGGGTGAGCAAAGAGAATGATTTAATACATTGTAACCCAACTGTTACTTGTTGGAGAGCATTGGGAGACAGCACCCTATCCTTTATGAAAGAGACCAGATCTTCATCATACGAGTTAGCAGTTTGTGAGTTAACCTCCCAGGATATGTGATATTTGACATCAACCATACCAGAGGTTGAATTTTTGCGTAGTCCCATACATTTACAATGAATACATGTCTTCCACTGTATCCATAATAGCCATCATTGTAGGCACAATGAGATGGAGAAAATCACACATTTTTGGGCATTGAAACACCGAGATCTGCCCTGTTTTTCAATTATGTAACATCTAGTTTTACACGTCCCACGCAAAATAAAAAAATCAGCCCTCGACACTAAAGGATTCAATGAATCCAAGTTAGTAGTTACTCGCACGCTTCGCCATGCTGTCCGACATGAAATCTACAGTATTAAGCCCAAAACTTGAACGTGATCTTTGAAGAATGGTTGTAATATTTAAATTTAACAAAATACTAGCATAAAATGCAACCGAAACCTTACCTTCCTTTACTAGTTCCGACAAAAAAGCACAACTTCGATCACCAGCGCACTCCAAACCAATAAGGGAAGCTACGAGGCAATGTCAAATTCTCGTCTTCCTAACCTTTCCAACTTATCAAAGAAAATTTCACTGATACTTCGCGCTTAAAAACGCAACAAGAATATTAATCTTTCAACAATCCGAAGTGTCCCAAAAGGCATCAAGGATAGCCCATGAAACAAGAATAGCCCGTGAAATTCTCAAACTTCGAGCGCGGAAAACTTAACGATAGTCTCACAATTTTGCATTGCATCCCTCCTCTAGTTAGGAAGTGACACACAGAAGACACGTTCACAACGCGCCTTGATTGGAAGAAATAAAACCGCATTCTATTGGTTATTAGGTGTGAGGACATAACTACAACGGAAGACACAACTGCAACGCTACAATTTTACAGTTGTGTACTTAGTCGCCAAACTTTTAATTTGGAGTGAGGCTGAAGGTGACCATGTTGTGATAGAGACCAGTATCTAGTTAGCATGATAACAAAGTAACTAACATTTGAAGAGCAACAAGGATTGTATCATAACAAGGTCATTGCTCACTCCTGTTCAAAGGCTTGGCAACCAAGCACACAACTGTAAAAGACGACTATGCGTAACTCTGGCGATAACTAGGAGAGCGTTAAAGCGTTTCAGTACATTACCATGCATACATTATGAGCGCCAGAATTATTTTTAAGATGAACCTTCCGACAATCATAGCGATTGCTGAGTGAATCAAAACTTTCAGTCGTTAAAATGCGGCTGGTTCTCGCCTTATTCTCCATCGTTGTTGTTGGCATCGAAAACTCTTTTCAAAAGGTTTACAGTAACGCTGAGTATCTTGAAGACAAATGCACGGTACAATCAACTGATAATTACCACACGAGATTGGGTATTGACCTCGTTAACAAATTGCTTGTGATATATCCGATCTACAGGAATTACTGCAGAGTACTTAAACACAAGTTCTGTGTCATGGTTACTGTTATAAAAGAAACCCAAATTCGATCAGAATGCAGAATTCCCTTTACCGATGCTACATCAACAAGGAATACTATTTAAACTTTAGATCATCTTCCACTGCAAACATTTCACCTTTTAATTAAGTCACTTGAATTTTAAACCTACCATACACACCTCGAGGATGTTCAACAGCTTCACAAGGACATGCAATTTGCTCATTAGTCTAGAGAATGTTTTCCAGCCAATAAACCTGTGTTAATGACTTAGCTGCATGAACCAAGAACCTCACATAGATCAGTGAAGAAAAACATGCGAAGCACTAAGCCTACCCTGGGCGGAATTTCGTCGATTTGAGATCTGTTGGAACCCTCACAATTTTTCCCCAGGTACTAATGTCTGCGTAAATTGAAAAAAATATTACACCAGTAAGTTAGCTGTTACGAGTTACTGCTGTCTCTAATAGCCTTTCAGCCCTTTACTATTGACATTTCAATCCCCCAGCTCGTAAATTTCAGGAGCAATATCTCATAATTCCTAATTTACATATTTTTTTTCAGCCTGTAGAGCTGTTGTGATATGTCGTCCAAAGGAAATGTCGATATCTCTTCCCAAGGCCTTGCTTGCCACAGTTGCCCGAGAGGACTTCGGCCTGCTGGACTCTAACTGCGCAGCAACAGAAAATGCCACACACTTTGTTCTTACGACATCTCTGATTGGATGCGGCACATTTAATCGACACACTGAAAGCGATGTAATATACAGCAATAAGGTTCGACAAGTGTATTCTGAGACAGTGATCATAACACGGTCTCCAGAAATTCAGATTTCTTTCAGCTGCCATTATTCTAGACACGGCTTAGTGTCAACTGGTGCAATCCGTGGTAAGGACACAGAAGACACTTTTGAACCTGAAGATGATCGTTGTTGGAAAAACAGTTAACATTGGGTAGTAAAAGCAGCCTTTTTCAACCTTGGCTCCAAGTGGTTAGCTGCGCTGGGTTTCAAATCTTGACGTCCCACCAAATTTTCCTCTCTGCTTCCTAACCCTTTGCACCCTAATATCAGTATCCAAATTCTCCTTACTCAGGCTGTTCTTTATACATTTCCAAAGGTGCTGAGAAGAATTGAGAATTTGTTTAACAATCAGGAGTTTTTATAATGGGTGATTATTTCCTTTACTCTCATGGCCTTAAGGGGGCCGTCTAGTCAGATTTTTGCGAATTTTTGGTCATTAAACGACTTTTTGGTGTTCGCTTTAATGTGAGATGATTCTTCTTCATTTTCTTCCTCTTCTTCGCTGACGAGAATTTCAACGTCGGAATTTGTTCCCCCTTCGTGCGCGGCCAATTCAAAGATCTCGAATTCTCGATCAACATCTCGCAGCCTTCTCTGTCGCTCCCGTCGCCGAATTTCAGCCACTTCTTCTAGAGAAAAGCCGGGAAAGATGTCTTCTTCTTCATCGGAAGAACGCTAAGGAACATCAAATCTGCCAGAAGCCAATTAAAAAGCTAAACGCTATTTTCAAAAATTCGCTAAAAATCACACACTGAACGCAGAATGATCACTCTCGAGCCCAGGGTTATTTTGGCTCCTTATCCGCGGTATGGTCGCCAAATAATGACCTCTGAGAGAATCGAATTTTTATCCCAAAAATTGTGAGATTCCGGTTTAAACTGCGCATGTCAAAATTTTTTTAGTTATTGATTTCTGCGCGTACTCAAATAAGAGCGCACGGTCCGCTACGTCACCAGAAGAAGAGAAGAACTTAACTTACTTTTGTGTACGTAACTAATCGAAAGTGTAATTTATAAACCAGAAGAAAATACCGATACTTTTTCCAGATGGCTTCCGGTGCTTCTGGGAGTTTGGAAGTGAAAGAAAAAGGGATAAGTGATGGCCTTTTATGCAGCTTTTACGCTGTTTTCAGTTCCCGCGCCGGGTAAATCGATTCCAAGCTAGTAAGTTAGTAAAGATGGACTTTGAGCGAGCAGTTTCATCTTCTTTAAGAGAATCGGGCTGAGAGGAAATAAAAAAAGAACAAAGGAAAACTCTGGAAGCGATTGGTTTAGATCTGAGAGAAGTCCCCCTGCTTCCACTCCTGATTCAAAAGCTGCTGATTGTACAGGTGACTGCACTTGAGCCGGGATGACTATGAAACAGAGAAAAACAGCGGTGTTTTGAAACGCTTATAAAAACACCTATTTCGTCGCCCTTGACATACGTACACAACTTTCCTAACTTTTCCTTGATCTACTTAACAATGAAAAAATGCCAAACAAGTTTCTTTTGATACTGCTTTGGTATTTTCCTGTTTAATAAATTATCATTTGACCCTTTGAGATGTGCTTTGTTATTATTTCAAGTGAAAATAAAATTGTTTAACAACTATTCTACTATTTGCTTGTTCCAAAATAATTTTAGCAACCAAAAGTAAAAAATTGTTACTTGATGTGTTAAATTTTGCGACATTTTAAGACTGTTATTTGAACCTGAGTGCACAGAAAACTTTGAGTTTGCTTTAGCTTCTTTGTTTTACATGATTCAGTTTGCTAAATCAAGCTAGGGATTGGTTGTTTTTTATGAAGAGAAAAAAAAAACAAACAAATATAGAAGGTTCACATTTTGCAATTTTGTAAATTTGATGCATATCATTTTGCTGTTGTTATGTTTCAGCGTTAAAATTAATATCGTTACTTCACTAAAAAGAAAGACAAATTAAAAATGATATTTTAGGTGAAGTCTTATTTTTTAAATATTGCTTGTAATTACTTAAATGATAGCCACCTTATGATTGGAGTGTTCAATACCGAGGATGACAGTCATCACATAACCATATATCACACACACACGGGGAGCACTTGACTTCCATCCTCTTGTACAACAGTAGACTCTTAGTGGCCATGAAATCAAGCAAGTCAGGAGCTCAACCTATCTTTTCTTTGTAAAGCTGCTCCAACTGAAATCTTCAAGGGAAGACTTGGTACTATTCCTAGTTATATGTAAGACATAAAAGCCAGCAGTTCCAGGTTTCTGTACACATAGGCTTCTGCACTGTTCATCAATCTCCCCTAGATACTGAGATTTGGCACAAGCTTTGACACTTCAAGTAGGTCGCAACACAATAAGTTTTTCTTTTGCAGCCGGAAGGCTTGTCTGCGATGCAATCCATAGCATATATGCTTCATCCTTTTTCAATTCAGTATTTGCATGTTCTGTCAACTGAATATACTGTTCCAACTGAAATCTTCAAGGGAAGACTTGATACTATTCCTAGTTATATGTAAGACATAAAAGCCAGCAGTTCCAGGTTTCTGTACACATATGCTTCTGCACTGTTCATCAATCTCCCCTAGATACTGAGATTTGGCACAAGCTTTGACACTTCAAGTAGGTCGCAACACAATAAGTTTTGCTTTTGCAGCCGGAAGGCTTGTCTGCGATGCAATCCATAGCATATATGCTTCATCCTTTTTCAATTCAGTATTTACATGTTCTGTTAACTGAATATACTCCATATATTGGTAAATATTGTCATTTTGAATGAATTAAACTCTAATGTTTTCTGATCATAGTAAATTAGTAAAAATATATTGACATGGAATTTTGAATGATATACATGTATATTACAATTGTGAAAAAAAAATGCTTATCACAAGTCAGTTGTAAATGTAGCATCATATAAAACCTTCATACTTAAGGACGTTTAAATTAGTGTTAAAGAATAGGTGAGAGAAAAAGAGAATTGAATGTGTTGCAAGATTCATTGATAAATATGAAACGATTACCTTTGTGTTTCCATCAGAAGTGTCTGTGGAGTACCCGAGACGTGGATATAACGGATTTTTTGAGTGGTTTACATGCGGTAAAGCAGATAGTGAAACCGTGGCCTGAGAGGGGCTGGCTCTTACTTGGTGTAGAATACATAGTATACGTCGCACTATTGTTTTCATTGTTTTCTTATTCCCGGATGTGATGAAATTCTATTGTGACGTATACTGTGTGTGTCTTCTACAGCAGGTAAGAGCCGAAGGGCTCTGGATGGCGATAGACCTCATTTCTGTTTTCTTAAAAACAGAACCCTTTTCTTCGCCATTTCCTTGCAAATTTAGGCTTCTCGATTTCTTCTTTGATACTGAATACTATGCTATTCTGATGTCAAACCCTTTTATATTACTACATTTCCGTACGCTCGCACGACCGCTACAATTCCTTCTTTTCTGCTTTTTACTCAAAACAAATTAATATAATGATTTATTCCTACTTAAACGTCTTTGACAACAACAACAGCGCTCCATCGTTCCATGAACAGCTTCCCACCATTGTAACACGCAGCGGCTTTGGCTGGATGTTTTCTCACACATCGACTGACAGTTTACAAGTGAAAACAATTCAAATTTATCGTTATTAATGCTTTACTTTCGGCCCGATTGATCCCTTCCGTAAATCACACTTCCTGTGTGGATTCTATCGTTTTCACATCTTTCTCAATCAGTCGAAAAATTGAATTCATCGATTCTCCCAGAGGTCATCATTTGGCGACCATACCGCTGACAAGGAGCCAAAATGACCCTGGGCTCGAGATTGCGGAATGATGGGATGACCTTGAGCTCAAATGAAAGCTTAATTCATGCAGCTCACGATACTCAATACCCAGGAGAATAAGGTTTCTTAGCCGGAGCTGGAGATTACTTTCAACCTAGAAATCTCTTACAAGTTTACCAGATCAAACTGCAAGGTCAGCATGATTCACTACAAACTCAGCAACGTTCTCATTTGCGTTCTTCGTTTTCTCTTAGCATCTCCATCACATTCTTCAGCTCCTTTATTTCCTTCTCCTGGCTTTGAAGACTTCCCCACACTCTAATTAGCTCGTTTGACTAGAAAGGGGGAAACTTGATGGGGAAACTGTAGAGGTTGTTCGTTAAGCAATATACCAAAAAAAAATTCCGTCTAGTTCTCTAAATGATCCAAACAAATTCCCTGAGCACACTTTGAGAAAATGAAGAACGCAATAATGCTAAAATTAAGGCGTTAGAGGGGAAAATTGGAAGACTGGAAATACAAAAACAAATATTAAATTGTTTAAAAAAAACTCCTCAGATACCCTTTGACTCTATTCCATTGTTTGTTGAGTTAAAATAACCCTTACGTAAGTTTAGGGTGAACATGATTCGTTAGTGTGTTCATGCTGACCCTGCAGTTTGATCTGGTAAACTTGTGAGAGATTACTAGGTGGAAAGAAACCTCCAGCTCCATTTACGACGACCTTGGTAAAGCGATTGGTAACTAAAAAAATAAATTATTTATCGACGATATTAGTGCGGAAATATTGGTTCACGTAATTACATTTTTGAAGAAACGCGGACAGGAACGTTTTCCGAGAATTGAAACTGAAAGGGGCTAATTATGCAGATGAGTCAATACCTGCACTATATTTATTCATAATTGATGAGGATAAAGATTTTAGAAAAATTATTTCGCATTTTCAGTTCATTTCATGGGATAATTAGAATGTGTTCAAGCACTTCAAGTAACCCTCAACATTGGGGAGCGAGTCAGGCCAGTTTTCTAAGTGATCGATCAGCAGACAGTGCTTTTCCACGAGTCGTGGAAATCCAAAGGCGGGAGGGGGAAATAAAGGCGCTGAAGGATGAGATAAAGAAGCTAAGAGAAGATAAAGCACTCAATCATGCTGAAATTAAGGTTTTAGAGGGGAAAATTAAAGGACTGGAAACAGAAATACAAATACTGAAAGAGCAGTTGAATCTCCAGAGCCGTGAATTGGATTTGGTCAAGAAAAGAGTTGACACTCTAGAAGAAGTGCAAGTCTCTCTGCTCGTGGCAACAATGTGTGATGAGATACAAAATATGATGTTCAAAAGAATATTCCCTCAAAGATTTAACCCGAACGTGCAACGAAAGGTGAAAGACATCAAAGATATGTTAAAAAAATCGGGAGACAGAGAAAACCGTGAGTGGGCGACACTACAAAGGGAGCTGAATTGGAAGTACTGCCACTTAGATGCCGTGAGGTCACTTAAAAGAGTCCGAAATAAGCGCGCTCATCCCGTGGCAAAGCTGACAGAGGAAGCTCTTAGGCTCTCCGTCCAAAAGATGACCGAAGAACACTTCTTTGAAGAAGATGACAATTGGCTGTCTGTTGAAGTCGTCGACGAATTGATCACCATGTGGAAACACTTAAAGGAGAAACAATAGTCTTAAATTCAAGTCTCTTTTAAAACTGCACAAGCGTGTGGCCATATCTACAGGCCTTAACCTGGATATATTACAACGATACACGAAAAAATATGAAAAATCACCAATGCAATCTCAATCTTTTTGTAACAAATAGCCAAATTCACTGCTACGGTTCCAGAAAGAACATTAATTATTGAACGCATTAGTGTCGTACACAAGCAATTTAGAATTCTCTACCAAAATTTTTGAAGTCTCTTCCTGTTTCAGTCCCTTGTTCGTTAAATCTTCTTAGCTTTAGGACGAAAATACAGGAACTTTTACTAAAATAATCACTGAATTGGCCAAGCCGCACATTTCTACAGGACTTATTTGTTTTTTAATACCTTTTGTGAGTCAGCCGACTTAAATTTTTATTGCTGTAAAAATTTTTGTATGTAATGCTAATAAGGCAAATAAATGATGATGGTTATAGATAAAAGAAAGTGATTTAATCTAGATTTCCGACATTTCATACACAAACCCTGAGCAGACAAAGTCTTACTCGCTTTTACACATTTGAAAACAATGACATATTCAAACTTCAGATACTATTTCGGGAGATGAACGTCAAAAACAGCTGGCAGGATTTGCATACCTTCTCATTTTTTAGAGGATAAAACGACATAAATAAGATATATTTTCAGTCTGTCACTTTTGAACGTCTTATTAATCTTTTTACGTTCTCATCACCTTCGTTTTTCTCGAAGATTGAATCAGCTCGCGCGAAGAATCACTTCAGCACTTTGTTTAAAAATTAAACTTTGAGGGCGCCCTGGGAGTGTCTTAATGAGCGACAGAACCGGTCGGAACATTCTCGGTGAAAACCCGTTGTGACATGTCTTCACGACCAACGCTGTGATATATTTTTGGTTGTGTCATCGTATGTGGAGTGTTGCGTAGCAACAATCCGTGCCGAAGAAGCAAAGATTTGAAAATAATCTCAAGAGTGTCACACGAACTAACTTTTAATCAGTCGTTCCCTTCTCGACAGTTCAAAAGAAAGGCTACACCTTCAGTTCGTCATTTTTTTCTTTCTTGAGTATTTTTTAATATTGTCAACTTAATCTTCCCTCAAAACAGAGGGTAATTAATTATGCGTAACTCTGGCGACAAATAGAAAAGCACTGAGGCGTTTCATTATTTTACCATGCATACATTATGAGCACCAGAATTATATTAAAATGAACCTTTCGGCAATCATAGCGATTGCTGAGTGTATCAAACCCTTCAGTCGTTAAAATGCGGCTGGTTCTCGCCTTATTCTCCATTGCTGTTATTGGCATCGGTAACTCTTTTCAAAAGGTTTACAGTGACGCTGAGTATCTTGAAGACAAATGTACGATACATTCAACTGATGATTACCATACGAGAGTGGATATTGATCGCAAGAAGTTTAACTCGAAAGGTATGCCACCTCGTTAACAAATTGCTTGTGATATATCCGATCGACAGGAATTACTGCATAGTAGTTAAACATAATATCAGTGTCATGGTTACTGATATAAAAGTAACCCAAACTCGATCAGAATACAGAATTCCCTTTACCGATGCTACATCAACAAAGGATTATATTTGCACTTTAGATCATCTTCCGCTGCAAACATTTCACCTTTGAATTAAGTCACTTGAATTTTAAACCTACCATCCACATATCAAGGATGTTCAACAGCTTCACATGGACATGCAATTTGCTTATGAGTCTAGAGAATGTTTTCCGGTAAATAAAACCTGATGTAATGACATAGCTGCATTAACCAAGAGACTCACATAAATCAGTGGAAAAGAACATCCGAAGCAGTAAGCCGACTCTGAGCGGAATTTCGTCGATTTGACATCTGTTGGGACACTCAGAATTATTTTTTCCCAAGTACTGATGTTCGCGTAAATGGAAAAAATATTACAACAGTAGGTTAGCTATTATGAGTTACTGCTGTCTGTAACAGCCTTTCAGCCCCTTTACTATTGACATTGCAATCCCCTTGCAATTAAATTTTAGGAATAGTATCCTATAATTCCTAATTTACATATTTTTTTCAGCCTGTGGAGCTGTTGTCATATGTCGTCCAAAGGAAATGTTGATATCTCTTCCCAAGGCCTTGCTAGCCAGAGTTGCCCGAGAGGACCTCCGCCTGCTGGACTCTAACTGCACAGCAACAGAAAGTACCACACACTTTGTTCTTACAACATCTCTGATTGGATGCGGCACATTTAATAGACACACTGACAGCAGTATAATATACAGCAATAAGGTTCGACAAGTGTACTCTGAGACTGCGATCATAACACGGTCTCCAGAAATTCAGATTTCTTTCAGCTGCCATTATGCTAGATACGGATTAGTGTCAACCGGTGCAATCCGTGGTAAGGACACAGAAGACAATTTTGAACCTGAAGATGATCGTTGTTGGAAAAACAGGTAACATTGGGCAGTAAAAGCAGTCTATGTTCGACCTTGGCTCCAAGTGGTTAGCTGCGATGGGTTTCAAATCTTGACGTCCCACCAAATTTAGGCACCCCTCTGCTTCTTAACCCTTTGCACCTTAACATCAATATCCAAATTCTCCCTACTCAGGCTGTTCTTTATACATTTCCAAAGGTGCTGAAAGAACTGAGAATTTGTTTAACAATCAAGAGTTTTTACAGTGGGTGATCGTTTCCTTTACTCTCATAGCCTTAATGTGTGATCCAGGGGTGATATTGTAGGAGAAATTAGATGCTGGTCAATCTTAGGGGTCATAGGAGGAAGGGGGGGATGGATAATGTGTATTTCCTATGTTTGTTTCTTTGTCTTTCACATGAAAATTCTTTCGGCAGCTCCTTTGCACTGCAAACAACTTTCTTTATCATTTTGGTGGAGGGGGAATCTTTTTCAATTGTTTCTTCAAAACAAGATAAGATGTTGCTTCAATTTTTTAGTAATTGCTGAAGATTCTGATTTCTTTGCAACATTCCTTTGAAAATTTAATCCGTGGTATATTAAACCTGATGATGAATGAAAAAAAATGACTATCATAAAAATATTGCCTTCACCCCGTATTGATGTCGTCGTCTCATAAAGAGACATCACTACAATTTCTGACTCTTAATTCTCTTATTCTTTCCTTTTTTCCCCCAGGTTTCTTTTGTATCGTCGTTTTCCATCGTGTCCTGTTGAATCTACTGACAGGACCATTGAAACAAGACTAAAGCCATGAATAACAACGTCAATAACAGAGGACACAGACGCGACAACAATGAAGAAAAGCCCGCACATGATCGTTCCTTACAATTCGATGTCCTGATGCAATCTATGAAATAAGTGCGTGAACATCGAAATATACTTAGGTGAAAAAATAATTAAGCAATAGTTGTTTAAGATAATCAGTCGACGAGCAACGCGGTAGTTTCTAAGTGGAACGTGTTAATAGCCAGAGTTTGTTCCTGTGTCATTGCCGTTTATTTGCTGTAGATAGGCCAGAAAGAAACGCCGAGCGAGTTAATCGTTTCCCCTAAACATCGGTAAGCATATGTTCCACACTGTTCTCTATACATTTCCTATCTGTCGAGAGCTCCTTCAGTTGGTGTTCATTTACTTTATTCTCGAGACCTTAATGTGTGATGCAGGGGTTACATTGTAAGGAGAAATTAAGTTCTAGTCACTCTTAATGATCAAAAGGTTGAAGTATCTTTGAATCGAACACGTTACACTTCATCCACGTAATGTCATGGTCCGAAGACCAACATTTTCCGCGTTCACATTATGTAAATAACTCCAAGATAATAAAAGAAATAAATAAACAAAGTTTCCCTTTGTCCACAATTAAAATAATTTAACTTGAAAGCGGAAAATCTAATCTCGTCGCCAAAAAAATACATTCCCAGCAAAGAGATGAGGTGAGTTTGACTTTTGGTCCTGAAAATGTACGACAAACTAGTCATACTAGTGCTACTACAAGTTTGCTTCGCGCCAGTGAGATGTCGCCAAGGAATCTCTTCTTATGATAAACCACAGCAAGCCATGCGCGGAGGAAAAACGGGGAATGAAATAAGAGAAGAAACTTCACGAGACTCCCTTATAACAGGTACGAACGAGCTCCCAGATTGACAGATTGAAGACAGTTTTGAAAATTAGATACGATAATTTTTTTCACTCTTTCCTCCATAGACGAGTTGGTATATAACTAGTTTGAATATCAATGTTCTTTCTCCTGTGCTTCTGGCCATAACTTGGACAAACATTTATAATTCCTGATACACTTGTGACACTCAATTTTACTAAGAGTGAGTTTGGCTGGTGTGGAGGAGAGCTTAATTCTAAACGTAATTTAAAGAGTTGGTAAATAGTTTTAATCAGCACTCATAAGGCGAGAAACTTTATTCATTTCTCACTTTTTATCTGTTGCAATGGCAACTGCCCAATGAAGCTTAACTCAACAGCCACTGTGATTATCAATGATCAAGTTTTTTCCCTTAACGAGCCGGAAAAGTAATCCTTGCTCCTGATATTTAAACATCACGTTATTATGTTTTCGTCGCATCACATTACGTTTGCCTGTTCTATCCATCTGTTGTGTTGCTGTCGATGTTGTCCGAAAACTCTACTAGATTCACTGTGTCTCTGAATTATCACTCATCCGTATGTCATATTCAAACAGGAGTTCATCGCACATATATTAGATAATTCATATTTTGACCGGTGGGTGATAAAAAATAGCAAAATGATCCTCAAGTGAACTGAAATTGACTGAGAAAATGCCGAAAAAGAGGAATGAAAATTCAGACTTAGAGGACCTTCGAATTCGAACCTTGTGGTGACTTGATTCTTTTCAGTCTTGTTATCTGCATTTACTTCAATTGCAATTTACCTGAAAGAGTCATTTAGTAATATTAATAGTATATATTGGGAAAATTTCTAGTTCACTAATGAATCCTCCATCATGGATCCTTAAATGGATGGATCAGTACAAATGCTCAGCTTTACTAGCTTTATTTTAACTTCAACAGAAGCTGATTCTTCGCTCCATTACTCAGATGATAGTAAATGATTGACTTTGGTTCATTTTTAACAGTTATGTGACTATTGAGTTATTAAGAGAAAAGGAAGCACATCTGAATCATTTTTTCCGAGGGAACTTCTTCGAAATATGGTATTATTCCTTGTGCAGAAAGATTGCTTGGCAAAACTTCTGAATAGTGTTATGACACTTCCTTTTCAGATGATGAAGTCTCTGTTGAGTGCTTACAGAATGACATGCTCATTGCTATTCCCAAGTCCGTGCTCCGTGGCACAGACCGTGAGCATATCAGAGCCCTGGACGTGAATTGCGGGGCAACCGACAATTTAACTCACTTTATCCTTGACGTTCCGCTGACCGGTTGCGGAACAAAGAGCAGGCACACAAACTCGTCAGTTATTTACAGCAATGAAGCTCTGCCTGTCCCGCCTGTAGCAGAGGACATCGTCTCTCACGTGCCCGATTTCCAGATTCCGTTTCATTGTTATTACGACAGTGAGGGACTGGTGTCAGGAGTTGGACTCATGCCACGAAGCGAGAAAGTTATTTTCTCCGAAAAAGGCTTCGGCAAATTCACTATGAGGCTAGAACTCTTCCCAGACCTCAGGTTTGAATGAGATAATGCAGACACCACACGATCTCAAGGAGTGCACTCCCGGGTTACAGCATTCCAAAGCAAAATGGTTTGCGCGGTTAAGCCGGCATCATTAGAAAAAACAAGCCAGGCGCTCTCATTCTTCGGAATATTGATTTGGGAAAATTATTTAATTCCTTTCAAACAAAATTTCTCAGTTTTTTTTATTCGCAAAAAGCCTCTCCTACTGAGTTTCCCTAGAAAATATTTCGGCAGTTTAAATGGAAAAAATGTCATAAAACACGATACTTTCGATATTGGCACTGATCCTAGCTGTAGATAGAATCTTTGTCATATATCGCCTGGCTAACAAACGAGCGAAAGGAAGCATTTTGAGGTCACTTTCTTTGTGCAACTCGAACTTGTCTCAGAATTCATAGGTTTGATTTCACCTCTAACATAAAGTCGGCTGTAAACTAGTACTGTGTTAGTTTAAGCTAAGCGCCGAAAGACTGAGAATTAAATCTGGACAATAGCGTCGTTCAGGAGATTGCTTACCTCCATCTCATTATTTTCTAGCCGATAAGTTATATAATGCATTGTAGTAAACCTTAATTTATCGTCATTTAATATACTCATGCCATCTTCTAGCCAGTAAGTAAGCAAATACCAACCTATTTCAAACCAATTACACTCTGTTTTAAGAGGAGAATAGTATTTCAACAGCTGCAAAACAAACTTAGCATTTGAAATTATGCTGATTTAGCTTTTCAATATCATTTCAGGTTTGTTGGCCCATATACTCAAGACGACTACCCCATTTCATTAAGACTGCGCCAAAAAATATTCTTTGAGGCATCTGTTGACACCATTGACCACAGGCTGACCATCCTCGCCAGGGAATGTTTTGCAACGCCCAGTCCCGACATTAACAGCTCACCCAAATATTGGATCATCAAGAATGGGTAACTTGAAAGCGTCCAGCTTATTAAATAATTTTTACATAATTCTCCTTGCAAAAATAATATAACACATGGATATAAGTTTCAAGGTGGTTTATGTCGTTATGAAAAGATTAGAAGGGAGCGTAGGAAATGAACACACTTGAATCCTTCAAATACGTAAGATTTAAGATCTTATTTGTTCTGTGTCTAACCTATATATATCATAACAATGCATACTAAATATTGCTTCGCTTCTTACTAGACCAAACAAACTAAATTTTCAGTAAATCTACATGACTAAGGAGAATTTTCAGTCAAATTGGGTTCAGTTCTTTTTCTTATTTTGTTTCGTCTCCAATTTGATTTCATCTTTTATTCACTTTTATGATAATAATTACTGTCTCACACCTTTTCTTTTTTTCACTCATAACAGCTGCAAAGTGGATGAGACACTCGAATATCACCCGGCCAATGAGAGATCTGAGCGCTTTAGTTTGGAAAGTTTCAAATTCATCGGAGAGCATCCATTCGTCTTTGTGCATTGCCATATAAGGGTTTGTAACCATTCGGATCCAGAATCCAAATGCGTACGCATCTGTGAAGATCGAAGGAAACGTGACGTTAATGTTGTGCCGGAGAGCGTCGATGACGTTTATCCTCTTGCCCAGGGCCCTATCACGTTAAGAAAGGAAGAACTCAAAGATGAAATGGCGACTAACACTATTAGAAATGGTGAGATATTTAAAAATGATCTCAGTAATAGCTTTGTTTGTATTGCACCTAAATTCTATTGTATTCGTTTGCGTCATCAGAAACAAAACAAAAATACTGAGCTTTATAATGGGTTAAAGGAATAAATTCTTTGGGGAGAAATCAGATAAACAAAAAAAACAAACAAACAAACAAAGAAGCAGGTAAAAGGCTTTGAAGAAAAATATTTACATGACTGAATCTTTTCGTTATCGTTTTTCTCAGGTCCATCTGCACTCGTTATTGCCACTGCGACTGTATTATTAGCACTGAGCGCGCTGGGTGCAGCGCTTCTCATAAGACACAAGAGGAAGTTGGTACATGAATACAAGACTCTTGTCCAAGAAATTCAAAGCTAAAAAAGTGTGATCATATTTGAATACAATGTTTTGATCATCTGTTTAATATACAATACATGAGAAAAAAGCCGCTTAAAAGCTTACCTTTTTTCCGACGAGAAAGATATTTATCGGTCAAGTAAGGTATGAAAAGCCAAAGGAATGACTATGAAAGATGTTACCTTTGAAAAGAAACTGAGCAGAATACGACAATTTGCTTTTCACAACTGGTAACAAAAAGATTAATAGCCGTGATCTTCAAATTTGTATGTTTACTTTTAACTTCTTAGGCAGATGGTACGAGTTTTTTTCCACTCTGGAAATAGCAACTGAGTCTGTTCTTGAGTCTGTTCGTTTTGTAAATAGGGATGTGATATCTACGACTATTTCTTAGATTAAAACTATCTTTATTTGGTTCTTGAAAAAAATCAGTTTAGTCCGTGGTCGAGATTGTTACTTATGTCCTGAAACATTTTGACCATTTGAGTCTGTCTGTATTTAAAAGGTGTCTCTAAATTATCTAGCCTCTCAATAGGTGACATGCAGGACGATGATTCTCACAGCGCGCTTCTGCATGCCTTCTAGTTCGTCTTACAGGTAGCTTTCAATTGGGTGTGAATTGTGAAAAACCGGAGAAGCGCACTCTATTCACATAGATGCATGCATCGAAGAGGTTATGAGTTCTTTAATCAGTTCCTTAGTTAGTAGCAACGTTTGCGCTCTTCAGTTGCTTGAGCCCTGATGCCTCTCGATAGACAAGCAGGAAGATAATCGTCACAGTACACTTCTACCCATTCCCACTTGCCGTCTTGTTTGACTCTTTGTTTGAGATATTTAAGAAATAGATGATCCAGTATAAAATACCATATGGGAAACCCAGGGCGATTACCTTTTCAACCCTGATGGTAGAGCCAGTTCCGTCCGTGTGCTTGGTCCAAAAATGAACCTAGCCGGGAGCCAATGGGCTCCTGACCTTGCTTAGTAAAGCATGCGCGGTAGAGAACTTGAGGATGGACCCAAATTGGTTACCACCAGGTGGTAATGATATGGGGCGTTAGCCTTTGTTGACGTTCTTCTCCGGCTTTGGTTTATAGGGATGGGCACTACATCGCCGTCCCTCCCTTTGAGGAGGGACGTCTATGGGCAAGTTAGGATGTCTGTCTGTCTGTCTGTCTGTCTATGAGCAAGTTAGAATGTCAGCGACCCACCAAAAGGTCGCTGTTATCTTTCAATAACCACGCTGAGATTACAGTCCAGGCCAGAGGCTTTCCTGGGGTTAAGCGACGAAAACTTTAAGCAGACTATATGAGTGGGGAACTTAAACAGTAGAACGGTTAGAGAGTGGTCCTATTGTTGAGGTTTGAGGTTGGTAAGTAGGGATCTGAAAGTACTCATTGACATGAAGGCCTTATATAATATTGGCCAAGTCCTATCTGTTGGGCGTCTCGGCCAGATTTTACAAGGTCCCATTTGTCTCTCGAAGCAGAAGACACGGCTTCGCTCCACCACAAAGACTGTTTACAGCCTTTTAAGTCAGTGACTTTGAACTCGTAATACTGCGCTCTCTATGCAGATCTAACACTCACGATGAACGCGATTCCTCAAGAAAATAAACACCGTAGAGGTTTCTTTGGGCAAGGGCCATTTGACGTCGTTTGATGAGATCTTTTAGGGTTGGATTGATTCATAGAGGCTCGCTTTACTGGATAGCAATGCGCACAAAATTTGTCTCATGAGACCCTCCCCCTTCCCCCCCCCACGTGACTCAGACAAACATCGCAGTCCGCCGTAACCGAATGTATGCCATAGAGCGTCAACATGTGAAGAAATAATGTAAAAAGTCGGGTAAATCGGAGTATATGCTTTCCCAAAAGGCAAAGAATGGTTATAACTAAGCATTGCTATTGGGGCGAGTGCAAAACTGACCCGAGGTATTCTCACAATTGGCCAAAATCGCTCTTGGAGCTGCAGTAATCGGGGAAGAAAGTCTTCACTCCGTTCCACAAACCGTCGCAAGACAATGAACATTGCAAGAGATGGATAGGGGCTTACTCGCTTCACCGAAAAGAATGTCACGAGGAATACTTACATTTGTGCTGTTCACTGGCCCGGTGAAAAAGGCCCCACTTCCGAAAATTCCGATCCTCTCAAGGCAAATCTTACGCCCGTGCAACTCTGTCACGTACGTCCTTAAAGAGAAAGGCACTGAAATCAAGATCAGAACCTTTACTAGGAAAGCGTAGCCAGTTGAGGAAAACTGTGGAGAAGAATTAAACGATTGTATGGCGATTGGCCAGTTAGAAGAATATTCAACTGATAGTACAACAAGTATTGAAAGAAATGATAGTAGTGATGTCCCTCATGTAAATAAGAACCCTATATAAAAGGAAATTTGGTTGTGGATCAAGGTTTGCAATTGCGAGTACACTCTTTCTTCTAAGGTGGATACTATGATATTGAGGAACGAAGTTGCCCTCTTGAAACCTCAGGCTCCCAAGATTGAGGGAGGCCTTGGGATTTTCGGTTTTGCGGTTTTGGCTATTTTTTAGATCGGTTTTTCGGTTTTGGTGTTCATTGCGGTTTGCGCATTTTCCGTTTTAGCTTTTGGTTTTCGGTTTTCGCGAAAAATACTAACGGGTTTTCGGATTTGATATCCGATGCGATTTTCGGTTTTTCCCTATTTGACCTATTTGAGTTCCGGTTTCTCTTCGATCTGAGCGGCAATTACGCGCCTCCACCAATCTCGAATAGCCGCTAAACGCAAATGTTATCGAGAGGAATGCGTGACAAACCAATTGAAATATCGCGGGGATCGCTAGGTAGCCTGCGTGTAGCCTTACCCTACCCCTTCCCTAAGGTGGGGGAAGGGGGAGAGGGGAGGGTACGGCTACACGTCGGGTACGGCTAAGCACGGAACGTTGCCAGAGTTTCTTTATCAACGCCACCTCGAAGTTGGTGACCAAGTTACAGGCTATACGTGACAGATTGACTCAACATTCCAGTAGAATCTCCAAACTTTCAGGTCTTAGTTCGCAAATGGAAATGTTACATTAGGTATTTTTCGATGAAACTTTCCAAAGCTACGGCTTTTTGCGACTGCAAAATTGCAATCCTGTCGAGGACTTTTGTGCGAATTTCCTTAATTTAACTAGGCTCCATTACCAGATGCTGAGTTCGTAGAGACCACGCTCGAGTTCCTTGAGAGAGCAGCTGTTAATTTAAGCAGATACTAGAAGATACGAATGCCAGGTCCATGGTATTTATAAATCCTTTCATGAAATTAGTGTAGTTTACTCTGTATGCTCCACTTGTCACCACTGTTTCGGATCGATCAGGGATTTAATAAATGGGATGTGAAAATGTATCTGTTTTGACAGTTTTACATGCGGTTTCCGGTTTTGATCGAATTTTTTTTTTCGGTTTTTCGGTTTTGGATGATTTTTTCTACGGTTTTGCAGTTTCTAATGGGCCCCAATGCCCCCCTCAAAATTGTAAGTAGTGTGTCTTACGAAAATATTCTGATAGATTCAACCCTTATGAAACATTTCGTTGGCCTGAAATCTTCGCAGTTTGAAGTTCTTCATAGTCTACTTGACGATGTTTCCCCTTTCGCAGCAAACCGTTTTCCTTCATCGATGCTTAGATCGAGAGTGTCATGATTTCCAGCCGTTATACATTCAGGAACGCGTTTGACAAGTTCATCACGTTTTCCGCTTAATTGACCCTGTACACTTCAGCCACCGCTTTAACTGATCAACAATGTAGTTCTCTGGTTCACTTTCAAATTTGGAGCTAGCAACGCCATCATCTTGCATTAGAACGGTCAGAGATCGAAGCGAAGTGCCGGTGAACGACATAATTTCTACTTGTAGAAATAGCACATTGAGTGGTTTGTTTGTCTGAGTTAAGTGGGGGGGTCTCAATTTTGATGACGCTATTGTTTTGGATTGTGAGGGATCACCATGACGCCATAAGGCACATACGTGTAAACTGCTATTAACAGCAGATTCTTAGTAAAGCGGTCACTCCTTCTCCTTACGCATCAGTCCTCATGTCGTCGCGTGACAGAGTCACGCTATCTTACTCCAGTCTGATCTCTGACTTCGGGCTAGATTGCACAATATAAGATGGCGACTCACGAAATTGCTATCCATGATCAAGTAAGGTCCCTTTGTATTAGCGGTGGGACGCATGGAAATGAACTCAATGGCGTTTACCTGGTTAAAAACTGGCTGAGAAATGGTTCTATCGAAATTCAAAGGAATTCTTTTCAAACTCATGCTATACTTGCGAATCCAAGGGCAACCAAGCGATGTGTGCGTTTCATTGATGTAGATCTCAACAGACAGATGAAATCAGAAAATCTGTTGTCGTCTGTGGAGAAGGAGGAGGAAAATTGTCCCTATGAAATACAGAGAGCCTGCGAACTGTATTCACGATTTCAAAACGAGGCCGGAAGAAAGGCGATAGATTTCTGGATCGATCTTCATAACACAACTGCAAATACTGGGCCCTTTTTTATAATGAGCGGATCTGCTGGTCCATTTCTGTTACACCTCGCAGCACAAATGCAGAAAGAGTTCCCTGAGCTACGCATTATGCTTCTGAAGGAGGGAAATTTTGAAGGGCAGCATTTTGAAGGGGATCAGCATGAAAACAGCAAAGAGGACCTCCTAGATGCCTCTAAATTTCCCACACAAGGTGTACATGGGTTAGGTGTGGAGGGCATAACTTTAGAAATGGGCCCACTAGCACATGGTACTTTGAACATGGCCATTTACAATTTGGCAAAGAAAATAGTTACGGGTGTGCTTGACCGTGTTGAGAAGTTTAATAATGGCCTTAAATTTGAGGAAAAGGAAATTGAAGTGTTCAGATCACTAGGCAACATCCATTTTCCTACTGATGCAGAAGGTGAACTTTCAGCCATGGTATCAGCGAATGTGGAAAGAAGTGATTGGAAACCACTGAATCCTGGTGACCCACTCTTCCTGTCATTTTCTGGTGAGACCATCCCTTTCACTGGAGATGATGTGGTGTGGCCAGTTTTTATAAACGAGGCTGCATATTTCCCAAACAACATAGCAATGACAATCACTGCAAAGGAAAAGATAACTGTTCCAGCACTGAAGTTGAAAACAAACTAAAATGAGACTGTTCCTTACTTTGTGAATTTACATAATATTAATCATATAGGTTGAGGACTGTGAGTTGGGAATTCATCATTAGGAAATTTATCTCGACCTAGTGATCAGTTTTGAATAATACCTTTCTGTTGATTGAAAAGAGATGCAAGTAAAACACTCGGTCAAATAGTCTACTAGTTGCTGAAGGTACATATGTGTTAACCCTTTCACTCTCAGAAGCGATTCACAGGTAACTTCTCCCTACAATATCCACCCACTATCTAGCAAACAGGTAATGAGAGCACTCAAATGTATCAGGTAGGAGTTGTTATCTTGATCTAACGCCAAATTCTTGCAACTAATTTGTAAGGTAATATGTAGCAGCCAGATGGGAGAGTTAACAATCAGATCCTGGGAGTTAAAGGGTTAACTACAATAGCACGTTCTATGAAGCTGAACATTTTGACTCTCAATGGCACAAAGTTAACTTAGTCTGCCTCTAATGCTAGATTCTTAGTAAAAGCCATGTGCTGTAGAATGTCTTCCACTAAAGGGTCTTGCAGAGATCCATCTACAGGCCTGTTTACCCTTTACCTCCAAGAGATAATTAGCATGTTGTTTCTCCCTATAATATCAATACGTTATCCAGAAATTTATGTAATATTCAGTTAATGAGAATACTCACACTTGTTAGGAAGAGGTTGTTTTCTTGATCTTACACCAAATTCCCATAACTATTGTGCAAGGAAATTTGTAGCAACTAGAAGGGAGAAATAAAGGGTTAAACAGGGTGTAAGAACCCAACAGTGCAACTTTCTAGCACTTGATACTGCAGTCTCAATGAAACATGTTGCAGATGATAGTCTAGAATAGTAGGCAGGTATTTTCAAAAGTGTTAAGGGCCTCCTCTTCCAAGGGGGGGCTGGGTTCCCCTAGGAAGTTTTATGATTGATGAATTTTTTGGATCAGGTTCCCTCTGTGGTCTACTGTCATGGCCCTCCTGCTGTTGTCTTTTGATACATACATACATAAGCTTTATTTATCCTCGAATTTCAGTGTAGCTTACAAGCTAGTATCTCCAATCCTAATTACTAATTTTAAAAGTTACAGCAAGAACAAGGCTAAAAAGAGAAAAAAATAATTCATAATATAATAATATAATAATCATTAATGTAATAATATAATGTAATATTAATGTAATATAAACTGAAACCGTGCACTAACAGTTTGCACTTAAATTCACTATAATCTACAGTCTTTCTAAAGTGGTCAGGTTTGTCAAGTGGTATTGTTTCAAATAGCACGGAAATTTACCAAGATGGAGACAGTTGAATATACAAATCATCATATTTTGTATCCTCCTGTTGGCTAAACCACACACACCTACCTTGTCTAAAAGATCATCATAGTTCGAGTCCCAGTCCTTTAAAACAAATCTTAAAATACGTCTATTTAAGGTGTCCAGTTTAACAGAGTCCTCTGAATTACAAAAGTGCCATATCATTGAACAGTAGTGAAAATGGGGTAACATAAACGTTTTATAAAAGCGAAGTTGGCATCCAGGCTTCTGGGATTTCAATTTCACTGTCCCTGTTGATGTTGCTTGGGTGAAGTCTTATTTGAATGTCCTCTATCACCCTGCAGTTACAAACCACAACCCGTTTTATAATATAGCTCACCATTATCTTTAGTAGCAATTTCTGTAATTGCAATTTTGTCAATAAGGTTTAATATAAGGACCCATGTGATCCAAAAACAAACCAAATAAGATCTTATATTCCATTGTTTATCCCACTTTGTAAATTTTATATGTAACAATTATTCACCAAAGCCAAAGTGAGTATTATTGAATAACTGTTGAGACAAAGTTGAGGGGATTACTAAGCAATGCTCACTGAGCCTGAGGTAAATAAATGTTTTAGGATGATTACTCTGGTGCTTTGTTGTTGAAATCATTCTGCAATGAAGGAAGCTTTGCTTTTACTTTGATATAATTATTTCATCAACTGAGTATCAAGATGAGAAACTTGTTTCCACTAGAATTTAGCAGATTTATTTACTTTAATCAGCAAAAGCTTCATATCTTATTTGAGGAAAGTGTCACACTAAACTTAGTCACTTCTTTTGTGCTCTTTGGAATTCAATTTTCTCCTTGGGAGTTCAACAAGGTGATTATGGCAAAATATGCCAATCCTTGATCAATCAAAGTGCAAGAACCTATATAATCACCTGAACAGTTAAACTAAAATCAGTTTTTAACATTTATCCAATGATGATACCGTAGAACCCCACTCACTCAAACTCCCAAGGGAAAAACAAGGTTCCAGGTAACAAGGGTCAGTAAATGACTGCGAAAGTGGGTCAAATCCAAGGGAAATCAGATCTTGTTTAAGTTAACAGGGGGTTCGAGTTAATCAGGTTAGAGGTAGCAAAGTTCTAATATAGAATATCCACTTACTCACTAAACTCATGAATTACCCTAAAAGCAATTTCTTTGCTGTTCATTAAGAAACAATACATTCTCAAATTGAAAAAGCATCCACTTACAAATTCTTTATTTCCAATGAAAGATATATTCAGTTGTATCTGATATCATTACTTAAGGTATTTCATATGCCAACTCCTCAACATATAATTCTCACAGAGTTTGGAGTTGTTATAGTCTGACTCTTGGCATAACCTTTTTTTTTTTGGTAGGATCAGAAGGATGATCACTACAACAAAAATTCTGTTTCGCAGAAATCATAACAAAATATTTACAACACTCTCTGTGCCTCAGTATCGCCAATTACTAAAAAGTGTATTAGTCAAACACGCACATAGATTCTTCGTGAAACGGTAAAATTTCCGCACAGCTCCATACTACTGTAAAACAAATCTCTTTTCCCAGTGGAAATGTATTTTTTTTGTCATTGTTTTCTCTATCCAAGAACTGAATGCATAATGTAGTATGGGGCTGTGCGGAAATTTTACCCATGAAACTACAGATGATCTACGGTACAGACTTGATTATACCTGGCCGAAATGTACCCTGGATACACGAGCACAGCACAGTCTTATTTGGAGTTGGCAGTGTTTTTACTGTAATTGTAAGGATAAATGAGACAAAAATCGTGACCTCAAGCTCTCGAAGTTACTTATCGTTCACCAATAATGATAACAAATGTCAACTGGTTGTCTTGATGATCAGATGAAGATTGTAGTCTGCAAATGAAGTGATCGGGTCTTCGATGTCATCACGTATCCCTCTCTAAATTCACCACTAATTGCATCCAGAGCAGGTCGATCATAGATAGTACATCTCTTAAAATTTCCAGATTCATTGTAGAAGCAAATATGAAAGTATTAAGATAAAAGTTCCACGTGCTGTTCCACTTGAAAATAAACACTGTTCATCAACCTTGTTTCTGCTTGTGAGTTTTGTTCACTTTACAGATGACTCTTAGAACTCCTTTCCTCTTGACAAACCTGCATCCAGAACACATAAGCTTTAGGGCAGTACGTACTTTATAATTTCGAACCACCATCAGGGTGTAAGCCACACCATGTTGTCGAAAACTGTTCAAAATTCCTCTTGGTATCGAATACATTCTGAGTTTCTTGTGAAAATATGGCGGATTCGACCTGACTCAGTAGCCAGGTAGTCAGTTTCAGTCCTTTTGACCGCGCGTGACGAGACAAGGCGAACAAACAAACGACGAAAAATTAACATGTAATTTAAAATAATTATTGTTATCGTGTATTATTTAACCCTCTATTTTTATGATCAAGGAGAGTTTGAATTTTTTGCATCAAGTACTCTGCGAATTCTAGGACCTCGCAACTTGCGTTTTTTTTTTCTCAAGGAGGAGAACCTAAAAGATCAATTCTTTTGAGTTCATCGGCAAAGGACAATGATCATAGGCGAGGTTTTGTAAAAAAGATAAAAAGTATGCACTGCATAACGACACGCAAGAAGGGACGAGAATGATAGTTAAGAATTTTGTTTTAATAACGGTTAATTATTATCGATTACGCAGTTATGTCACGAAGCTAATTGCATTTCTAAAATCATAATTATCACTTTTAGCCGGAATCCAGTCAAATCAAAACATTTTCTTTTCAATCGGTATTCCCGATCGATTTTTAACAAAATGCAAAACGAAGGCAGTGAACCTGCAACGGACGGTCATGTCGATCCTGATGTGGGGAACAATTCTAAAAATGATGATATTACCGGAAACGACGGTGAAGCGGTTGAAACAGAGTAAGATCCTTTCAAGAATGAAAATTAATTGTAGACAAGGCGAATTGCAGAGTAGTCCAGAAAAATTAACACCAACGAAACTATTACGAGGGACTATCATGGTTTAATCATGAAAAAGATTTTCTGTATTCTAGCCGCAAATTGATAAGCTTTTCATTCATTATTCTTGTTTTTGATAAATGATCTTTTTTCGCCCATTCCGGTTCTTGATATTTCGTTTTAATTTTCATTTTTCGGATCGAGTCACGTGATTTCACCTGACAACCACTAGCCTCCTTGGTTACCTTTCAGGAAGAGACGAATCACGTTGGCGGTAAACTTCAAGATGGCTCAGCCTCAGTACAAACTTGCTCGATTTGCAAAGTACGGTCCACCGCCCCTGACCCAAGAGCAAAAACTGAAGAAGGAGAAAGGGTTTGTTCTCGATGCTGTAGCGGTTAGCACTCTATCAGACGACTCCGGCCGAGCTAATCCGAAAATGGCGACCGCTATTCCACCGTACAATGCTCAAAAGGACAGGCATTCTAAAGGATATTTCGAAAAACCTGTCGTCAGAAAGCTTTTGAAAAAGACAGACCAGGTAAGAATGAGCCTTGTTTTATACTATGATTTCATTTTGACGTATCAGAAGTGGTTATGAGGTAGATAAACTTTTAGACTGTTTGTAAACAAATGCACTCTGTGAATAGCTAATTAAGATTTAATGAACAGTACAGTTCGCACGCCTCGCAGCAACCCAAGAAGACTTCGCTAATTATCATAGAACAAATCAGTAAAACTTTCCAATAATGCCTCTTTAACTACAGCAGTCAATATTGGTGTCAGTCTACAAAACGGGGAGCTTCGATGAGCCCTAAAACTTTTTCAACTGCGTGCAGGAAAATTCAATTTTGAGATGCTGATATTTTTTCTTTCGCATAGTTTACATTATTATCATTCTCGTTTTTCTGCCAGTTGAAACAAGGTTGACCTTAAAGCCCCATTAAACCATACTAACAACAATTACATCCGAAAACGATTAAGTTTCTGGAGGTTATTTCATGTAAGGTTTCCTTTAAATTTATATAAGTAAACAGAGTTTGCAGTGCTGTAAAAAAAATTTTAAATTGTGTGTCGGAGGGAATCCGGAATTACGCTCGTTTGCTTTACTTCGATTTGTGGTTGATCTAGAAAATTCGCAACATCCTCTCAACCAAACTGGGACAAAAATAATATTGGTCGTAAAATTCACCACATTATCCCATGATTTATTAGGTTACTTAATTGTGCTCTGTGTTCTTCCGCTTCTCTGATTTCCAGTCCTTTTGTTTTAGGAGTGTCCTGGTGACTCAATAGCAGGCAAGCAAATGGACAAATTCTATGACAAAGGCATGATGGGTGACTACATCAAACGCCGCAACAATGCAGGGGCTGGTAAGTTCACTACAGCCACCTTACAACAATGGCTGCATCCTTATAACAACTGCTTCTTTGTTTTTATTAGCATTTTTATTTTTCCCAAAATTGAAAATGATCTAAACTTCCAAATTAAAGGATCACCTTACATTCCCATCACCCCCTCATGGCTACCTCTTTTAAGCAGCCTCTTCCCTCTGTCCCTAAATATAGCTATTTTAGACTTAGTTTTGACTGTATGCATTTGAGAAATTTTTGGGATTGCTTGCTGTTATATTTTATAACTTACAAAAACATGTCAGTTGTGAAATTCACAAAATTGTTTTTGATACAGACAGTAATATTATAACTATGTCTAGTGCAAAGGTATGTGAAGGTAGTCATGTTATTTGAATCAGGGATTTTCAAATTGGTTTCCTTTTGATTTTCAATCGTCTTTGACTGGTCAGCATCATGATAACACTTCCAAAGAGCTACCCTCTGCAGGCTTTCATTTGTCAGTCTTTAAAAGGGTCTTGAGACTTAGATTTGGGAATTTTGTTGGATTTGGCAGCCCCACAAAATTTTTGGAATTTTAGATTTCTCTTGGAGTCAGATTTTTGTGAATTACTTCTTTTCAAAACTGAAATTTCCAGGGAAAAAAGATGAGACAGTTTACCCAGCTGTACTTTTTATATTTATTGTTTACATTATACTTTTTTGAGAAAAAGTTATCAGTATTGAGTGATACAATGATTTTTGTAATTAATTAAAATTAATTTTCATTTGCCCTCTACTAAAGGTCATTCAACAAGTCAAGTGGGAGGTCATGGTTTGTTCATGGAAAATATTCTCCCTCTTAATGGTTTCAATGGTTGTTTTGGATTTCGAAGAAACACTCCTTCGCTTCGAAACCACCCATCAGTTTTCATAGGTAAAATATTATTTTCATATTAATACTCTCCATTAACCCTTTACACTGTAACATTAGCAGCCATATTCTCTATACACTTTTATGAACATTTCCTTTGTTTCACACAAGGAGAATTTGTCTCACAATCAAAGCTTCTTAGGTTGGCACTCATTTCTTTTATTCTCATGACTGTAATGAATGATTTCTGCAGTATTACTTTAAAGAGAAATTAGATGCTCCTAGTGTTAAATGGTTAAGGTTATTCTATTAATCCTTCTCCTCTACATGCTCAAACACACTGTTTTGAGAATGCTAGTTTTTGCTTTCCTTTGAAACTTATTGATGGTTTGTCACCCTGCTCCTGAGTAATTTCATTTTCCCTTGACCGGTCTTTAATGATGAAGAGTCAAAGTATTTTTTTGTAACATGGTGATGATCTTGTCATAAAAAAAAAAACTAATTAAGGAGGCTGTGACAGCTTATATTCTCTGAGCATTTTCGCACCTGGTTTTGAAGCTTTTGTTTTAAAACTGTTGTCAAACCTGCTTTCCTCATGTCCACTTCTAAGTGCACATTAAAGATGTGTCTTAGCACAGGTGGCCTAAGCTCCAGCTGTGAGATGATTGTCTTATGCAATAAGCATCATGGTGAAAATATAAGAGTTTGTGGGGGGAATATTTATGACTGCTCTTGGGAACACAAAAATACAAATTCTCAATAAAAATACCTCACCTTACTTTCACAGTGCATCGCATCTTATTTGACTGCTTACTATGTTAAAAAGAATTGAACCCATTTCAGCAAGTTATCCATTTCTAGGTTTACTACATAAAAGGGCTTCTCTTGTGTGGTAAACCTAGAAATGGATAACTCTCTAAAATGGGTTCTTTTCAACAGAGTAAATAGTCAGATAATAAGCAATGCACTGTGGATGTAAGGTGAGGTATTTTTATTGAGAATTTGACTGTATTTTTTTATTCCAAAGAGCAGTCGTAAATATTCCCATGCAAAGTCATATATTTTCACCATGACGCTTATTGCGCAAGATGATTGGTTCACAGCTGGAGCTTTAGCCACCTGTGATCTTAGGAACTCAGGAGTAACAGTTATCTTTGGTTGTTATCTAATCATTGGGAAGGGAGGGGTCTTGAAAAGAATATTGTTGGTGAGAGTACTGGTGAATGACATTTTGAAAAAAATGAGTTTAAGTCCTCTTAAGAGTCAAGTAAAAGTGTAACAGCAGCTGCCTTTGATTCTGATGATGAGGTACTCTCTGCTTGTTGCAAAAGTTACCTCAGTTTCTTTCACCAACAATTCTTTTTAGAACATTATTCAAACAAGTTTGCTCAGAAGAAGAGATCCAGTCCGTTAACATACTATGTTTTCTTTACAAATGTCCATTTAAGCTATTTCAAATTTTACTTTGTGTCATTTTGTTTTGGACAGGGAAAATTGATAGCCGCTCAGTAGTTCCATGACAAGGTTGTCGCAATCTCCAAGTATCAAGAATAAAGAGATATCTGGTGTGCCTAACCCAAGGCATAGAACTGGTATACATTTGATGCCCATGTGTGAATGAGTTTCTATTCATAGTAATATATTTATTAATATTAGTATTTCAAAGCTGTTCAATTGGAAAGCAGCAATGTCCAGCACAACTCAACTTTGCAAGATGGTTTCTCCAAGGAATCAGGCAATTATGGACTTCTTTAATCTGTTACTGGCCAAATATGTTGGAGTGTTGGAGTGACTATAAAGAATTCTGTGCAGTGGAAACTTACCCGAGTTCAAGTTTACTTTTACAGAGCTCATTAATTCCCTGGTTGTCCCAGTCAGTGTAAAACTTCAACATATTATGGTTTCTTTGGCCAAATACTTTGTCTGCTTTCACAATGATCTATGCAGCATAACCCTTTTGAACATCTCAACCCCTTCCCCCCCATGAGTGACCATCCAGTAAAATTTCATGTAAACTTTAAGGCTGTCAAGTAATAAGAGTTAAGACAAGTCTGAAAAGAAAGTTATGGAAATCTGGGTTTGGATAATTGGCTCTCAACTCTCCAACCTGGTTACACAGTGATAGTCTCACTCCTTAGGCCGGTCAAGTGGACTACCAGAGCCTGAAATACAATGGTAACATTTTGTTATGATTTAGAGTTAAAATAACTAAGAACATTGAACCATGTAACATATTTCCTGAACAACCATTAGTGCAGTGTCTAGCCCACAGAGATCCTGGAAGCAGCCACAAAGTAAAATCAATGCTACTTTGAAGTTAATGGCCTATGTTTGCACTGCACGCAGCACAATCTTAACTAATTTTCATAAGTATCATGCCACATGGTTTGGTAATATTTTTTGTAAAAAAAGTGTGGGGAAAAAAATAAATGTATTGCTAACATTTGAGCATCAAGGTTGTTGATTGTTCTCTAAGATCTTCTGTATGGCCAGAACTTGCTGGGGAGGTTAAACTTATCAAGTTCTCAAAACAAGAAGGGTGACCTTAAATCGTCCTACGAACTGGGTAAATAGTATCTCCTTTTTGCAAAAAAAAAGATGAAGAGAAATTCTCATAACAGACATTGGGTAAGAATCAACAGGAATCTTTAATATAATTACTACTCTAACAGTTAATATCCAAAGATGTGGAGGCTGAAGAGAGGGAGGAAAATACAGGTAATTACAACTTGATAAAACAAACAGGTGGTAAATTTTGCAACTTTATGACAAAAAGTAGAAGTGTAAACTATGACATTAAAGTTCATAAAAACTGTCTTTGCTGCATTAGGGAATTTACCATTCACAGCTTAAAGCTTAATTCACAATTGTGTGTAATGATACAAAAGTATGCATATTTGTCGTCAAAGCTTATGATTGTCACTCCCACATGTAGATTTCTGTGGCACTGTAACTACAAATTAAATTTTGAAGGCAATTAAATTTGCCTCATGTCAAGAATGCAAGATTGAAATCTTTGATACATCACCAGAAAATTAAGCTTGTACAGTAAATCCTTTGACCCCAGAGGGTGACTAGTGTCTAATCTATAGTGACAACATCACCCCTGAATTTCACCTTAAGATGGTGTGAGTAAAGAAAATGATCACCAACTATGAAGCTCTTCATTGTCTAAAAATTCTCTTTGTCAGCACCTTAAGAAATGAAGAGAGAACAGTTTGGAGAAAATGCGTACCGATGTTAAAGTATAAAAGGTTAATGGCAGGTTTGATACCACTGCATTTAATTAATGAGTGTTGGATGTTTTATAGCCAATCAACTTCAGCTCAACCATCCTATTCACAGGAGACATAAAATGGGAATTCATCTCAATAAGAAAAAAAACAACAACTAGACATCTTGATTCAAGACCAAATTCTCAGAGCTAACCTTGGAAGAAATGTATGGCAGACAACGCAGAGAATTTGTATTAAAATCTTGAAAATAAAAGAATTAAGTACTCAGTAATATCTTAAATAGTCATTATTGCATCACAAATATACTTTGTATAAAATGATCTATTTCTACAGAGCAACGCATTTTGCACTTTATATTATCTGATTGTCCTATAACACATGAATTTAAAACTCAGGCTACTAATCATTACAAAGAGTGGTTTTTTTCATAGGATGTTTTCTACAACCCTCCCCCCCCTTTCCCCTTCCCCCTACACACATTATCCATGATTTGCAGTACATTTAGTTGTGAGTGTTTTCCCAAGGAACTAATTCTGTACCCTTAGTGGTTTCTATAATTTTAATTTGTTAACAGGAGACCAAAAACAGTGAGGCTCTTTCCATTGACAACTGGCCATTCCATAAATGAAACAGAACAGTCTTGAGAACTGAGATAATTAGAACTTTTCTGTCTATTCTATGTCTAAAATGTTTCAGGCTTTTGTTCAGACTATGTCTGTTCCATATGATCACAAACAATTGGCACAAATTTACATATGGACATCTGCTTTTACTTTACACCCTGTTTCTTTCAAGTTGATCCAGCCCTAGTGAAAGAAGACAGCCCTTGTTTTTGATCAGTCTGCCTACATCTAAACTTAAAATATGGACATTGCACTTCCAGTTGCTTGACCTCTAGAGTTCTGACACATTTCTAAGTACCTCTCTTCCTCGCGTAGAGAGTTCAATAAAGTATTCATGTCATTAACTACCATGTTTCCATTTCCCACAAATTCTGACACACCACCATTTTCAGTGGATAGCAATCCCATCCCTGACACCATGGCATCTATTTCATGATTTGCCATGTCACACTGGGTCTTCTGAGCAGGGGTCTGTTCCCCTGAAGTACTATATGCTGCATTCTCTGAGGCTGGGTAAAAGCCACCACTGACATCTGGTACACTAAGTAGTTGCTCACTTCTGTAGCTGGACTGTGGCCACTGCACTTGTTGAGAATTTCTCTGAAGGCACGGCTGTGGTCGATGATGCACAGTCTGTAAACTGAGTTGATGGGGTTGTTGAGCTGCCTCTTGTTCTTCAGGATATGGGTAGTGGCGTAATCGTTGTGTCTGATGAGGTTGGGAAACTGACATACCTTGACGTACTGGAGGAGGATGCAAGGGAGGAGTTGGTTCCAACTGCCCTTGCCCTTGTCCATTTAGATATGCATCAAACTCTTGTGGATCTACATCCCCACAAATAAGCTCTGTTTCATTTACGTTTGGCATTGGCATCACTTGCCTGTTGACTGTGCCATTTAGAGGCTCCGGCCTACTCATATGTGCTCTTGATTGCCTGATTGGTTCACTACTACGGCGCAGCTCACTTTTTCCATTTTGGGGCAAGTAACCCCCAGAACTATCTGCCTCGCATATCACAGTGTCACTTTTCCTTCTGTTTGCAGCATTGTTGCAGTTATTTCTTTGTGGGAGTAAGTGAGAGGAGGGTGGGATCTTGTGGAAAATGGGACTACGAATAACTGCTAAGTTTGACTGACTTCCATAACCACTACTATTACGGCTCAGTCTGTTGTAAGGTGCACTTTGATTGCTGCAAGTGCTTGTCTCACTGGTTCGACGAAGAGTGTCATCACTACTATCAAAAGGATGTAAATTTGGTCTGCAATGAAGAGGAGTCATACCAGTAGGTACGGGTGGAGGACACCCATTTGGATAGTGCGGTATAACCTCTTGAGGTTGAATATTTGTGGTTGGAAAGGGACTAGCCAGGCTAGATCGATGACTGCCATAAGAAGACCAACCACTTTCTTGGCTAGACCTTCTGCTTGCATCACCAAGCTCCACAGATAAATGGCTGCCATCACTTGATCTCCGTGAAGTTTGGCTCATCCTGCGGTGAACATCACTCACCCACTGGGCAACGTCCCTTTTGTGAACATCGATTTTTGGAAGATTGACACTCGGTGCTGGTGGTCTGACCTCTTGTGCAGTAGTCACAGCACCGTTCTCTCCAGGTTCCCAGTCTCCTTCTATGATATCTGGAAGTTGGCTTACAAATGGAGGACTTCTTGGCGAGACCCCCAACATGGAATTGCCCATGCTTCTTGGACTCTCCCGGCTAGATGGAATGTCAAGGCCTCCTGGGGTTCTCTCACAGCTTGAAGAGACAACATCCCCATCAAAGCTACTGCCTACAATTGTTTGGGAGCAGCTTCCAGCTTGAATCACACTACCTGCACTACTTGATCCATCTTGTCCAGGTGACATGGGTTCTTCGACATGATTGCTCATTGGCTGTGATGCTTGTGTACCACTGCTAGAAGTGTTGGAGCCTTGGCCTTTGTCAGAAGATAAATTCCCTTTTTTGTCAGAATTGGGTTGTGGCTTTTCTCTACTGCCTTCCGCTTTTAGCTGTTGTTACAAAAGAAAGGAAACATAACGATAAGTACATTGATGTTACAAGATGTTCAAAATAAGTCTCAGACTGTTATAGTTACATTCATTTAAGATTCAGCAGTTAATCCTTTTTTACAGTCCATACTATATGCAATCCCAGGTATGCTCTGGAGACACTGTTTTGCACAGAAATTTACCAAGTCCATTTTTTATTGTTTAGATTGAAAGAAGGAGGGTGTTGTCAACAAAGATTGCATTTAATAAGCATATGGTCGATCAGAAATTCTTCTTACAGATAATAAAATAGTGACTTTTAGAACAGATAAGAGTGATACTAAACCAGCACCTGACCTAAATTATTGTACCAGCAGGTATACAATTCACAAAAGATAAAGGTCCCCTTCTGAAAATTTTGACCTGACTTGAGTTCTTGCAGTTCTTTGATTTAGATTTCAGAAAGTTCACAAGAGGTTGTCACTTGCAATTAATAGACTTCTCATATTTACCCTCTTAATTCCTTGTTCTCCATGGACAGTTTTTGTATGTTTCCTCAGTGAGCTGGGATCTGTGTACCTCTTTGGGCAGCCTGGTACTTTACAGACATAAGGTTTCTATAATAGCAAGTACATGCATGTTATTTTTTTCATCTAAGTAAGTCCATGTCATGATAAATTTGTGAATTTCTGAGAAATGATCGAGATTAAAAAAAGCGCTATAAATCATTTTTAAAGTGTATAGGGTCTGCTTACCACAGAAGAATGTGTCCTGTTTTGATGCTTGGCTCTGTCAGAAGCATTAGAGAAAGCTTTATTGCACCCTTCCACTTCACAAACATATGGCCTCTCCCCAGTATGTGAACGGAGGTGAGTTTTGAGATTCTCAAGTCTGGAGTAAGCCTTGTTGCAGCCTTCATACTAAAGAGAGAATAGGATTGTTTCAAGACCTGTTACTTTGACTTAGAATATTTCTAACAATAGTGAGCCCATTACATACATTTTATAGAGCAATTTTTCCTTTGGTACTTTGAATGACCACAAAGTAATTACTCCTTCATATCAATGCACAATCGAGTGAAAGGTGATCAGAACAGAGAAAAACATCAACTTCCTATATGGAAGGTTGAATGATTGCACAGCAATTTTTTTAGAACTAATATTTTAAGAAATGTATGGCTGACAGGAAAGAGAAGGAATATCAAGATCTTTGAAGTGAAAGGGAAGTGGACGGTTATTTCAGTCATCTCCTCATTGGACAGCCACTTCGTACAAACTTACAGTTGATAGCAAAGTGGACTGTTGACCAAATAGTCCAGTCTGGTTTTGGGTGAGAAAACTATTAGTGATTAGGAGGGTGTGTGAATGAGAAGTTGTTCCTCTTACTGCTTGAACACTGTGCCATTCTGGTTTAATTGTAGACTGTATAAAGCCTACAAGATCATTAAACAGTGTAATTAAATGCAGTAAGACAGAATAAGAATAATCATCATCATCAGAAGTAAGACAGAATAAGAAGAATTTCACAGAAGTGGAATCAAGGGGAATTGGTGGAAAATAGGGTAAATGTTGTCTGACCTTACCCTACAGACAAACGATGGTCAATTAAGATGAAATTTTCCACATAAACTCGAATTGGCACCAGTTAAAACTAATTTGCTGAAATGTAGGTGTGCAAGTGGGCCTTGTGGCACACTGTTATATATCAATACATGCAGCACTTAGTGTAGACAACAGTTTTGGGATAGAATCTCTGTTTAGACTTACAGTGCATTTATGTGGCTTCTCCCCTGTGTGACGTCGCATGTGTACCACCAACATGTACTGGGCTTTAAAGGGTTTCTTCTCTCTGGTGCAGCCATCCCAGTAGCAAGTGAAGTCCTTGCGATCTTTCTTGATGTGGTCAGTGTTGACATGTTTGACCAGATCATCCTGTGTTTCAAACAGCTTTTGACATTCCTTCCAATGGCAAGTCAAATCTCGCTCTTGATCCTGCTCTCCTTGATTCTCTTCTCCTTCATTGTCTGAGCCTTCCTGCTGTTATGTAAAAAGTGGTCAAGGTTAACTCCCAAGATCTCATTAGTAACCCTCCTTACTGTCTGCCATATAGTTCTTGTGATGTTAGTTTGGAGAATTTGGTATTGGATCAACTAAGAATCCCCAAATTAATATTTTCTCTATTCTCATGACTTGTCTGCTTGATATTGTAAGAAGAAATTCTCTCTTCCTCACTCATGGGAGTTAAAGGGTTAAAGTGGCCCACAAACAAAGTCTAAGAATAAGAGAGGAGGACCCCAGTGCATACAGAATTTCATTCTGGTTACTGGAAAATTGTGATATGTCTCAAACTCTTTGTTCCCTGATTGTACAACTTTACATTTCCACACTGAATCCCTCAGTTAACCCCTGTTGTATGCACATTATCAAAAGTAAAAATTACACGAAGAGCTGTGTCCACATTAACTGCAAAATTGAACTGACTGTCGGATAACTCTTTAAAGATTCATCTTTCATTCTCTGCTCTTACAGCAATTTTATTTGATATGTTTTTTTTTTCCCAGGACTACATGAAGGATCACATTGCAATTTAATTAGATACAAATTTCAAATATTGCAACTCTGTGCATGCCAAAGAGTACTGGATAAGGTTATAGAAATTACTACAGCCTGAATTTGTACATTTATGATTAACCTAGACTGCTTATCACTGAGCCCAAAGATACACATATTCCAGTTGTCTAGCTTTCACAAAAAATGTGGGAAGTATGAATTGATCTAACTGATCAAGCATTGGGATCTTACCAAAAGCTTAAAGTAGAATTGGTCAGCTGAATGTGTAAATGTGTGCTCTCTGATTGGTTTAGGATTGCATCATATCTTGCTACATAAAACATCTGAGATACCACATACAAACACCCTGAATTCTGAAAAACCTATGCTTTATAGAAAATTTTTCCTTTTTAAGTTTATTGTATTAAAACAATAGAGAGCCCCCTCTAAGGTTTTGATGGTTTGTAGCAACCCTCTTGGGATGCTGGCAGAACCCCTAAAAATTTGTAAATCACTCATTTCAAGCTGGTGATTCACAACATCTTCTCATGTTCCCCCAATAACCCAAGTGGGTTATTAGGATGGTAAACCAATAGAGAGTGTAATCTGTTGCAGAACACTTAAATTTTCACAGCTGATGATAGCAAGGGCATTTAACTTATCAGTCTGAATTGATTGAACTTGCCTCCTTGGTGGACATTTTCAGCCCGTTAAAACTCTTTCATGCAAATTAATATTAACATGACCATTATAAATTATCTCCTTTTATACAGTTTCTGCTTCTGTAAGATGCAGTTCATAGAATGACTGTGTCATCTACCCATCAATCCCCATGCTTCTGTAAGAGGGCAGTCAAGTTGGAATTGCATACAGCTGGGATTGAATACAGTATGAAATTTAAGAAAGACTTGCTTATGAGCTTTTGATTGTGGTGTATGACATGAGTCTGCTCTCTTGACCTTATGAACTTGTAATCCTTGCTACACCATGATCTGTTGTATTCCTTTCTTCCTGGACCCTTTTTTTCAACATCTAATCCTTGCAGTATCTGATCATTCCCTGACCAGTGGCAACCAAGCTACGCCCATTAACTTCTCCTATGCTTCTCTCAAAATCTAAGATAGATTAACTGGTCTCCATTCCAGGTTATTTATCCCATCCTCGTTGCCACTGTGGCGTATAGCATCAGAATAGACTTAAGGCGCAAAGAAAAACATACACAATATGTTGACAGCTGTGAAACATGAAAATGAGGCTGACAAGCAACAGCATGAAGACTTGCGTCATACACCACATTAATTAGAGTGAATCTTATAGTCTGATAATCACCAGAACAATAACTAAACAATTACCAGTAATCATCTCAGGCTCAATGAATTCTGTTGGATACTACCCATTGTAGTTGGGAGGATTATCACTCAATATTCACTTTGTCTATAGCAAATAATTTTATAACATAGCTAGTAAATTTGTCCAATCAAATTCAATTGCATGAGCATGCTTCATATTCCTATTGTGCACACTCATGACGTCAGCAAACAAATCCCTCAAGAAAAAAATTCTCTCTGTGATTTTTTACTTTGGGATTTCACTATTAAAAAACTGGTTGAGACTTATATGTTTCTGAATATTTATACCATAAAAGTATGTTTGAAATATTCTTTTGTGTTGATAATGTGAAAATCTTTAGGAACCTTGCAATGCCTTCCTAGATTTGTTTGTAAGTCAGACTTTCTGTCACATGAAGCTAGGATGTGGCCTGTTGTGAATTAGCCGATAAAACAGCATCTTTGTTTTTCTTTGGATAAAAGAATTTTGTATTCAATCAGAAAATAAAGTTCATTTACACGCATGAATTCACCTGTCAGTTTTGAGCGAAATGTTTTCCTGAAACTGAAGCGTAGCAGAGGGAATATTAACCCTTTTACAACATTTAAACAATCAGGTTGAAAATGTTATAAAACAATTGGTTCATATGTCAGCTGTGTGTTCATTGAGATATGAAGCACTTGGGAAGTTTGGAGGGCACTCAAGAAGCTAGAGTTGCTCTCAGCTACGCCTCGAGCAACTCTTACGCATCTTTCGTGCTCTCCAAACTTTCTGGAGATATGAAGCACTTGGGAAGTTTGGAGGGCACTCAAAAAGCTAGAGTTGCTCTCAGCTATGCCTCAAGCAACTCTTACACATCTTTCATGCTCTCCAAACTTCCTGCGTGCTTCATATCTCTATGAACGCATGCTGACATATGAACCAATTGTTAAGTTGAATATTCTTGGTGACAAAAACTCCTCATGGATAAAACAATCAGCCTATTTGAAAATAAGGCAATAAATGATGGAATTGGAGCTACACAAAGATATATGGAATGGAAATAATACAAGATTTATGCTTTCAAGACCTTGGGTTTAATGAAGCCATATTTTTTCAGAAATTATGTTCTTCAATTTGAGCACAACTAAAAAAAAAGTAGTCTGAGACAAATCACACTGAATCAGTCTTTAAACAAAACATAATGTGGGAGGATGGTCCAATTGTCAAAATCTAAAAAATCAAAATATTGACATAGTTAGAAATAGAAATTGTCACAACAGGATTAAATTGAACAGTCAAACAGGTCAGAAAATCAGTTGGATTACATGAGCAGGTTGCATTTTTAACTTTACAGCTCCTTTTTTTCGGTTTAATTGTATCAGGAATTTTTTGTTCAGTTATGTATCTTTTGGTAGGTTTTGCTTTTATTTTCCTGTGGATCAACACTGAAGAGCATTCTTGACGGCTAGCCAATGCATAATACAATGATGCCTTATTATCTTTTAAAACCACAAGACGAACATGTCTTGTTCCCACAGTTCTCTTAATCTTTTTTAGTTGTCTGCTAGTGGTTTCTCCATAACAGCAAATACAACAAAAGGGCTTAGGTTTTTTAATTGGCTTTGGCAAAGGTTATCAGTGCAGTTTTTGCCACAAAATCTGCAGGGAGGATCACAGAGATGACAGTCCATCCTACAGCTAACACAGACATAAGATTTCATTTCTTTTACAAGATCGTTACCATCCTTCCCACTAAAGGAAAATTGAAAATTCATCTGGAAGGCACATATTGAGAAGCAATTATTAATGCCCCCTGATAAGTAGGGTTTGATGACCTGTCAAACCATGTTATAGATAAGAATTGTTCTTGCCGCCTGTGGTTGTGACCAATAAAAAGAACTATTGGCCTAAAAGCAACATGTACATTGACTTTATTTTGATGATTATCTGCAGACTAAGTAATCCTTATTGAAATCACAGTCTGCCTAAATATTAAGATTTGCATCATCACATGTCTGCAAATTTACCTGCCGTATAAAACTAAAAGAAAGACATGATACCATCCATGAAATACATTGTTTAACATAACAGAAAAAGAAAACTTGTTTTTATCCGGTATGTCAATCAAAAATTGGAAATTTGAAAAACTGTCACGATAAGCTTATTCATTTGAATAAATAAACTGTACTTATTTTGGTTATCACTACTGATACACTACACTGATTCACGCAGACAGGAAGAGAGGGAAAAACAATTTGCTACTGCATGTGTTCACATGTGATTCAAAGTCTGTGGGTAGCACAGTTGGATGTCAAAGCTAAAGGTTACAGCAGAAGGGATAAACTCAATTATTTCAACCACAAACATCTTAACTATGTCCTGATTATCTTATTGTATATTTGTGATCTTTGAGCACTAGCATCGAGGCAAAGTATTTTTCAGCCTATGATCATACAAAATAAAAAATTCTTAATCTGAAAGTTTAAAAAACTACATATCACAGTTCATTTACAGCCAAATGCAATTTGCAATTGAAGTTGGCAAAAACAACAGTCTCTCAACCAAAAATTCACACCCTTTGAGAGAAATGTTTAGAATTTGAACATAACTTTGTTTCTGTTCAAGTGATTTATATTCCCTGTTGGTTTGGCCTTGTAAATATTCATGATATCTTCTAGACCATTACTGTTCTGCTGCTTTAAAAATTAGCAAACAGGACAATATTTGACACAATTCACTGTTTACTCTTTAAAAACCACCCAACAACATATGTTATTGTGGTGGCAAGAGAATTCTACATGTAGAATGTATTCAAAACATATAATAAGATGGTAATTATAACCAAGAAGAAAATTTTTTTTTCCAAATGTAGCCTCATCTTAGATACAGAAAGATGAGAATATGGTTGGATTAATTCTGTATTGCCTTGTTTGACTGATTCATCCCATAATTGATAGGTCATAGTTGGTTTGTGAAAATCGGAGTCCATATGAAATACATCTCACAAATTAAGAGCCACAGCTGTAACTTATTTATGAAATGAGAAAATAAATCTGATTGCTGTCCTAAGTTAAGATTCTTCTCCTATCAAAAAAAGGTTGTCATTCAAGTAAAGCTATTAAGAAGTGAACACTGCCAAAAGATATTTCCTAGTTAATGCAAATAATTGCCATGCTTGTAACTAACATGCAAGTACACATTGACAGGTTACATTTATAAGAGAAAAAAAATGAATAAATGGATACATGTATGAAAGAATCAGTAAATAGAGGAGAAAAGTGGTGGCTTTAATGAAACATGAAAACAAAACTTTCTGACTTAGGAGAGAGGACTACCAGGGAGGAGGTTACATTGTCCAGCTGTGGTGTAAAAAGAGATTATTATTAACATTAATACCAAACTGTACCCTACCTTCACTTCTGAAGCACCAGGTGATGTTGTAGAGTCAAGAGGACAAACATCCATACTTTCCTCCTTGCAGGAGGTGCCCTGTGGTTCTTTAGCCCTAGACACCTGTGATGACTCAGCACAACTCATGCTTTCAGACATTTCTTCCTTGGTTCCTTCAGCTCCAGTTGTTGAGCTGGGCAGTGCATCTCGACTTGTTGAAGATGGTGTTGGTATTCGAGGAGTGGCAATAGGTGGGGGTGTGATGAACACAGTTCTTGCAACAGGATAACAACTAGCTTGGTGAGATCCAGGAGAGGTGCAAAAACCAATGGGACTCAAGTGACCAAAGGAACCTGCTGAAGACACCCTTGCTGGACCAAGGTACCCTGATAAGGAATCTGGTGAGCCTCGAATTAATGCGTTCAAGTCAATAGATTCAACAGATGATGGGGTATTGGAATGTGCCCGTTTCCGACTAAGTTTTGCTGACAGCCTTGGGCTTGGAAAGCTGGAATGTGGCAGGTCAATAACTGTAGACCGCAGAGATGTCGCAGTGGATGGTGGCCCTCCATACTCAGATGCTGGATTTCTGTGCAGATTTGCCAGATAGTCCGATGGTATCACAGGTTTAACAAAAGGCTGATAACCAGGGGGCCATTCTGCTTTGGGGCGGGCAATATCAGAGTCAGTGTGTCTTCTCTCACGGGAACTGCTTAGTGGAGGTGCAACTCCATGCATGGAAGGAGGATTTGGATAAAATGCATCTGGGTGATGGTAATGATAAGGGCGGTAAGGTGAATGGGGATGGGGAATGGGAGATAGATGTGATGGTAACACAGGGCTTGGAGGATGGCTATGCCAGTGAGGTGTTCGTCCTGGGTAATAGTGGTTTGCATGAGGTGGAACTGGCATAGAGGGAGGTGGATGATGAGGGGGTGGATAGTGCATGTCATATGGGTAGTACTCAGGATATGGTGCTGCATGATAAGGGTGGCCTGCACTCCATGACTGTGTGTGCCTGTGGTTGTATGGTGGATAGCCATGCGGTCTTCTGCTCTCAATAGAGGAAGTCCTATTATTAGTTGGTTCCCTGTGGTTCACATCAAACGTTGTTTGGGTTTCCTGATCATGAGCCCGATGAACGGAATCTATCTCCGGTTTGGACTCATCCATGCTTTTTCAAATGAAGCCAAAACAGTCCTTCAAAAATGGCATAAATTTTTCAAACAAAAGCTTTCTTTTCGGAAAGAAATCAATTCAAGTTCAGTATCTGTTAAGGACGCGACAGGCGTTGCGTGGGTCTCGGACGAAATGTCTCGTTCTCGAATAACTCGCAAAGTGGGATGCGGCGCGAAGCCCAAAACGAGTTAGCGCATCGCACGCGTAAAGTTCATGCTTTCCGCGATTCCTTGATATTCCGCATGTAAATGAGTGCCGTCTCTTTCGCGATAAAACCTCTGCTCTTTTTAGCCTTACGAATCCACTGCCCTCACGTCATGGTAACTGTTGACGCCAGAACAGTTCAAGCACCCTGAAAAAAATACACAAAGAAACTGTACAGGAAAATTTACTTACATATTTAGCAAGAGTGGGAATGATACAACTACAGCTACAATAGAAACATACTCACAGTGATCAAGCAAGGAAACAATGGCAGTGCTCACCTGGAAAAACGCAGACAGTTTCTAAGAATAATTGGCGGACAAATCAATCAAACTGTCCCAAATTAGAATATTGTCGGACGAATGTGCTCTTGCTAACCGCGTAAAATCAATTGGGCGAGGGGAAAGACGTCCGAAAGAGCCACTCTTAGGACGCGCGGCAATTTTCTCACTGTCACGAAAATTCACAAGACAATAAAGATTCTGCGAATGCATTCCTTATGATTTAGAAACACGAGTATCAGTTTTCTCAACCGCAGGAGAGCGTGGGTCATCACCGTCAAAGGAAATCGGGTTTTCTTCAAGATTGCGAAAGCTCTGACAGGTTACCGCATAACTTTATTGGTTTAACTAATACAAAGGCCATTCAAAAAGATTTAAACCAATCATATCGGCGGATTTCCGCAATGCGAAACCCTTAGGTTCAGGATAGATGTCGGTCAAACGTTTGATCAGAGACAATTACGCTCTCGAGTTTGCCGATGATAAAGAAATCAACAAGATGTTTATTACTGTAAACACCTATGCGAAAAGGAATGGACATTTCGTTTACGCTCGGAAGGAGAGGAATTTTATGTTTTAAAAGTATTTTCGTTCGACCACTGCTGGGAAAGAATTTTGATGAAGATTGCTCGAAGATGCTCTTCACCCCTCGTTCAAGATTAAAATAGGATGATCTGAAATTTGTACCAGCAGGTGTTGGAACATCCCAGCTGTAGAATTGACGAATGGACGATATAATAGCGCACAGAGCATTCTAATGCAATCCTAGAGAATCAAACCCAAACACTCTCAAGATTAAAGATTGTTGATTTTTTAAGATTAGAAAACAATCTCGTCTTTATTTCCGTTCGTGTACTTGCGTATGCAGGCTCTTTAAAGTTCCTGTGGAAGGAAGTCCTTAAAACGTACTCATTCACCCAATAAGTTCCCTCAGAATATGCTCACCTGAAAGGTGAGTTGCTGTCAACATTGCGATACAGAGCAGAGCACTTCAACGCGTTTAGTTTCGGTTTCTTTGCGTCAGATCAAATATCAAATATTTATCTCGCCAAAATACTTGAAAGCTATAACACAGTGGAAATGAATACGTGCTCTGTAGCTCGTTGAAGAAGGATTAATTTTGAAGTTGATGTGCTCATTTGTGATGTTTGCCAGAGATAAAGCCACAAGGTCTGCTGTAATGGGCTGGTGAATTCAAGAAACGGAAATCGCAGTAGTGGTTCAAGCTCCATGTTAAAATAGGACATCGCAAAGTCACGAAAACTAAGCTTCCTGTTGGCAATAAGGATGTCAATTGAAAAGATCAAGCATGTAGCTTTACTTCTATACAGGCAGTAAGAAGATAAATTGGGGCTAATTCGGGAAGTGATCGCGAATTTCCTTGTATATTTGTTTACGTGGCCGATAGCGTGACTTTATAGCGCGGCTGGGAGGGGAGGGAAGGGTTCGTGCGCTCTCCGTTCAAGAAGTTTTTATGCTCGAAAATTTTAGTTTTATGCTTTTAAGCGTCACCTCTGAAAACATGACATCAAGCCGAAAATTCTGCGCAAAATTTTCCATCACGTTTAACTTGATAATTCAAAGTAATAGCTTTTAAGAGCCCCCAAACCTCTCCCCTCCCCCCCTCCCTCCTCCCCCTTTCCATCCCTACCATCAAAAGATAAAACTTCGTAAGGATAAAAAGTTACCGAAGTTCAGAGAACAAAATTTTACTGGATCAAATTCCTCAAGTGCAAAAAAGAAAAGCTGGCTCATTGTTGACATTGGACAGGTTATATATCCCTTGTTTGAACTGTAACATCAGGAATTTTGTATAGTTTAGTCATTATGCCGGCATAAAGCTCGATTTTTTTATTATATAGGAGGGTCCCAATGGGAGTAAAAAAGCCAAAAAATTTAGCCGTTAGGCGTAAAAATTGACAACTCTTAGTCGTACTAAAAGTTAACCGTGAAAATTTGTCCTATCTTCATTGCCATTTTGGGTCAACTGTTAGCCGTTAAATGGCCAAAATTTTTTCACCGACATCACCCCATTGAGACCGTCCTAAGAAACATTATGCCCAAAGTCATACCGGCTTAATTTATCTGACCCTGACTATGAAGGAAGAAAACTGACACCTCTCCAGCTCCATTCTTAGTTTCCAAGAAAGATCCCCAAATTAGAATGCCGCACGTAAATCGCAGGAAGCTCTGGAATTTGATAATCAATATTTGACTCGTTAATGATATTACCATTGTCTGAACTAAAGTAATCCCCCTTTAAAAATAATGGCAACAATGAAGAATTATGAACACACTTTCATGAATGCTTTCGTTTGTTTGTTTCTGATGGAGGAGAGATTGTGGTTCCTGCAAGTTTTTTATTCTGTCCAAGATTTAAAGTGAGATCAAAAACATCAACAGCAAGTTAAACTCTTTCGTCCAAACAGCCATTTTGACACATTGAACTTAAAAAGAGCGCGTGAAGCCTTGTGGGGTAGCATGGAAATTTGTGAATTTGTCATTTTTGGGATTTTTACAGATAGTCTTCGTTTCGCAAAAAAGGAAGAACCGAGTGAAATAAAATTTCGTGAAATTTTCCTAGCTTCAGCCAAACACAAACTCAACAAGCAAATTATATATAAAATTAATGCCCAAGTTTTTCATATGGACTTATTCAAAACATCCACCCACGACTTGTACACCTGCTGCTTACCTCTAGCCTCTGCCCTCGTTATAACCGTAGAGAAGTTACAGAATTGAAAATAAATATATTGAAAATTTTCCCTGAAGTTTATGTTCTTTGCTTGAACAGAATAACGCAAGAATATGCCAGTTCCCTACAGAAATTTCAGGCATCTGGAATAGGAGAGACATTTGTTCCTACAAAACGTAAATTATCTCCAGTTATTTAAATAAACTCTCAGCCTGCCGCAAATTTTTCATAATACCCGAAAATGATATAGATCCAAAGACGTGAGACCATTCCGAATTAATCTATCCTCATAGATGCTAAGTAATTTTAAACATTAATAAATTAATAAAATAATGTTTCGGTTATGGAAAAACATCTATAAATCATTTCCTCTTCTTTTTCGCGTCCGACTAGGATTAAAAATAGAAACTATAGCCAAGAGAATATAAACTGCTATAACAGTTTAATGTCGCAATCATTCTTTCTTTAAAGAAACGAGCGCTTTTATTGTAGTAGGCTTGAGGTGTGAAAGCGGGGAGTATCGTTAGGGAGGGTATATTCGACCACGCAATGCGTTTAATAAACCAATCGCGTGCGAGCAAAAATATTTGATGGATCACAACATTGCTCATCATCAATATGGTGGAGGATCTTTGATAATTTTTCTAACCCGGCTAAAACAGTCACTCAGAGAATCAATCCGTTAGTCTTAGCCAGGAGCTCATTACCTGAGATTCTGATTTACCTCAGTTACTGAAGTGAGACTAAATTTAGCCTGCATCTTTCAGGTTTCCATTTTTAAATGGAAACCTGGTTATTTAAATAACCTGCATGTGAGTGGACTCTCATTATCACCACTGCGACACGATCGTTTCTTTGCCCGAGAGAAAGCTGCTGACTGTGCGGTAAAAGCGAGCCAGCGAGAGGTCTGCTAAGGGTCTGCCAGGCTTCTAATGATAATTTTTAGTGCCAGACCCCCAGTAGGCCTCTCCCCAACTCGTCTCAAATCTTCCTTTGGGCTGAGAAATACTCGTCCTGTAACGCTAGCGCTATTTATGAAGGCCTGCTCGTAGAAAATCTATTTGGCGACGAGGCGAACGTGACTTAGGTAGAAGACACATGAGGACATATGAAGGAAAGTAGCCAAGTGTGGCGCTCGCACTTGGCGCTGATTCACATTTCTCCCGATTGGCTGAAGATAAATATTTCCAGCTTGATTGTATGGCTTTTTATGCGAAAAAGAGATATGATCCTTTGAGATATTCATGTCAGAAGGTAATAAAAGGGTGAGGGCTTTTACGACTAACGGATAAATTGTGACCATTTTACGGTTTAAGGTTAATTTCTTTTAGTCGCATTTCAAAGGAAAAAAAATTACGAAATTTGGCAATTTTTTTACTCGAAACGGCTAAATTTTTTTGCTTTTTTACGGCTGACGGGTATCCCCGTTGGTACCCTCATATCAGGTTTTCTTCACGACTTTCTCTTATGGGCTAACAATTTTTTTGTGAAACAGTTGATTAGAGATACAGCAAATGATAGTTACTGCGTCAAGTTCAATCTCATACATTTTACAAAAACGTGCAAAAGTTTTTCTAGTTCAAGAAGGCATACAGTAAAGCTGGAAACTAATTTTTGCGACTTTAACTTTTAACTTTTTCTGTTTGTTATGCTACAGCACTCTCCATCTACTTTTTAGAGACATCTACACAAAGGACTAACCCCACGACGTCAGCTTACCTATTTCCTAAAGCATTTTTCCATTTTTTTTAAAATAATACAGAAGGTGGCAGATTTTAATGGAGCTCTATATTCTGGAGCGTTTCCTCTGCGGATTTTTACATTAAAAACCGCAACATTTTCATGCGTTTTATAGTAATTAAAGTATTCATTTCACGACGGTAATTTTCTTATCACCTTACTATAGCAATTAATGAAACCGGAAAAATTATGACATGGACTAAAAACTTATCCCTTGAAAATTTTTGTTCCAAAAATCTTTTGTTTTCGAAGAGTCAAGTCTCTGAAAAAAATCTCAGCTTATTAGAAACTTAACGTAGCATTATTTAGCAAGCTGAGATTGATGATCAAATCCACTGGAACACGATCGATCTTACCGTACCAGCAACTTCTATGAGCAAACAACGGAATTGCAGGATGCATAATTTTCTGTTCAATTATTCATTTCCATCAGACCGTCAGCTTTCTTTTTGACAAGTTTCTAAAAAAACGAGCGTGTAGGTTTAACGGTACCTGTGCTATTACGTGCGTTTCCATAACAGACCAATAAGGGAGCTATATCTCGTTGTAAATATACACCCTTGATTGTGCATCATGAGGCACAGTGACAGAATAGAAACGTGCTACTTACAATTACCGTGGACACAACAACTCGATCTCATTTCCTGACGAGGATTGGAAGTATAACAATGGAAACGTCGAGATCTTAGCTAAATTGTGAGAAACACAAATCAGTGTAGACATTCATTTATCACTGTAATCGTCTTAAACAAGTCACTAATCTTTTCTTATAACATCTAATCGTACATGTTCTAATGCCCCTGCTTCCATTAATGGTCACTTTAAAGGAAGCCTTCACACCCCAAAAATTGCAAAGCGAGGGCCATAAGGGATTACGAATGGTTTTGGTCGTGTTTGTGGTTTCGTCGATTTGCGGCAATATAACATTAGCCCAACAATGTGGAATCAAAAGTGACTCTTATTCTATCTACCAGAAGATGTTGAAGGGTCACACCTATAAGACATTCAAAACGTGGACCAAGTCATTCGATTGTAGAGACGCATGCTCATCTGACGTTAGATGCCAGAGCTATAATTTCGTCTTCCTGAGAGACACATGTGAGCTCAACAACAGAACCAAGCAGGCAAGACCGAACGACTTTGTAATAGATGTTGAAAGATATTACATGGAGAGGATATCCAGAGGTGAGGAAATAATCTTGTGAAATGCACACACTCAGCATTATTATATATGAGCTAGCCGTACGGTGCAAAGTCCACCAAATAGTAGTTTCGAGAGGTAAAATAAACTCAAAAGAGTGAACAACATGGTACGTAAAAGGGAATGCAACTCACAAGCATTGAAACCGGCTTAAGCCAAATTTTATACTGCCCAGTCACCGCTTACCAGTAGCCACCGTTGAAGTACTAAGTGCGTTCATTGTTTGAGAGGTTATCTGACATAACTATGTGCAAGATATCCCTGCGCTTAAAGAGTTCGTCAGTAATGAATCTAGCCCAAACGATTAAAAGAACAATTTTATATCATAAGAGGTGAGTGAACAATAAAAAAATTGAAATTTGCGGTTTAAAAGTCAATTGTTTTCCTTCCGCATTATTTTCTCGTGAAGTCAAAACTCATCGACTCCTAGGGTGAACAAAACTCACCAACTCCCAAAGGGGAAACAACAACTTGGACTTTCGACTCTCACGTGATCATGTCGTGTACCTTAAAAACCGCAGCTAAATTATCAAACGAATTTTGAGTGGGAGGTATAACATAACACTGAATGTCAAGCTGGCACTCTGGATATAGTGAGTTTTGTCTCTCCGAGACCCTCAATGTTCCTCAAAGCGAAGACGAAGGGAAATAAAACTGACTGTCTCTCGTGAGGCCAATCAAAGTGCTTATTAACTTTGTCTCAACGGCCGAGATTCTTATTTTGTGAACCATATTGACCTACATTCGACAATAGGAACCAAACATGGTCATTCGTAAGTCATTAATATTATTTCTCTGGTTATATTGTGAAACCAGTTTGAAAAATTGTTCCTGATCACATAAATTTACATTTCCCCCTTTCAGTTTCCCTCGGCTCTATTCCCGAGTTGCCCGCTGATTCGTGCGCAGAGATCAAGGCGAGCGAAGGAGAACAAGCGGTTAGTGGTATTTATTGGTTGGACGCAACCAGAACTGGGAATTCAATTCTTGCTCGCTGTGACATGAAAACAGAGGGTAAGCATAGTTTTTGCATGGTCCAATGGTCGTGAAATATAGTGAGTTATACAGGGTGTGAGGGGGTGGGGGGGGTGGGTCGCCTCTTTACCAAGAGGATTACGACAAAAGGAGCCGAAGAAAAAATTGTACCAGTTGAGGGAAATGTGTAGAAAAGTTAGCTTTTTGTGTCCTAGCTAGTTCCTATCAGGCCCCAGCAGTATGCAGGACGTTTGTCATGCATAATCCTTGTGTGTAGCCCAACTCTCCAGCGAGTTCTGTGTAGCATGGTGGTAGAGCATCGGACCGCGAAAAAAGGTTTAAGGTTTGAATCCTTCCAGCTGGAGTCCTCGATCCCACGATCATGCCAAATGGATAACATCATTCTTTATTTTACGATCAGAGACGCGGGTAGATAGAATATATTTTGACATAAGAGGTATTTCAAGGGGAAGCCTATTGTCGAAAAGAACTGTATGAAAAGTGAGAAGTTTCCCGCGTTTTTTTCCTTCGGGGCGTGCCAACCCTATACTTTTCCTATTTTAGTTACTGTAGTTTTTACAATATAAAGAAAGATAAAACGATGACCCATAATTTCACCGTTGCATAGTTGCTGACTACTGTATCAAGCATCTGTGTTTCAATAATGCGAGCTGTGTAAATCAGCATGTGAACTACACGTGCTGGTGCAAAATTGGATGGACTGGAAACTATTGTGGAAAAGGTAAATTCACGTACTAGGCGTTAAAGTTATAAAATGGTCCTAAACCCACAATGTCTCTGTAAAACGGGGTTTTTGCAGGACTTTTGGATCTAAACGTAAATAATATTCAGTAAGATTACAATCATGGCGAACCAAATCCACCAAAATTTCCTCTAGTCACATCGTGGGAACACAAAACAAACAATTTGTCACGGTCGGGGAGACCCCATGCTTAACTGTATTGCAGTTGCTTGCATCTTTGATTTTTGCCATCTTCCATCACCATTTGGTAGGTCAGTTTCAGTAGGTCAGGAGAGATCAATGAGCATTGCACATAGACTCAAGTGCTCTTTAAGGCGGTAACAACATTTGTCCATGTAGTAGAAATAGAACTGTCTAGTACGCGTACTTGAAAATGATATTGTAGCTGTTTTGTGCATTTTCTTTCTAAACATCCATGCATCTTTGCCCGCAGATACGAATGAATGTACAGAGAAAGCTAATGCTTGCCCAGCTCAGCCATCATGTGTCAATTCTATTGGTTCATACCGCTGTAATTGTCCGTCTGGTTGGAGAGATCGAGGTGCACACACCTGCATCGATGTTGACGAGTGCTTGGTGGGATCTCACAGTTGTCCATCAAATTCACGGTGTTCTAATACTCCAGGTTCCTACCGCTGCATCTGTTTGGCAGGTTGGAGAAACCAAGGACCCAGCACTTGTGTTGATATTGACGAGTGTTCTGTTGGATCACACAACTGTCCATCAAACTCAAGATGTTCCAACACAATAGGCTCCTACCTTTGCCGTTGCAAATCTGGTTTCACTCAACCCTACTCGAGATCACGTTGTCAAGATATCAACGAATGTACAACAGGAAGCCATTCGTGTTCCTCCTACGGCAACGCCTATTGTGTGAATACTATTGGCTCCTACTATTGTCGCTGTAACCGCTGTTACTACATGTCTGGACGCAGCTGTAATCGTAAGTAATATAATACATTAAAGATTTCTGCATTTTAGCCTTCCATACAACCAGTGATAAGTTGCTTACTGAGTGGAGCACTGAATTGGTATCACAAGTGATACGTTAATTAAAACAAGTTGGTTATGTCTTTCAGCTGTCACTACTGTTACTAAAAAAACTGTATGTTTATCAATTTTTTTCCAATAGCTGACTGTCGCCTCGACACCCAGTACTATTACATAAAGAGCTACACCTCTTATAGAGACTATTATACCAACGGTTGCTGGCTTATTCTAAGGTGCCGAAAATACAGGTAGGCAAACCCACTTTATTTTTATTGCTGATCGAACCTTGGTTCGTTTTAAAGGATGAATTAAGCACCTTTTCTCGTTTAAGCACAGCACACTGTATCATTAGAACACAGATACTTGCAGTACGAGTTCAAAGCTAGCGCTCGAAATAAGGGAGAGGGTGGGGACAGTGTCACTTTATAAAGAACAGCTTGAGATGGGTACTTTTAAACTATATCTGGCCGTAGGTGGCTAAATACAGGTACCTTTTTAAGGTACTTTACTATTTACAATTTCCAAGCAGCCACTCATGTTGTTGAATAAAACCCCTCTGCCCCTAAGCCTGTCTTGATTGTGCTCGACAACTTTTGCAAAACTTTTGGCGTTTGGAGCAACTTTTTGCGGTTCTTGCAACCTCGAGCAATTTTGACCTTTTTTGCGCAATTTTTGAGCAAAGTAGAGGTTAAGAACTGATATCAAGCACGAAAAAATAAACGATTTCATAAAAAAAATTCAATTTATACGAATTTCTTGAATGGTTACCAACGTTTCGAACACAAATGAACTAGGTGTTTTATTCCGTTAGACTCAAAAGTATCCTGAAATTTCGCCCATGTTTGGGGGTAACTCTTTGAAGCTTAGTTTCAAACTATTTCTCTTGACCGATGTTGGCAATTGTTGTAAAGAGCGAGAAACAAGGCTTTCAATTAATATTTACACAAAAATATCAAGAAATTTAGGAAGCAGCTTTTTGGATTTTCGGCAATTTTTTTAGCTACTTTTTAGCATTCCAGTGAGCAACTTTCCAGCATTTTACGAGCACAATCGGAACAGGTCTATCTGCCCCACTTTTGTAGAGATCACCTTCTATGGAAAAAGACGTCATACAATTGTACTGGCTCTTGTTTGGGAGCTAGTGATAGGAATGGAAGTAAACGCCCATCACACCGAAAAACTTCTCAAGGAAATATATAGAGCATTGTTACCATGCCAGTATCAGTCAGAAAAACTATCCTTACAATCGTACGAATTACCCGCGGCATTAACTTTTCATTGGGTAAATGCCATATTGATAGTGCTGTTGAAATATTATTAATCATTGTTAAGTTTATTGTCATTGCTTTTATTTGCCAGAACAAAATGGATATCAAAAATGGTTCAAAAAAGCCGTCAAGTTTGGGTGAAGAACCGTGTTGGGGCAAGCTGCCCGTATTGAACCATGGCACTGAGGAGATTTCTAAGCCAATCGTCAGGGAAACAAAGAAAAACCGATGCAATCCAGGACCATTTTCGACTGCAAAATTAAAATTTTGTGAAACAGACTAAGAAAATGTACGCCCTATCGACGGTATATTTCTCAAAAACAAGAATAATTAATAAAGAAATAAATAAATAACTGAGTAAAAGAACTAATAATTATGTAATATTATTGTAAACTGTCTATGAAATATGTTGATTTGCGTCATGTATTTCTAAAATCAATTAAACATATATATGCAAAAAACCACGCCTAAACTACTAAAAAGTGGTTGTTTAAACACATTTTTTTGAATTTTCTGCCTCTGATTTTTCTTGTAGAGAATTATTTTGTTCATTTTTTCACCCAGTAGAGAAGAGCACTCACATGACGGAATTAATTTCTCTAGATTGTTTTTTTAAAGCTGTTACAGCGTTTTGAACGAAATGAACGAAAGTCTTAAGCATTAGAAAAAATTAAGGGGCTTATATCGTTTATTTCTTTGTTTTTAATTTGTTTATTATGCCATTTTATAATTATAATACATCTGTGGAAATAAGAGGAATTACATCTACATAAACATAACTGGAAATTTGACATGTGGCGAGGGAAACCCTTAGGGACACCAAGATGCTCATACGAGTTACAGGCTTCTTCATATTCTACAAAGTGAGATATCAGTTATATGTCATTTTTATATGGCACCAATGCAAGATACGCAATTATCTGTAAAATCGGTCCATGTTGTATCGGGAAATTGTATACCTTTCTCAAATAAAGTAGTTTCGAAAAATTAAAATTGGAGGCTTTGTATAATTCTGTTACTCGGGATTGTGGTTTTTTGCCAGAAGACAAAGCTAAGGTTTTCCGCTTGAATATTTGTATGCTACCTGTAGTTTCGTCATCAATAAAATTTTAGAAAAAGATTTTAGCTTCAGTCTATTGTACAACGCAATCAATATCTTGTGGAAACAAAAAACACAGCAGAAACTCATGGAGTTTTAACCGATGCGCGTTGTTTCGGCAAATCAGGAGCAACTTTAGGCTTCGCCAAATGAGGGTGGTATTAACTCCCTTTAACCTTAAATTACAAGTCTTTGGCTCGATCATCGCGTCACAGACCATCAACGCATATGCATGAGGCCTATTCGTGTACAGGTCACGCAATTTAAGCCCAGAAAACCAAGCTGTAGAAACCAATCTTCCGCCTAGCCCCAGTCCGCGTGGCTATCCATAAACTTTGACCTTCACGCGGATCATGCAAATGAAAAAGTGTCAGCTCGAGTTGGCAAGTTATCGCGAGTGCGTTATTATGCCAGCCGTATTCCCAAATCGTCAGGAAAATGGATCTTTCATTGAGTGTATTGTATTTCCTATGTAATTCGTGTTTTCTATGTCATTCCTATGTTGTTTCCAATCTTGTAATTAGTTGTTCCATTTTTAATGTGTTATGCTTGTAACACTTAAGTTAAGTTAAAAACCACTATCAGTGACGTGTAAGTAGAAGATTAGTAGAAATTTACTGCTGGTGAGTTGGTTATTCAAGCCATTGGCAACTGGGGTGCGCACAAGAATTCCTGTAGTGCACAAGAATTCTTGTTTTTCGTCCCTCAAGCGGGATAGATTTCAAGGTGCGCGGTATTCTCGTAGTGGCTAATAAAATGAAACCATTTTTTTTATCTGCGCAGTGAACTCCCCACAAACAACAATTTCCATAATTTAGTGTGACATGCAACATCTCGGTGACATAATATTTTAAAAGTCTTATGAGTCCGGTAAAACTAAAAGCCGGTCTGAGTCTGAGGCGCACCTGACACTCGTAATGTACGCTTTCCTATAACAACCGTTTTCGCGAAAGGCTGTTACTCGAGCCAAGTCTCCCACCCATTCCAAACTTATCCCAGGTTCCATGGCATGAATCGACTTAGAGTATACCTACTCCCCCCTGGATGGGATATTAGTCCATTGCAAGGTCACCCCCCAGCATTTAATCAGGCTTTCCTCACAGTTCGCCAGTATCCATTTACACTCATAGGTGGAGAGAGGAACACATTAACCCGGACCCTCCCCGGGCCTGTCAACTCGGAGTCCTGCGCACTAGCCCTTCGGCCACTGCGTTCATGTTTCGCGACAGGTAACACACCATAACAGACATCATCTCAAGTTCTTGTAGTTTTTACCTTATTTTTATTTTAATCAGTTCATTCCCCTATTTCCAATCATGATTAAAAGCAACAACTTCACGGCGAGCCGTAAAACAAACTCTGCACTAACATCAAATTGGAACACTGTTTAAAAAGTCACAACTACCAGAGCAAATGGTAGAAGTAATTAACCCTTCCAACCCCAAGATCAGAGAGTTGCCTAATAGAATTTCACGCCACATCTGCAAGAGCTGAGTCCCTTCACTCTTAACCTGTCTACTTCAGAATGTGATGATATGATCAGGAGAAGTTGCGCACGAGTCTTTCCTGAGACTAGAGAGGTACCGCCATACAATTATGTGAATAAGTATGTTAAACACTCGCTGTACTGGCTTCAAATGCTCTGAACATAACTATCTAAGCTTTAGGAACATAAGACCCTTCCTGACCGGCAGGGGATTGGGGCTGATGAGGGTCACAGACCATCATCCGCGTAAAGTTGAAATCCAAGAAAGCTTGAGTGATGCGTGATTTCCAAACAGCTTTTCGTTGCCAAAATCAGATACAACTTTGTAAATCAATAAAGCGTAACCCTTCATAACAGAGCAATTAAAAGCCAGTAAACTTGTCAGTCTGTTTTTGACTAACTGGGCGGTTACACAACGATCCCCACTCATAGTGCTATAGGAATCACTGATGCGCTGCGATCGCTACGTTACGTTACATCACACAATGTTAACGTGAAGGCAGCCTAGCAGAAAAAAGCTCGAGCACACGAGGAGTTTGAGTTTGCCGACGCAGGGATAAAAGAAAATGCTGACGAGAAGGAAAAGCGGTTGGAGAGCTAAAGTCTCGCTTCTAACAAAATAAACCATTTTCTTTAACGTTTGCAAAAATGTTTTCGTCATGAAACAAAACAGGAAGAGCCACCTTTATAAGAAGAACAACAAAAAGAACAGAGGAAAAGACTATTAACATCACAGTGACCCAACACAGGGCACATTTGCCCGGGGCGAGTGTAGCAAGTTCAGAATTAAATAAATTAGATCATTACGGAGACCGTTTGGTTTTATATACAGAAATTATTAAAATGGCCCTTTATATTAACACTATAAACAAAATTGCCTTAAAATCATCATCATATCGAAGAAAAATCGATTCCTACCATTGATTCATTCAGCAATTATTTAAAGCACCTATGAGTACCGTTATATTTACATTTACTTTGGCAACATTAAAATGGCTTGAAAAATGAAATGGTTCACTGCATTAAACATTCTGTTTGTGGAAATTTTCCTTTCGCTGGCTTTAAAATACTTCTAGCAAGTACAATCTCTACGCACGTTAACCCTAACCCGTTATTGAATTTAGGCTTCGTGCCTCTGGCTAATGGATGTACCTAAATCATTTCTGTTATGTTTTTTTTTGTTTTTTTGTTTTTTCAGTAATGCAAGAATATCGACTAACAACACTCAAATAAGAACATAAGTTTAGGAAAAGGAGGAAAGTGGAAAACAAGGGGGAGTTTTCGAGGTGAAGAGAGGGGAGATGGGTTTGAGGCAGAAGAAAAGAGAAGCCAGGTAGGAGGCGGAAGATATGCAGGAAGATAGGGAGGCAAAAGCCAGGAGGAAGGAGAGAGAAGGAAGGAAGAATGTACAGGGTAGAAAACAGGTGAGAAATAAGGTAGGGAAGGGATACAAAGAGGGAGGAAGGAGGAATGAGGACAAAAGGAGCGGTTAAGACTGAACAAAGCAGGAGAAGAACACCCACGAACTGAGGACCCTACTTAAAGACACTCAAACCGAAACAACTTAAACCCTTTAACTCCCAAGATCTGATTGTTAATTCTCCCCTCTACCTGCTAATCATTTCCTTGTATATTAATTATGAGAATTTGATGGTAGATCAAGATAACAACTTCTACCTGATAAGTTTGAACATTCTCATTACCTGTTTGCTGAATGATGAAAAGATATTATAGGGAGAAGTTACATGTCGATCACTTCTAGGAGTTAAAGGGTTAAGAAGGCAAATAAGGGCAAGAACGAGGACATGATTGATACAGCACGTAGCGACTGGGTGCTACAGGACGTTATGGAATTATATGTTACGATACTATAACACCACACAGCATCGACACATTCTCTGTCGTCCGCCACCGACACTCGGGGGAGGGGTGACAGGGGCGAAGTATGCGTGAACTTTTAAGTCCGGTAGTTGCGCCTGAAGAGGAACCAAAAAAATACAGCGTCAAACGACACTTGTGTGGCTGAACTGAGGGAGCTTACCACTCGTGACAACGAGTAGGCTGCTATGGTTTATTTCCTTACACAAATTCACCCATGTAAGTAGTCACTTCGCAATGTAACTGTTTGTTTTTTTCCCGTTTTTTAATATCTTCGACAAAAATAAAATAGGTAATCTTGCTTGATACAAACAAACTAACCTTAAGTCTTCTAATTCCCGCTCTTGTGATCAACTGGCAATCGTAAAGTTCTATTCTCTTGAGTTCTCGGCAGTTTCTGTATTTAAGTTAACAAGGCCAAAGAAAACCTTTTCAATTACGAATCCACACCACGAAATTTAATTGTTTATCCGTTTTCTCCTCCATTATTCATTTTCTTCCCAGCCGATGAATGACGCATCACGATGCGCTTGCCTCAGTGTTTTCATTTATTCAATTCTTTTAGTCTTCACGACAAAAGCTACAAGAGTGTCAGGTGTAGTTCAATTTGAACGTCACTCATGGCTCCTCCAAAACAATGCGAGTTTCCATTGACACAAATCAATTCGACGCAAAAAGACGAGCAAAACCCAAAACTTGCCAGTATTTTGATCGATAAAACTATATTTTGAACGAGAACTGATCAATGTTTACTCACATCAAATGTTCCAGGGCGTTGTCTGTGATAAGAGGGCAGTTATCCAATTCCAGGACCTCAATATGATCCACAGCACAGGGACTGCCACCTAATTGTCTAATGCCTTCGTCTGTTATAAGCTCGCAATGGGAAAGACTCTGTAGAGAGTAATACAGTGACACGAAGTTCACTACTCAGCCCATTTCGTCGGGCCTTCGGATGCCACCAAACTCCCCATTTGCTCGTTAGAGTGACTGGCATCTAATTTATCCTCACAATATCACCTCTGAATCACAAAGGTCATCGAGAATCTCCAACTAAAGAAACTCTTGATTGTTAAACGATTTCTCCTTTCAGCACGTCAGGAAATGTATAGAGAATAGGATGGAGAATACGCATATTGATGTTGGGGGGAGAGGCGTCCATTTGGCGAGGAAACACATCCAGCTGAAAAACTGTTGGGGGGAGAGGCGTCCATTTGGCGAGGAAACACATCAAACACAGCTGAAAAACTGTTTCCTAACTATTTTGAAACAGGAAACTTCAAAATGACGCGCGTATGATTTTACTTAAATATATTTGGATTAGTTGGTTTAGAATTTACAAAATTAATTTTTGCCATTTGCTGACTTACACAAAAGTAAAGGATCATTGTCAGTGTCAGCAACTGCGTACTTACCCCTCCCCAAATATAACATTAACCCCTACCTGTTAAGGGAAGGGTAAGTGCGTAGTTGCTCAGATACTGACATTGATCCAAAGTAAACAACAAACTCACTAGTTTCTCTAGGCCAGAACACCAGAGTGATAAGTGATTCAAAGTAGAGTCTGTGATCTAAACGAGAAATAAAGCATGTTAATGCATAATGTACTTCTTATCTAAGGCCAAACGCAAGTTGACAGGCCTTCAAAACCAAAATATTCGATTCTCGATTTGCGGAAACGTCCAACTCGAGGTTCGAGCCGAGTTCCGGGGCGTCCGAAGCCGTTCGAGAAATTATCGAGGGCTTTCGTGAAGTTTCCATTCGATTCCTTAACTCTTAATACTCCGGAAGAAAATGATTCTCATGTTCTCATGATATCCGTGAAAATTGCTGTAAATTAGCGGTTGAGCATTCGAAAGGCAAACGAACGACCGAGGTTCTTTTGCTACTTCTTACTTACAGAAAGAAAAGAGGTTACTATTTTGGGAGAAATATGCCTTCTGAAACCAACTCTTGCATGAAGCAACATAATGGGCATATTTTTAAGTAAAATAATAAAATGTGCTCACCAAAACACACTCTTCTAAATCCATGCGTTGGAGGTTATTACAACCCTAAAACAGAATCGAAATAATTTAATTCTTCTGATTACTGACAAATGTGCTTTAAAATGCTCATTATTATGTCTTTAACCTAGAAACCAATTCCATGAACAATAAATAATCTCATTGACTAAGAACATTCTGGGAAAAAAAACTGAGATGCTACTGTGTAGTTTTATAACGTCAGTAACTTCTTTCACAAAGTCTAGTCACGGTCATTAAAATTTCAAGTGCTCTACAACCAATCTTGGTAGAAAACTGCACATCAGAGCTCTTTCTGGAGCATTATGTGAAAACTTTTATTATTTTTCTCATGTGTCCATGAAATACTATGTATAAACTGAAAAAGAGGAACACAGAGTGCCATGTTTAATTGTAGGCAAGCTTTTAATAGTAAAATACTTACCCTACAAAGTGCTTGGAACCCCGCATCTGTAAACTGTGAACACTGTGCAGCTTCTAAAGTTCTGCAAGGAAACCAAAAATAAAGTGTTGTTATTAAAAGCCATCCACACAAGACTAAACCTTGACAACAAGAACAAAGACTGTGAAAAATAAATTCCAAAAGCACAGGCGCCAACATTAAATAAAACAACAACAACCACAACAACAACAAAAACAAAAAACAACAACAGGAGAGCTGTATGAAAGCCGCCTGCCGAGGCAGCATTTCCTCAAAATGCAACAATCACAACTGACTGCAACACTAAAAGAGGTGTATCCATTCATGAAAAACGCATGGTACAAAGTAAGGAAAACTTTTATTGGGAGGTGGAGATTGAAACAGTCAAAATATACATGCCAAAGAAAAGAAGAAATAGACAAGTAATGATAGATGTCTGACTAGTTTGTTGAAACTGAGTAGAGATGAGGGTACATTGTATTACTGATCAACTGTTAGCCTCAATACACTAAGTCTTTCTTGGCGTTCACATCATTTGACAATGAAGTTGCAATTCTAGAATTTAATATGCTTTAAAGTAAACAAATTGCAAACTGGTTTCTAAACATTGGACTCAACTTGCTGTTCATGATCTGAAAATTCATATCATAGTATGTATTTGAATGTACATCTACTGAATGTAATACAAATTGATGGTATAGTTCAACATATTTAAAAAATACATATATAGCTGTGAGCTCTTACCTAAGCCCATGGCTGTTACTTCCCAGATGTTGAAGTGCCACATCTGTCAGCTGTATACAGCCAGATACACACAGAAATGAGATCTCCCGACAATGTTCACTGACTGCCTTTACAGCATTATCTTTAATATTCTGAAAGGGAAAGAAGTTAAGAGAATGATTTAGAAACAAATTACTGTTGAGAGTGACATATTTGGAGCAAGTCTTCTATCGCAGTGACAGATAATAGTCATTAGCACAAGACAAAATGGAACTATAGGGAAAAATCTTCTGACCACAATTTATCTGGCAAATAATATTGCTATGTCAAAAGTTAAGTATTAATAAAACTAAACTAAAAGTAATTCAACTTTCAAAAAGTGCCAATTTTGCAAATATGCCATTTAAATCTCAGAAACAACTATTGTACCTCACAGCTGTGTAAGTTGATAGTGTGAAGTTGGGCACAATGTTTAGTAAGATGATATATCCCTTCATCTGTTACCTGCAAAGTGCAAAGGCAACAAAGTTTTGTTCATTAATTATTTTGAAGTAACTTGTTTTTGTTTGTTTGTTTCCTTGGTAGGGTTGGGGCAAGGGGGGGGGGGGGAGGGGGGTCCATGGGGCATGGGGTGTGGGATAAGGAGATAAACCAAAGGTGGTTCAGGTAACAAAATTTAAGACACATCTGGCAAATGAACTTGGATCAACTGAACCCGATGCCCTACTAAGGAATTGCTGGCCTGAGATCATGGCAGTACGGACTCTGTGCAAAAACCACCAAGGGCCAATATTCCCCAGTATGGCTCCAGCAAGTGAGGTTAGTAAGTCATTTTTTATATGGCACTCAGACCAAACTAGTTTAGTTGAATTTGCTGGGTTCTGCAACTGAAAAAACACAGCTTATGATCCACATGGCAAAATAAGGACCACGTAAGAACTAATCAGAACATATCTAAGAGCTCTGTTCTTCCTTTCTTATGTTGTTCCCTGGAGTAAGAGTTAATATATAACTATAACAGTTGACATGGAAGTAAATGGAATCTCCAATGGAAACAAAAACTAAATTTTAACAGCACGTGGAACCAACAAGAAATGGAAGTTACTCATGATGCATTGACTTAGTCTGAAGTGATACATCATTCATTTAGAGGGAACCAAGTTTCTGTGGTCAGCTGCAAGGCACAGTGAAGAAAAGCTAGACTCCATGTAAAAACTAAAAGATAACTTTGCCATTCACATGAGACAGCAAATAAAGGAAAAAAAATATTTATAATAAGTGCCAGTTCTTGACTCACCAATGAACATCCTTTTGCTATAAGTACTAGTAAGTCATGACAGCCTTGTGCTAGTAACTTAAGACCATGAGATGAGACTTGATTACACCATGATACATTAATGTACTGCAGCTTGGTGCAGCCTTTACTGTAAGACAAACAACAAAACAGTGTTTACGCTGAAGACACTGCAGGTTGATCCCTTTGTGATGCAAGCTGCATTGGCTAAGCATAGATAAACCTTATTAAGTGTACATATACCTATTTACAAACAAACTATTTACATGATCAAATTTGATATGAATTCACTTAGATACAATAAAAGTAATCTATATATCAATTATAGCAAATGGAAACCATATTATTACTTGTAAAGCTGCCATCATCATCATCATAATCATCATCATCACTGTGTTACGAAACAGCACATGGATCTTTCCTTTACCATAGAGTTACATGTACCCTGCGTAAACAATATGAGTGTGGTAACTAACCTTAGTGCACTAAGAGAGTTATCTGTGATTTGATGACAGGATGATATATCTAAATGCTTGAGTCGTCCACTGTAGTTACTTAAACTTATGGCAGTGCTGTGGAACAAGGAGAATACAATTAATTGATGAAACTGGTGGAAAAAAAAAGTGAAAACAGAAAACCATTTAACTTTCTGCATAACTGAAAAATGTACATATACACTGTAGTTGTACAAATTCATTCAATTTAAGAGTTTTACTTAAGGTATTCTCTAAAATTATCATTCATGAATTCTCAATGACTTTCATTCACTTTTTATATGTAGTCATTTTTTTTGAGGTTGATGCAGGGAACCAAGAAAGGCAGAGAAGTCAAAACAAGTTTTAACCCTTTAACTCCCATTAGTGACCAAGACAGAATTTTTCCTTACCATATCAATACAATATCAACCAGATAAGTGATGAGAATGAAGAAAAATATCAATTTGGGGATAATTAGTTGATCCAATACTAAATTCTCTGAACTAACATTATATGAATTGCATGGTTGACAGTAAGGAGAATGAAAAATTTGATGTGGGAGCTAAAGGGTTAAAATTATCAACATGATCTGCAGAGAGAGAACTTTTAATCTTTTTTTCCAGTCAGGCCCAACAGAGGTTTTAAATTATTCCACATCAAGATTAGCAATACTTAGTCTGTAATACTCACTATGGTCTGTAATACCACTATGATAAATAATTTTTAAACAAGTAGGGGGATCTGTACCTATCAGAAATTCTTCTACATCCATCTAAGACTAATTCCTCAATATTCTTGCACTGTTGAGCAAAGATTCTGAAAATGAAAACCAGATTATAGAGGTCAGCATTTATCCTTTGGTTCCACACCACAGAATCATGAAACATCTATCAATGAAAGTAAAAAACAGGCATGGAGAGAAGGGAGGCAAGAGGAGTCTTCGAACAGGTGCAGACAGCCAGGTTTACAATACAAGTCAGTAAAAGCATACAAGTAAACACACATGAAAGTAAAAAAAAAAAAAAACACTTCACTTTAATTACAGCAAGATATCATTTATTAAGCGATAAAAGCTAATAATTTTTATAAGTCTGGAAACTGTGGGCAGCTAAATGTAAAATAATGTATTATTTTACTCTCAGTGATAAGTAGAAAATGTTATTATAGGTATGTGTCAGTTTTCTAGGACTTAAGTTGCAACTTAAAAAGTTTGGGAGCCATTCTCTAGATAATATAAAGACAATGTATTTTAAATAAGTTTCTGCAAAAAATTCCAGATGAAAGTGCTTCATAAAATGACCTTAGCAACTCAACTTTTTGAGTCAACAAATGTGACTTCCCTAAACCTTCCTAATATCTTTAACGTATCCTCAAAAGCATTGAACATTGAACACAACACACATACCTTAATGCCCCATCTCCAACACTCTTACATCCCCTCAAACTCAAGCTCCTTAGAAAGCCTACACATCTTCTTGACAAGTTCAGCACTACTGTCTCCTGAAAGTGTGTAACCATTTATCGGTACTATTAATTATGAAAACCTCAGGAGGACCATAAATTATTTAACAATATCACACCTCATAAAGCTTTCATACAACATTCACAAGAAATACCGATCAGACACTCAACCCCTTCGGCAAGCATCTCATTAAAAACAAGCTCACTGAACAGCTAAGCATTTCCATCTCATACATACTTACTGAGATTTTCATTAATTCTTCAGTTATTATAAATAGTACAGGAAGTTTTCACCACCATAATGACCTAACCCTTTAATCTCTATGAGAGACTAGCATCTAATTTGTGGAGAAAGCGTGTGTGATGGGTTAAGAAATTTGAACCACTTGAACCACTTGAATGTAACATTGCCAATTAAGTAAACACCACAATATCAACACCTCCGTGGTCTTTCTGAGTACTATACACTGTTTCAACCATAACCTCATTATAAAAAGGAATAACCTCAAAATATACCAATTTTGAAAACCAGCAGATTATCATTATCACTGAATTTTCATGGCAGGAAAAATTCATTTGAATTCTTGTGCCAATGAACATTAAAACTAATCTTCCTGTTTCCAAATCACAACTAATAAATCATGGTGGGTAAGCAAACCAAAAAAACTAGGCCGGAAAAAAACTATTTCTTCATGAATGGTGCATGTGTGGTTAGATAATGTTGATTTGTACCTCTATGTCTGTTTGAAAGTCAAACAAATTCACCCGTTGCCAGTTGCTTCCGTCCAAAGCCAACACATTCCAAAGCTACAAACATTTAACTTGTTGTTAGTATAAATTTTTTGTATACAGCTATTTCAAGAAAGGTTGTCAGAAAAACAGGACAAAAGGGCATGCAACAATCTAGAAAGGTTATCTGAGCATCCAGTAATCTATAATTTTTTTTTAATTTTTAAGATGCACCATTTCAAACCCTGCACCACAGAGTGTAACTCTCATAAACAGCTTATTTCAAATTTGGAACCAGTGTAACCAAATTTAGGACATAATTTTTCCTGTTCATACTCATAAAACTGAAAAGTATGTGAAAGTACCAAAATACTAACAATTTGAAATTTGTCTTTGTGCCACACATAGGTTCCTTATTTACTGCATTTGACAATTTAGGATGGGTTGTTTCAGTAGTAACCTCCATTTGGTCTTCAATGTCTAGTTAGTAAACTGTAGTACTCATGCAGCCTTGGCTTCCTCACCTTTGACACCTGTGCACAGCGACACAGGGAAACTACATCCAGAAATGAAAAAATCCTTTGGGAAAAGAAGTAAATAAAGATATTGAGAAAAACTGACGCATAAGTTATGGTCAAAGCACTAAGGATTAAGAGATTCTTTTCAACACCTGCGCATTTCCGTGTTCCTACCCTAAAACCATATACTAACCAAATAGGAAAAGATAAATTAACCTTTTAACTGATTGTTAATTCTCTCATCTAGCTGCTACACATTTCCTTGTAAATTAGTTATGAGAACTTGGTGCGAGATCAAGATAACAACTTCTATCCCATAAGTTTGAATATTCTCATTACCTGTTTGCTGATTAATGTATGGATATTTTAGGGAGAAGTTTTATGTTAATCACTTCTGGGAGTTAAAGGGTTAATTAAAAAAAGATAAATTAATTGAAAAATTATCTAACATATCAACTAAAACTCATTTACTGGATTAGATTTCAACTTTTTTGAGCAGCAATATGAGCTGGAACATGTAAGAATTCACAGACTACATCACTCACATTCAAATCTTGACCCTTTAATTTCAAAAGTGACTAAGACAAAATAATAACTATTTTGCCTCACAATATCAATATAACATCAAGCAAAGTGATTAGTGATGAGAATAAAGAAAAATATCCCTTGGGGGATTATCAGTTGATCCAATACCAAATTCTCTGTGGTAACATAGGAAGAATTATAGATTGATAGTAAGGAGAATTACTAAAAGATCTTGAGAGTGAAAGAGTTGATAAAAAAAAGTGAGTGAAAAAAAACCCATCAAGATCATATCATTTCAATCCATTATTTAATAACCATTAACCCTTTAACTCCCAGATCAAATTTGTAATTCTCCCTACTGTCAACCATACAATTTTTATAATGTTAGTTCAGAGAATTTAGTATCGCATCAATTAATTATCCCCAAATTGATATTTTTCTTTTTTCTCATCACTTATCTGGTTGATATTGTATTGATTTTGTAAGGAGAAATTCTGTCTTGATCACTCATGGGAGTTAAAGGGTTAAGAAAAAAGTGCATCTTTCCCTTTAGCCATCACATGAAATTAAAGTATGTTTAAACTTATCGTTCCTTTTCATAACCAAAAATAAATATAAGTAAATCGATTCATTAAATGAGTAACTATAAAATAATTAAAAAATAGTAAAAATGAACAATTCAAAATCCTTAAAAATCTTTTTTGTGGCTTTTAAGTGCATTGGTAAAGCAAACACAGGAATTTATCAGTTTGTACTTTGATTATTAAACAATCATTTATCAATATGTTAGTTCATTTGTTGATACAATGCAAATCTAAAAATAAATTTATACAGCTGTAACATTTTTCTTTCCAGATGCATCTAAGTAATGACAAAAAGCTTGCACCTTTATGATAAAGGTGTCACTTAGGATCATCGGGCAAGTATTATAAATACTACTACAGTAAGTATTTGCTGGGCTTATCAGAGTGGCTCTTGTCTTTTAAAACAATGCCTACTTTCCCTCTAAATTAAACTACATAATATTGTATTTGATTTCCCTTAAAGTACATTAGCATGCAAATTGTGAAGAGCACTATTTTGATGAGCATTAAAACAAACCTTATCTTTCTTTAAGACCTATCAATATCAAAATGTTCTCACTTAGGCAAGGTAAAAATTTTCTGCATGCATAATGACCCATTTATCTAAGTACCTTAAGACCTTCAAAGAGAACATACTTCACATCATCAGTGCACTAAAATCACTTCTCAAATTTACCTTAAAATAAGTTCCTTGGGTAGTTTCTTGTTTATCAAGGCTTGATCTTCATTTGTGTTAAAATTGTAAAGCTGAAATTTGAATGAGATTTGAAATATTAATAGGTTATTTGCCTGTGAGCTGTCAAAACACGCCGCCATTACAGAATTAAAATGACAGCTCTGAATGTAATAGGGACGACGACTGCAAGCTATAATTTCGTTCGAGGTAATATCCATATGGTTCATAAAAAACACATCGTGTTGGCGTGGGAGAACCATTAACTTTTAGAAATTTATGTTGAAAAATTCTTTCTCGATCAAGCTGGGTTTCAACAGGAAATTCGTTCGTGTCTATCTAGCATTGAAAATATTTATAAGCTGTGTGCAAGGTTTTAGCATGGTAGTGGAGAGCGATGAATTTATTTACATGGTAGAGGGAATTTCATTTAACCTTGAAACAGACGATAACGCTTCTTTTTTTATCATATGTCCAAAAAAATGTCTTGTTTCCAACTTAAACCTCCAAAAGCACAGTTTTTTTTTAAGTAAATAAAATGAAATAACAGTTTTATACACGCTGAACACAATGGCAGTATAAATGTCGCATTCGATCGCGGACGTGTGAAATTCTACCAAAACCTTTCAGTCAGATTGGTATAACATACCAAGTGTTACGTTCCTAGCGATCACAATTGATCAATTTATTATTTAGAGATATAGTTTCGTCCTGGGATGAAAATGTTATGCAAGAAATACGTTTATTCTGGGGTTCAAAGCCGCACGTTTTTTCTGGGTCAATAACGATAATTTATTGGAAGGAACGCTAGGGAAATACGAACTGCAACCACGAAATCCTCTTGCAAGAATTTACGGGTGACAGTCAAGGCGCTTGCTCCTCTTCTATAAAGCACACAAAGCGTATTTACCACCGAGAAAGGATGTTTCGATAAATATTTTTACTCCATCCACTGCATCCGAAGCGACGGACTTGTCCACGAAACAAAACAAGGCAAAACAAAACATTTAAATGGCTAAATAGAGGACGAGCTATCGATAGCAAAGGAAATGCATGAGAGGTAGCACATTCTAGATGTAGCTAGCTTCTGACAACCAAATCGAAATTGAAGGATAAAGGCTATTTGAACTTAGCGACTGAAGCTGACTTCAGCTAGATGCAAATATCAGAAATAAATTTTTGTGGCACCGAGAAACGGAAACTAAATGACTATTGTTTGGGTACATCGCCAAACAATCTCATGGATTTGATGAAAATTCTCACAATCTTACCTCAAACCTGCTTCTAGAGTTAACCCTGGCGTGTGTATGGTTATAAGCTGTATGGTTGGTGTGGTTAGAGCACATTAATTTTGCTTATATTCTCGAGGTTCAACGACACAGCCTCCGCAGAGCTGCTGCTTGAACTCTTGTGTTTTTTTGTTTTTCACGAGCCAGATGCTTCGCGTCGAGATTTGTGGGTAATGATTTCCCACTTCCGGTGGTAAACCGGAAGCAGATAAGACAATGCCAAAAGTTAAATTGGAAACAAAAAATATCAGTTAACGAAGGACCATGGGCAGTTCATGTTGTCTTGAAGTAAAATAAATAGTCGTCGTTGTGTATATCGTCATTTAATGTTATTTAACTTTCATCTTTTAGCAAATTAATTTTGTTATTGGTTTTTTCTTTGTAACTACAGGGGGCCAATACAGTTTCTGGCACGTTTGCTGGAAGTGCGTTAGTCTTTGCGGTATTTCGCTTTCACACACCTCACTACACCGAGTAAAAACGATAAATTTTCGTTTTAAGAAACAGTCACTTTTCAGTTTTTAATTATATTTTGTTTTCAAATAAACCTTAGTTTGCAGGTGCCACGTACGTGACTGCCCTTGATGAACTTTCATAACTTCAACTTTCGCGATTGCCGCCAGCTATTTAACTAATCACGGAACATGACGGCGAATCTTTTAAGGGCTAAAAAAATCAGAATTGATTCTTAAGGGTTAGAAAGCAGCTAAAGGAGCTAAGTCCAACTTGTTTAGTCGTGTTTTGCGACAACATCGCATAATTACCTTTGACACTGGTAACACAAAATTGGATAAGCAAACCAAAAGCATCGAAAACGGCTGCTAAGGATGAAGAAAATTCCCACAGATAGCAAACAACATTTTTTTTAAACTAACAGTCTAAACATCTTGAGGTGCTCGGAGGCCCAGGGCTCAAAGTACAGCTTTATCCCAAAGTCGCGTGCCCAACAGTGGTGTGATGTGACATCACGTTACCGCAGCCTCATGATATTATAGCGGGATTTACTTTCACCACAACGTTCACGTGATTAAAAGATCGAAAATAAAAGATCTGAAATAGATATTACCGCGAAAATAACCACGGTAGTTCCAAAAATACTGATAGAAGCATTTTCATTGCTTCTTACTTTGAGACACATACACTGGAACACCAAGTCGCCATCAACAACATTTTGCTTGATTATCAGTCAAAACAAATTCCATACTACCGTACGCCGGTTTAGCACGTCTGTAGCTGCCCTTACCACATTATGACGCCATTTGTGATCTGTTTCTGAACAGAAACGCGGCAACATACAATCCATTTGTCAATTAGGGAAAATGTCTGGAAATGTTACGTTGAAAAGCGTCGTGGGTTCCCTGTGGTTAGCTAGATATCGAACATTAATCTCGTACCCAGATCCTACCGTTTAACTGAAATGTAGAGTCAGAACAACCGTTTGACCGTGGAAGGTCTGGATGCCAGACTAATCGAATATGTCATTGTGACATTTGTTGGAATAGCACCCTTTAACCCTCGAGAGTGACTTGCATCTAATTTCTCCTAACCATGTCACCCCTGAATCCAAAATAAAGGTCAGGAGAATAAAGGAGCTGATCACCTACTAAAGAAGCTCTTGATTGTTAGACAAATTCTCCATGTCCGCATCTTAAGAAATGTTTAGAGAACAGTGTGGAGAATATGCATACTGATTTTAGGGTGTAAAGGGTTAAACGGAAACACTCCAAGCACATTTACTATAATTAATATTATTTATACTGAGAAAATGTACATTCGGCTGTATTAATCGATGTAGTTAATTTTTAAAACAGTGAATAAAATTTGAAGTTAAACTCTAGGTTTCTTCTTTTTTCTGTTCATTTTAAGTTCCATTCGTTCATCCATTTTTTTCGTGTCCAAGTTTAACCTCGTCGACCTTCTCCTTTCATATCATTTCACGTCCTCTGAAGCAAGAAGAAGAGAGATCCTGGGAACGAGGTACTGCTCTTTCAGAGACAGCGTGTTTCCGAAAAAAATCTACAACTTCTACGATCTATTTGGCAATGCTCCCTTCTTGCGGTTGGTAAGCGTTGATTTAAATTAGTACAGAGAATTAATACAAAACCATTCTTTCGGCGTGGTTGCTTGCTGGATATTGTTTTGATAGCAAAGGAAAAGTTTCACTTCTTGAAAATCAACTCTGGGGTTGAAAGATGATGTGACATTGGAGCTCAGTTCGTCTTTCTGAGTTCTTTAACTTTACTGAGGAAAAATCTCTCCACAGTATTTGCGCACTTGTAGTACTCAGTCTCCGGAGCATTATAGGTTCGGCAGTTTGTGAAAATTCTCATCATGTCGGCGATAAACAGCTTCTTCGAGCTGAAATAACCACTTTTTAACCTATCGGTCATCGTGCGAAGATCTGTAAAGCAGAAAAAAACAAGCCAAACTCAGAATGACGTTATAACTGTATCGAAGGAGGAGAAGAGTTCCATTAGACGCATGTGAACACCTCTAAATGAGTGTTTAAGAATCGTGCCACATATACACACACAGAATCTTCACACACGTTTCGTTAGCTATTCCCAGTTATCTATGAGAGACATCATTAAGAAAAATACTTTTTAATTGCTTGTTTTTTTTTGTTAGTTTTTTATGCTTTACCGTTTCGGTGCGGACGTTTTCAACCACTGTTTCATTCATTAGGAGCGTTAGGAGTACTCGTGTGAACGGCCAAACATGATTAAAACAATTGTGTGGAAGTAAATTTTTTCTTCTTTTAAAATGAACAGAAAAGTAAATCGTAGTTAGATTATCTTAGTACTTACCCATTGGGTATTTGATGTGATCATAATAATCGGGTGCTTCAGAGATTTCCACGGGTCTTTGGAAAGGCCACGAGCTGGCATGATTCTGTGAACAAAATATGTTTAAAGCTTGTTAAATATGAAAAGCGACCTTTGTTTCCTTATATTAACTCCCATGGAAAAAGTTTAACAAAGGCTTTAAACAATCAAGTAACTACAGGAGCTAGATTGTAAGCTTATCACAGATCAATTCAGAACGATCGACATATTTCGAAAGAAAATCAAACAAATCAAAACGCCGTGAAAAAAAACAAAAAAAAAACAAAACAAAAGAAAGCGAACGGACTTCACAAACCTTGACTTGTGTCAGGATGTTTTTTAGTTGAGTCTGTAGGTGGTCAGCATCAGCTGTGTCATCCTCACTGAAAAATCCACAGACACATTTCAGGCAATTTCTTCCTCCAATTATCTTTTTATTCAATCATTTCATGTTTTCGTATTCCTTTTTTTTTCAACCAGATACTTTCTCTATGTCTACGGGGAAGAATACTGCAGTTCAAATCGTACCCTAATATGGAATGCATTTTGTCCACACTTTTCTCTTCATGTTTCCTAAGGTTATGATAGGGAGATTGTTTGAAAATCAGGAGCTTCTTAAATTGATGATCATTTACTTTATTCTCAAGACCTTTACATTTGATTTAAGGATGATACTGTAAGAAGAAATTAGAAACCCGCAAAGGGTTAAATATAGCGTCACGGTTTTGATCGACAGCTTTCATAAACAATAAGAAAGGTTTTCCTAGAAATTTCTAACTAAACGCAAAAATCATCTCTCTTTTATTAAAGAACATTTTGCCAGAATTATTATTTGAAGGCAGTTTGGTTTCAATTAGGTCCACACATTGATCGGCTAGTCAAAAATAAATGCACCGTACCGCACTTTTACTAGGGACGTTTTCTCTTTCAGACAAATACTTGCTTGATTTGGCGTAAAACAATGTTTGAAGTAATTAATAGCACAAGAAAACTCAACTTCAAGACAACATTTTGCGGTAATAACCACCTGCTCAATTTGCATCCAGTCTAAGTAATAGCCATTAACTGATTCGGAACCTCTCCAACAAATTGACATTATTGACAATTATCGTGAAAAACCTTTCGCTGGGATGTGAATACATGGCAAAGTAAAAACATTTTTAACATGTTTTTTTATATAGAGTGTCAGAGCGAAAAGCAACGAAACGGAACTTAATTGATCAAAATTATATACAAAGGGCTTCTAAAACAGTTTTCAAAGATGCTCGCTGGCAACATCAAAGTACATGTACCAGCTGTACCATTTTGTGGGGATTGGGGGAGGGGGGGAGGGGGAAAGCAAATAAGCAAGTAAGGGGAAGCACTTCACCACCATACCCCACGCAAAACTACACTAAAAAATACCAAAACTTAGAAGCGAATATAAAGCAACTTCAACTGTCGTTATTTTTGCTTTACATCGCTCTGTGATTGGTCCAGAAGACTTGCACCACTCTCGCAACAAATTATACGCAAAACTACAAGCAATCACGACTTGGTCACGCGCGTTCTCTCACGCGTTCTCTCGCGCTTTAGGCAGTTTGCTTGATTTTACTTTGAATTCTCAGTTGCTCTTAAAGATATTTTCTTTCCTCTAATTGGCCGTTGTGATTTACTTTGCTTTTAGCCCTTTAACTCCCATGAGTGACCAAGAGAGAATTTCTCCTTACAATATCAATACAATATCAACCAGACGAGTGACGAGAATTAGAAAAAAATATCAATTATGGGATTACTAATTGATGCGATACAAAATTCTTCAAACTAACATAATGAGAATAATTTGGCAGGCAGTAAGGAGAATTATTAATAAGATCTTGGGAGTTAAAGGGTTAGCTGTATGACACTCAATCCAAAACCGTTCTAACATCAACAGATAGAAATTGGTTTTAAATAGGTATACAGGCATGAAAGTAGTCGTTGAACACCAAAGCCAGCCAGACGATCGCTAATAGCATGCATATATGGACGATTTCCCAGAGCACAATTTTAGTGGAAAGGCCTTTACATGGTAATAAACCTACCTCTTCGTTAAGGATGGCTTCCATCCCGTTTCACCTGTGTAAGTGAGAGCAGAAGTAATGTAAGAGAGTTATAGGTTAACGATCACTGGCTATTACGTATTGTCACTCATCGTTCCCGTCAACGCATGAATGTAGAACACATCAGTCAGATGCTTGCGCAAGTAACAGCTTTATTGCAGCCCCTTATAATGATTTATATTTATATTTTATATTTTGATTTCTATTTATGATTTATAATGATTTTGATTTCAGACCATCTGGACCAAATTACCTCTGAGGATTTAAAAAATCACACAAGTCAGTTTCAAAAGCGTAACACTTTTCTGATAAAGCTAGAAAAAAATTTGGAAATCAACAAAATAACGGTACGAAAATAAAGTTTGTGTTCGAAAAGTCTTAAATTTTCTTTTCCCAGCTTCTGTTTCCTTCTATCAGCATTTCAATTTCTGCGCATGCCCTACGCTTAAGCGCTGTCTTCAACCGTCTACATACCCACTTTTAACCAATGTCAGTGCTAGACACCGTCGCTGTAAAAATGTGTACCGGTCTTTTCAGCGCGCATCGAGAACAAATGAAGGACCGTTCGTTAAAACACGAGTCAAGCTTCAAATTCAAAAAGAAGTACTGGTAGATATTTTTGTTTTCAAATGCAAGAAATTAGAACTTCCCAGGTTCCTAAGTTTCTCCCTAACCGTTGCTGAAGGCTGTAGGTGTGAGATTGGTAAATATAACAACGCAAATTACCTCCTCCGACGCTGAAAACCTGCTGCTTTCTAAGTTGGTTTTAGTACATTTATCAACCCAAGGGACCAATAATGAATTATCGCCGGAGAGAGGGGAGGGAGGGGGAGGGGCTTTGAAGGATTTTAGTTGTGTCACGATCAAATATAGGCCCCCTTTAACTCTGTTGGCCACGACTGACCCCGCTCTATCCCCCCTTCCCCTGACGATAACTAACTGTTTCTTAAGAATGATTAAAGTTTACTTACGGATTCCTGGTATACTCTCTACGGGGATTTGTCTTACTCCTTCTTGAAAACATTTGAGCCCCGGGTACACTTTACGGATTTCAGTTTGTTTCTTCTCCATCAGTTGTTTCACGATCTGTAACGACGTAACATTTATTTATTACAAAAAAGAGTTTTCGATCCTTAAACGTTCCGATTTTTGCGGTCAGATGCAAGAAATTTACTCTCAGGCTCGACATAATCAGTTACAGTCGAAGTGTCATGCATACTGCTATGATCAACACCTTTGAAAAGGTCCTGTGAGACCATGGCCGTCGAGTAACGAACGATGTTTTGATAACATTTCTGAAGAGCCTCATACCACCACAATGTGATGTCATCATTAGTGCCAGACCCCAAACAAACTTCTTCCCGACTCGCCTCAAAGCTCCCAGCGGGCGAGGAAACGCGCTAATAATGAAGGCATGCCTGCATACTTAGTCTATTAACCCTTTAAGTCTCGTAAGTGATTAATATTTAACTTCTCCCTATAATATCCATACATTACCCACCAAACAGGTAATGAGAATACTCAAACTTATAAGGTAGAAGTTTTTCTCTTGATCTAACACCAAATTCTAAGGTAACTAAAGTTACAAGTGAATTTTTTTTAGCTAGAGGGGAGAATCAACAATCAGATCTTGGGAATTAAAGTGCTAACGAAGGATCACCGGCGATTGTACAAATGTTCAACATCAGATGAAAAGTACTCACCTCTTTTTGTTTTCTGATGATCGTGGAGAATTCAGTGTACTGGATTCGCGAATTGATAGCGCACTGTCAAAGAAAATATCAACACAACAGTTACAGTGATTCAAACGGGCCGTTGTGTGAAGATCTGCAAGATCCTCAACAACACAGCTGTAAGAAGCTGGAATATATAAGGACCAGTCAGTTATTTATCGCCGGGGGCGGGGGGAAACGGAGGATTTGGGGGAGATCACAAGGTTTTCCGGGGAAACGGAGGGGGATCAGCATAAGGGGGGAGGGGAGTACTAGAAGAATACCACAGAGCCTTATGGGAGGATCAGGTAAATTTCTCCAAAATCCTCCAATCCCTCTCTTTTACCCCCACCCCAACCCCCAGCGATAAATGAGGACCGCTCCATGAAAGTGAACTTGATATAAAAAATTGAATAAACAAAAAATGAAAAATGAAAAAAAAATTTAAGAATTAATAATTAAAGGGATTTCGTACGGATGTACTCACATGCATTAACGTGGCACCTTCGTAGTCTTTAATATAACCAATGTAGGATGACTTCTGCATTCTAATATCCTTACTAAACCCCTGGAAAAAAAAACGAGTAGAAAGCAGTTTAAGAGAGAAGAAAAACCTCAACCACGCGCGTGACACTACACAGGAGGGGAGGGAAGGAAACTTAGGAATATATTTAATATTTTAAGACATGTAGTAAAAGAAATAGAAGAGAAAAACTGATTTGCACCTGACCAGAGACTGACACACAGTGAGCGAGCGACAATCCGCTTTTGAATGACATTTTATTATACTCCCACATTAACAGGAGGAGAGGGAAAAAATGAATTATTTAAACTTGTTTCGGAAGCAGTGCATTAATGGCGGTTGGTCACACAGACTTCTTGGCTCCTGAGGGACATACACTGGCCTAGCAGTTAGTGCGTCGGACTCCAAGACGTGTGATTCCATTCGCGTTCGAGAACTGGATGGATCACTTAATATAGTGCTTGGGTAGATACCAAACTCTCACAGTGACCTCTCCAACTATCAGTATGAATGGGTGATGGTGGATTGTCGGGGAAGCCTGAAGAAATATTGCAGGAGGTATTCAGCATTGGCCGTGAATACCACTCTGGGGGAAGAGATATACACCTAGTCGCTTCACACAAAGGAAACTTGGGCAAGGTTCAAACATGTGGGCACTTGACTCAAGTAATGACTCTACCTTTTATAAAAAGGTGGCCATTTGTCGCACAGACCCACTGCAAATACCTGACGCTTAGAGCGTGCCGTTTGTTTTAGAGCACGGAACGTTTTCAACCTCAAGAATGAAATTTTCTGACGAAGATTTCACCTTCACTATACCCAGAGGATCCATTAAAATTGACAGTACACCTGATCCCTTTACGCAAAATCTGCAATACGCAGTCCTCACGAGTTACCTGTTTTTTGAAGTAACCTATCGCGTACTCGTCGGCGTAAGTGAGAAAATTCAGAACAGAATGTTTGACGTGATAATCCTTGAGGTGGTTCATTAGATGCGTTCCATAGCCCTAAAAAATAATCAGAGAAGTCTTTCCTAAGTCGACAGAACAATAGTTCTTCTGCTGTTGGCTTAAGATAAACACATCGTTGGGATAACGCTGCTGGGGCAATTCTCGATTACGCGATGAAAAAGCAAAATCAAAGCAATCCTGGCGACCAATCAGATAAGAAAACATTGTCTCCAGGAACTAATATGAAATCAAAGTTTAAATGGAAAGCTATCTGAAGCGCAAAATGCGCTAGCGACCAAGTCGAGACCTGAGGTTAATAATGCACCTTATTAGCTAACCAGGTGATGCCATTTTTTGAGAAAAACTACAGGGTAAAGCAGAACCAAAGTAATCCTGGATAAATGAATAAAGGGGGTAAGTTTCTAAAGAAACTTTGGTGCTGCGTCGATGGGAGAGTGTAACAGGGTAATTTAGGATTATCAATTGAGTTGATAAAGTAAATTGGCCACCGTAGAGAGTTTAAAAGCTGACTTTTCAAGCTATAGCCCTTCGTCAGAGCGAATGCAGTAGGTTAGTGACTCGTCATGTCGATCAACTGTATTCACTCTGATGAAGTGCTGAAAGCTCGAAACGTCAGCTTTTAAAATCTTTACGGTGGCCAATTTACGTTATCAACTCAGTTGATAAACTGAATTACCCACTCCTGGTTTAGTTTCCACATCAGATCAAAAACTACTCCAACAATATCAGTGTGAACTGTGTGCATGGAACTACTGGACCTATCATCTCTGTTCATCTATTTGACGCTGTTTTGGTACACATTTAACAACAATTGTTCTTTCTTCACATAAAAAATAATATCGCATATAATTTATACTATTCACTAATTCTTATTCTTTAATTAACAAAAGAAGAAAATGGCATTACATTACCAGCTGCAAAAAAAATTCGAATACCTTGACTTGCTCATTCGAAGTGACGGCACAGAACACGATTTCTGTGAAATTCTGAGTGGGGAACATCCGAAAGCAAATTCCACCGATGGGTTTGTTGTCCTTTACCAGAGCTAAAGTCTTGTGTTTCCTAAAAAAAACAGTGAAATGACCGTGAGCGCCTTTTTAACTTTATAGTGATAAAGCATGAAATAGAGACGAAAATTACTGAATCTGAGTGGAACAATTTTGGGGTATTGTACAGGACAGTTTAAAAAATAACCCCAAGCCAGGTAGGGGGAAGGAGTCAGTGGGAGGAAGGGAGGAAAAAAAAAAAAAGGGTTAAATTGGGATGGACTAACATTCTGGTAATAAGGTAGAAAAGCAAAACTCAAAGTCACTTCCTGCCCTGAAAACCTGGATGCTATAGCTGTCGCCGGTGGCAAGGGATTCCCAGCTTTATCTTTTATTAATTTTTATGTACATGTGCACGTGAATAAGAGAAAATTTGAAAGGAATAGATATGGGTAAACAAAACATAAAAGCTTAGGAGGTCTAAAAAATCTTCGATCATGTAAAACACCACGTAAAGAAAATTTGTCCACATGCAAATGATAACTCCACCTCTCAAAATACAACCTGGCATGAAAAAAGCACCTTTCTTTCCCCTCCCTTGTCAGTATTGCTTCAACTTTTTTCAGCTAAAGAACCAAGATATGTTCTCCGAGGAAAAAAAAAACCAAATCGCAAGAGGTAATAAAGGGAAGTAGGAGTAGGATATATTAGCGTAGGTTGAAAATAAGAGAACTCAAGCTCGTTTACCACAGCAGTTTTGTCCCTGATTGTCAGTTGGAGACAGTTATCATTATAATTTCAAGTCTAATTTACACTCACGGGTCAAACACAAGTCTAGAGATGTATTCTTTGGGCATCCTTGGCAACTGATAAGAGAACACGTTTTGTAATCCAACCAGCCAAAGTAGTGTCTGCCTTGAGGGCTGTCTGGTAAATGAGTTTCCGACGACGTGAAATTCGATGACTCCTCTTCTCTCCTCGCAGCGGGCTGCCTCATCACGTGCGCTATGGGTACCAGGATAAAGGCCCCCCTGAACAAAACAAAACGGTTATTTAAACCCTTTAACTCCAACGATATGATTGTTAATTCTCCCCTCTAGCTGCTGCACATTTCCTTATATTTTAGTTACAAGAATTTGGTCTTAGATCAAGATAACACCTTCTACTATAAGGAGAAGTTACATGTTAATCACTTCTGGGAGTAGAAGGGTTACAATTATTGAACTTTATTGAGGAAAAAAGAAGGGGGGAGGGGAAGGGGGAAGGAGGGAGGGGAGGAGAGGGGAGGGGAGGGGAGGAGAGGGGAGGGGAGGGGGGGAGGGAGTTAAGCTGACCAAAACAATGCAGTTTTATCATTTACTTATTTTTATAAATCATTTATTCTTTATCATGACTATTTATCGGGTTTCCTTTATCAAAAATTTCAGATAGATTCTTCCTGTGTCTTCAACTTGAAAATTAGAATAACACTTGTATATCTTCATAAATACTTATATTTGCCTGGTGCGACTACAAAATTAATCAAAACAATAACAAAATTCTAGAACGTGATTGGTTATCACCGGCCCGATTCGAGCACTAATAGGACGGTGTAGGCGTCATGCTTGTGATTGAACAGCGTCATAGGACAATCGACACAACATGCCTGTGTTAGTAGACAGAACGCGTCATGTGCGCTCACTGTTGTCGAGCATTTCACCAAGTTAACTGTTGTTTTTTATAAAAGCGTATAGTTTCTGTCTGGTTTCTCTCTCGAATTTTGTCACAGTTTTGATTAATTGGTAACAGGACTTCGGGTCGTCTAATTCGGTATGTCGAACAAATCAGACCTCCGCAAAAACGGACCCCCGCTTTGCGATTGTCCGATTTTGTTAATCACTCGTATAATTACAGACTGAATTGGACTCCATTCAGTCCTACTGTCATTATCAATTAGAGTAATTAATTACATCTATGTCTTTAATTCTTTCTTTGTTTTATTTTGGTTGTTTGTTTGCCCGCTCGTCCACTAAATTTGTTGCTCATTATAACTTTATTATTACGTGGTAAATATAACGCACTTAAATTCAACGAAAACATTGAAATTCATAAACAAAGATATGGTTGAGCTGTATCCCTTTTCGTATTCTATATCTTAACACACAAACAATAAAATGCGATGTTTCACTGTATGTTTTATTTACCTCAGGGCCTAGCATGGCAGAAGGATCTGATATTGTCGCAACAATCTGAGTTAATACTTCAACAGGCACATCTCCTGGGATAATTAAAGGTAAATACAATGCATGAAGATTTCTTCCAGGAAGTTTGACATTGCAAAGCAAGTAGGTGAGCGTAGCACATGAAGTTTACTAGGTTAAGAAAAAAAACAGTCATCTTACGCTCCGTCTGCAAGATCAGGTCGACTAAAATATTGTAAATGGTGAAATAAAACATATTCACGAGGCATTAAAGGAAACAGTAGAAGAGAATTTGAAGTTAAAGCCACAGATAAGTTGGAGCAACAAACTGCCTTTCTAAACTGCTGTTTGTTTTGAATTCAAGGGGTGTCACCGTGTGGTTATCACAGAATATTAAACAGGGTGTGTGTGTGTGTCCCTGGCGACCATTGTAAGATTCAACGTTACCAAGCTGAGCTTGGGGCTGTGGGCAGACAATTGGTCGTTGGTCTTAACCCTCCTGTAATTATTTTGACTACCTGCCAACTTTTGTCTCTTGATACTATTATCAGCAGTTCCATCGTCCTCAGAACTCCTCTTCTCCCCAGTCAAGTCTGTCATGGAAAAAAACAACTGGATATTAATGCATACAAAGCTTCCTTAGGTTATCAGCACACTTAACAATCTGCATATGCTGCAGATGGTACATGTACAAGATGGAAAGAGAAGAAAAAAGGCAAAGTCTGTACTCCACCCAGGTGACTCACCCAGTCAGAGCTTATCCCGGTTTCCTTAGCATAAAGTGACTAGGATTATTACTATTTGCCCTCACCCCCCTGGATGGGATGCCAGTCCATCACAAGGTTACCCCCCAGCATTTCATCAGGCTTCCCTGATTATTCACTAGTAACCATTTCTACTCTTGGATGGAGAGAGGTGCTGTGAAAGAAAAATGTTTTAACCCAAGAACAAAACATTGACCTGGCCAGGTCTCCAATCCTAACATCTCAAACCATAGTCCAGTAGTCTAACCATTAGTCACCACCTCTTCCCACAAGGTGGGAACATTTTCTTTTAATAAGTAAGGTTAGATTTATGATTGTAGCTTTAAGTGCTTTCCTCTGCATCAAATTACCTAAAAGATAGGGCCCAGATGTTTAAAGGGTGGATAATGCTATACAAAGGATAAATTGCTTCCAGCAGATAAGAGGTAACAGAACGTACTGAGATATCCAATGTATAGAGATTTATCCAATGGATAGCATTATCTGACCCTCGAACAACCAGGGCCAGGTGGCTAAAGAAGTGATTTCTGTTCTGGTGGGTCCATGAATACAATGAAACATCATTCTATAGTGCTATAGATTGGCTTAGGCAAGGATCATTGTCACCAATCATCATCTGCATACATAACTGTACCTTCTGTTGGTGAGGTAGAACTGGACAGTTGAAGCATGGATGACATTGAAGATAAACTTGAGCCAACTGCAGCGCTACAAGAAGAAAAGATACAAAAAATATAATAATTGTCAGTCATCTTCTTAATTAACATAATATTACTATATTCTGTAATAACACAAATTTGACAGCTTTGAAGTTACATTGACAAAGCTGGAAGATACAGGGCCTCATGGTTTATACACTGGGGCACTTCATACAAGGGGCAGTACAGGGTATACTGATGAGAGGCCAGCAAAGTCATCATTTTGCACAGCACAGGATTTTGTTAGGGTGTTTGTCCTTTATTCTAGGGAATAAAATGCCAACAAGAGCCTTGATTGTCCCATTTAGAAAGGGGAACAATACACAGTAACTGTTGGTTTAACACAGTACAAAGGTGAAGTGGGATTAGTCCTCAAGACAGTGTTACAGCAACTCATGTTTAAACTCCTGTCAGCCCCCATTGCTTAAAGTCTATTAAGGAGAAATTATTTTAATAGAACAAAATAACATACCTAGCTGTAGCTACCAAGGAATCCCCTTTATCTGTTAATGGAGTCAAAGGAGAAACAAGTCTTGATGGACCTAGAGACAGCGACTGAGGAACAGTGAAGTCATCATCCCATACAGGAGAGTTCTCACCATACACTTCTTCTTCTAACATTGACAGAAATCTGAAGGATATAAAATTTGCAAAGATGAAAATAATGAGTAAAAATCATAAATTCTTTCACTTCCAAGATCTTATTTGTAATTTTCCTTACTGTCAGCCATACAATTTTCATGATGCAAGTTCTGACAATTTGGTATTGGATCAACTAATAATCCCCCAATTGATAATTATCTTTCTTTATTCTCATCACTTGCCTGCTTGGTACTGTATTGATATTGTAAGGAGAAATTCTGTCTTGGTCACTCAAGAGAGTGAAAGAGTGAACAATTGTGCACTTAAGTCAGAGGCCAAGTTACAGCTCAAGGCTTCAACACAACTAAGGCCAGCCTTGACCTTCAGTTATTAATTATTTTAGTATTCCTTAACCATTAGCTCTAAAAAGTGATTTATATGTAAATTTATCCTATAATATCAAAAGATTATCCTGCAAAAAGGTTATGAAAACAAAAAAATGTATCAGCAGGAAAGTAACATTTTGATGTGAAACAAAATAATCTAATTAACCACTGAAGCCCTAGCATTAGTGTACATATTCTCCAGATTGTTCTGTGAACAAATCCTATTGTAAAAAACATGGAGAATTCACTTCAAAATCAAGAGCTTCTTTAGCTGCCAATAATTTCTTTCACCCTCATGACCTAAAAGTTTGATTCAGTTGGACAATGCATGGAGAAATCAGATTTTTGTAACTTTTAGGAGTTAAAGGGTTATAATTAACAGGAAATTGTATCTTAACCGGAAGGGAGAACTTCATACTTTAAGCCAGATTTTTAGTGTTCAAGGGTCAACAGCTTAAGTTGAAGATAATCCACACTGAGTGTCTACAACTTCCACCATTAAATGTCTAATACCTTGGGAAGTGAGTCAAGACAATAGTTCTCTTATCAGGCGGCATTTTCTCTTTTTCTGCTCTGAATTTCTCCAAGAGCTGTCTTCTCATGACTGAGAACACTGATCTTAATAGTGTCCTTCCAAACACAGCAGTGGGATCATATTTCTTTAAACTGTCACAGAACACAGGAACTTGGCAGTAGCATAGCCATCTGGGGATATACGTTAATTGTACAGATTTCTTGAGCTTTTTATATCAAATTGTTCACTTTTAATCTTGGAGCATGGCATGTACAATTCCTTTCAATTCAATGAGAAGTAGAAAAACTGCAAGAGACTGTTAGTAAAAGCAACACACATTTACCCACTCAAGCAATTATCAATCACTAAACCATTCATTTCTTTAACACTCATCATCTTCTTACAATCTTACTTATACTTAATTTTGTGGTTACTTAAGACCCACTGACCATAAACATTGCCGGAGAATCAGCCAACAGTTGTAAAATTTCATACTTTTAGAATTATTTTTCTTCCTAAAGCAGACTTTTGATGAACCATAGTCAAAAATTATATCATAAAATTCTATCACCCTTTGCTCTCTCTAAAAACTTGAAAAGTTTAAATACCCATTAAAGCAATGAAAAATCATACAACCTGTGCAACTTTGTATGCCACAATGTGATACATTCTTGCTTTGAAATTTTAGCAAATGGTCCTTTTTTTATCTTCTTGGAAATATAAATTTCTTGTTATATTGTTACGTTTAAGTCTAAATAATGACCCATTGAAATAATGTACTTTGTGTCTTGTTCCAAGTGCTAAAATATTTACAGAAAAACAGTTATGAGATAGCAATTATTGAGTTTCCCGTGTACCCACCTTGTGTAATTGGCTTTATATGCTGCAAGTTCTTCACCCTGGGAGTGCTGTTTCTTTACAGTCGGTGTCTCAAGCTTCCAGTGATTTAAGCAATGTAAAAACATCTTAGCTAGATCATGCATTATCTGCCACTCCCTTTGTGGAAGGTGACCAAACTTGTATAGCACAAAGTTAAGGACAGCCTGTAGATTTAAATGAACATCAAACACACAAATTCTTCACACCAGTTTGCTATCTATTGTCTTCTTCTGTCTCAGGTTAAGACAATTGATGCAATAAAAAGGGAAAAACTCTTAACTGTTCATTTTTACATTACTGACGAGGTGCAGGACATGTTTTTTCATAGTTTTTCTTTATTTCAATACCTTTTGTGAGCTACAACTGAACAGACACTAGCCAGTTTTAGCAATGTGAGGACAAAGAGATAGACTGAGGAACAAAACTTCCTTTTTCTTCATAATATCATGACTTTAAGAGAGCAAACAGGGAGTTTAAGAAATGACAGAGGCAATGCCATGGACAATGTCTGTTAAAAAATGAACTTATATTTTACCTATGAATCTTTCAATACTCTAAAGTCATTTTATTAGTTTTTTTTTTCACTGTCAAAACTATTTCAAAACTGAATATGGACCTCAGTGTTCAATTAAAAATAGAAATTTAAAATATTGACTGCATCATTAATGTTCTCCTGACAACACAAAATTGGGTCATTTCACGCTGTTGTTTTGAAGAGGATGCCAAGAAATTTACAAAAATTTGTAAGTAAATACACATGCACAGCCATTGTTCTGCACATTTAACCTTTTGTCTAGTGACATTCTTATTACCGTCATGGTTTTCTTAACCCTTTAATTCCCAAGATCTCAGAAGTAATTCTCCTTACTGTCTGCCAAATGATTCTTATAATGTTAGTTTGGAGAATTTGGTATTGGATCAATAAGCATCCCATAATTGATATTTTTCTTCATTCTAATCACTTGTCTGCATGATATTGTATAGATATAGTAAGGAGAAATTCTGTCTTGGTCACTGACGGGAGTTAAAGGGTTAAACTCTCTAATAAAAAAGAAGTACCTTGCCAATGCTTGGCTTCTCAAATGGAGGTGTACCAAGAGGACCTTCCACTGTTACATTCGACATCTGCAGAATTCCCTTTCTCAGAATTTTAAATAGGTAAAAGTAAACTTGTTTGGTATCAGCATCTTCCTCCTTATGTACGCACATAAATAAGTTCTCAACATCAATGACCATGCAGAGAAGTCGGTTAAGTTCATCTTCTGGAATGTCATGTAAATGAGAGATGTGTGCTCCTAAGGTGTGGCCACAGCTACGACATGGGTCTGTTTGGTTTGCGAGAGGTTGAGAAAGATCCACTCTGGTGGGTGTCGGTGGCGGGTTAGGATTCTTCCATCCATTACATTTACAAGAATCTTCAGCCTGAAAATAATGTCGGAAAGTAAATATTAAGCTAACTGCTAATTTTACATTTGATTCACTCTCTACCTTTCCAAGATGATTAACAAGAAATGTCTTCCCAGTCAAATAATAGAACATCCGGTAATTAGGTAAATAAATTGATAAAATCTTGATAATCAATAAATTCTCTATGCTAAGTTACAACAAAATGTTGACAAATGACATTTTAAAGGTTGAAGGGTCTTCAGGTGTTCAGTAGAATTTAGAACTTAAAATTCTTCAATGGCAAGATGCTTGAAACACCTCTTGGGTTGGATATAAAATATTTCAACCCTTGAACTCCCAAGATCTGATTGTTAATTCTCCTTACTAGCTGTTGCACATTTCCTTGTAAATCAGTTACAAGAAGTTGATATTAGATCAAGATAATAACTTCTAGCTGATAAATTTGAGTTTTCTTGTTACCCGTTTGCTGGATAATGTATGAATTTCAAAGGCTGAAGTTTCATGTCAATCACTTCTGGGTTAAGATATAAATGGTAAATTACAAAGAAAAAGAACCTTGATCACCTATTCCTCACCCATAGAACACCAAGATCATAGTGAAATATGTTTTGAGCACTTCTTCATTTAGAACTTTTGGCAGATTGGCCACGAGAAGAACTTAAGAATATCTTACAAAGTACACTACGTTTTGGACCAATCACAGTGCATCTTTCAAGTAACAATAACAACACTCGATCGACCAACAATGAGGCCGTATTTGGACAGCGATTTCCTAAAAATTCGAGGATCCAGTACGGATAAATAATTATGAAAACCCTTTCACAAAAAATATTAAACAATTAAAGGTATAAAAAGCTAATGTGATTTCTTCCTTTCCGACATACTTACTTTACATGAGGAATATACACCCAGTTTCTCTAGCTTTTTTCTGATCGGATAAGTCTTTATTTGCGCTTTCCTCTGGGCAATTCTTTGTAAATTAGCTGGACGACTGAGCTCTGATGGTGTTATCTGCGGTGTTCCAGGCCGCTTGGTTGCATCAGAACCGTTTGCAGATGAGGAGATTTCACTCATACTCGAGGCGGCCTGGGCCGCCATCTTGGATTAACCAGTGTTGTTCTTGGTCAGTGGCTTACATACGAAGTTACACTCGAAGACGCATAAATGATAGGGGAGGCTTCCAATCTAAGATGGCGGATTCTAACAAAAATCGCAAAATCCTGTTCGTTTGCCTCGGGAATATTTGTCGTTCTCCATCCGCTGAAGCAATCTTTAGACACCTTGTACAGGAACGCGACGATAGAAATGAATGGGAGATCGACAGCGCTGGAATTCTTGATCTCCACGAAGGACTTCGCTCAGACAAGCGAGGGTTGCAAGTATTGAAGAAACATGGAATTGTGAATAATCACCGAGCAAGGCAAGTTCACGAGGATGATTTTCGTCGTTTCGATGTAATACTGGCCTTTGATGATAGCAATGTACGTGATCTGAATGAAACTTTTAAGCCAACTGATGGAACTGCGCGAGCGGAGGTAAAACTGTTTGGAACATATGATCCCAAAGGAGAGCTGATAATTCACGATCCTTACTATGGAGACATTTCAGATTTTGAAGTCATGTTTGATCATATTTATAGATGCTGTGTAGAATTTCTGAGACAATGTTAACGAAGGAATTGACGATTTTTCAGCCATTAGGTCTACAATGTGTTACAATTTATTTTGAATCAAATTGACAAACTTTTGGTGAACATCAGCCACACAAGCTGTAGCCTCTATGATCCATTTGTCACAAATACAGATATATGCTCGGATATTTCTTAAGAAATTTATTGCGAGGGCGAATTCTTCCCTCTTCAAGAATTCCCCCTCCTTTATATTTAGGGGTAGTGCTAGTGAAGTTGGGAACAACCCTCCAAAAACCTACCAAATCACTAGACTCAACAAAGACAGTAAAAGATATGTAAACAATAATGATCCTAATGACAATAATAAATAATTTATCTTTCTGACAATAAAGAGGATGTAAAGGGATCAAAGGCAAAAAATTGTAGTATTTATAACTAAATCATTTGAAGAAAGCAGAAAGTATAGTAATATATATATATAAATGTGGGGGTAGAGTCTACCTTGGCATAAAGTGCTCCATGCTGTGGTAGCAGAGCTGAGTATATATAAGTGAAAGAATCAAAGAGGACGCATCGATTCTCTGTTACTCAGATTTTCGCGCCTAAGCGCTCGTCAGACAGACGTTAGTATACTCGACTTGACCCATTAGATGTCAGTATACTTAGCTCTGCTACCACAGCATTGAGCACTTTATGCCAAGGTAGACTCTACCCCCACATAGATATAGATAATAGATATATAAAGAGAAAATGAAATGCTCCTATGAAAAATTTTCTAGCCTGATTACCACAAGAATACCAGTTTCGCTGAACCAGGAGCTCAGGTTTTTTTCATAAAGTGACACTCAGTGGCTCTGAAAGTTTAAGTCTATCTGTTCGACATATTAATTCATGCATTTAAACACGCACTGACTCAAAAATTAAACCTCGACTTCGTTTCGGTCCATGAAAACGTAAAACTAAAAAGAACTCGGCCAATGTCTCGCCGATAACTTTCTCTCCTTTTGAATCTCCAGTGAACACTTCACAGTAACACAACGTACTTAAGAACGAAAATTTGATGCTCGCCAAGTAAGGAACTGAAGGTAACCCAAACGCAAGATCGGCTACGACATGAAATACTTAACCCTTTGAATCGAATCAGTGATTGCCAGGTAAATCCTATCATTTTAAGTCCGGTGTTCCTGCGAAATTTCGACAACTTTCCGCCTTTTTTTTTTTTAATTTCATGAATCCAAGCTGGTCCTCTACCGAATGTGATGAAAGGATAACTGGCTTCCTGATTTTTCATACATTTTCTGTAATCCTTGATCTCAAATAAGGGCCTGTTTACATGGAGGTGGGGGACCCCAGGTAGGTGAGGTAACCCGCCTGTCCATATAATTTCTTATTTTATCTTGATCACGTTTACATGAGAGGTGGGGTGACCCGCCTAGGCGGGTTGCCCGATCTGCCAGATAGGGTAACCCTGTCAGCCGGGGTGACAATTTGCCATGTAAACGTGTCAAGGTAAGGTAGCCCGCCTAGCCGGGGTCGCGTTCATGGCAAAAAGCTTAAAAGCGATGCATGCATGTTTTAAAACTTTGTACATTTCCTAGCCCTCTCATCGCAGAAATCACCAGAAACCGCAACGGACACACAAGGAGTGTAAAATGTTTACATTTCAGAATATTTAGCGTTGTAAATCGACCATATTTAGTTTCCCAAACTATTCCGTATAACGTATTAAGTCAACGGTTCCTCGCGTAACCTAACACTGCGTAACACAACGCTTAACGCTTTCATGAATAAATACATATGTGTCCGAGAATTAATTGATCTTTCGCCTTTCTCGAGATGTGAGCTTGGGATGCCTCTGCTCAAACTCCTTAATTGCAAGCGCGACAACAACCTCGAGAAACCACACCCCAGCACCCCGGGGTTGCAAGATTGTATGTAAACGCGTTTTATTTTTCGACCACGGCTAGGCGGGTTACCTCACCTACCTGGGGTTCCCCACCTCCATGTAAACAGGCCATGGATCAAGTACAAAACCTGGAAAAATCACTCGTTCATGGTAACTGGATATAGTTTCGATTTGGAGTAAAATAAAAACCGAAAATGTGCATGAGAGAAACTCTATCAGAGTTTCGATAATTTTTCATGGCGAGTAAAACCCATAAAATAGATTTTATAATTGTTTTATTTTAACAGCAGCAAGCTACCAGTATTGTACCTCAAGACAAAATTGACAACATTGCTACATTTATGACCAAGTGGAGTGTTTTTAGACTGATAAATCAGTTCGTTATTTTAAGAAAATAATTCTACCGCGCTCAAAAAGAAAAAAAATATATCAAAAGTAAAAAAGAACCTTAAGCTATTATGCTTTCTACTAATTACTCGTTTAAAAATAATACTAAAAGCTTTGCATCATTAATTTGTTTAGATCACATGTTTTTGGTATCATGGAACAGTAATCAAATTTTGTGCAGCCTTGCAAACTGAACTCTGTTGACTGACTATACCTTGACAAGCAAAAGTGTTTCTTGTGATGACAGAGGTTAAGTTTTAAGACTATTCAAAATTTTAGGGATGAAAGTGAGCTTGAACTTGAGAAATACAATTCTTAAGTATTAAAACGCTATATAATATCTTTCAATATGTCAGATAATGACACACTTCTACTCAGATTTTGAACAGACATTTGTACTTCAGGTCTAAACATCAAGAAATCAAAGTATACCAGAAGAGAATGTTAGGAATAGGAAAACTTGAATGAGAAAAAATTTCCTAATTTTTCTTTGTCTTCAAAGCTCCAGAAACAGACAAATTAAGCTCACAAAAACAACTTATGGATAATTCTCTTAATCTTAGATTTGAAACAATCTAGATCCAGGAATACTATAACAGTACACTTTGATCTCATCAGTGTTATAATATTCATCGTTGATTTGAAAATTTTCTCAAGTGATCTGTTTTCTAAACAACTACTCACTCAGCGCTTCGCAATTTCATCGGCAGCTTAACCTTGAGAGTTCACATCATCCAGCGAGCCAATCAGATGCGAAACTGGAAACAATTGTGCCCCGATCAAGTGCGTTTTTACTTGCCTGAAGGAGTCTTACTTATCAATGTTGAGTTCTAATCCACGCTCCTGTTTCTATAATTAGCTGTTATGATTTTTCTTTTTGATGTGGGGGCGGGGGAGGTTATAACACTGAAATTCAATCGAAAAGCGCTGTAATTCCTACACAAAGAAATTGTAATTATGACGTCTAATGATTGGTGACACCGAGAAGACAGAAAGATCGAGGTAATTAACATAAGTTGTTTGGAAGCTAGTCTACTTGTGAAATACTGAATCCCTATAGAACATTTAAAGTGAGGTAACTGCGCATCTAAGCGTATGTATTTCTCAAACTCAAGTGTCCTTTAAGGCCGGTTCAGTCCTGTACCAGTCCAGTCTGTATTATCAATGTCCAGGCTCTTGCTTCTCATGACCACTGAAAACCTCTGCAGCAGACCGCCTGTCTCGTAACTTCCTAAAGATTACCAGTCCAGTTCCCATGGCCACCAAGCAAGCAACGCATATCATTACCAAACCTACCACGAAGGTAGTATCAGAAGCTAGAGAGGTGAGAAGGTAATTGATAAGTTAAGTACACCAGACAGGTATTAAGATATCATACAGACATTTTTTTTTGTATGGGTAGTTAAATCATCGCTACATCTGGCCATCTTGAGCAACTCTGGGTTTATCTTTTTGAAGTCCTATAATTAACTCGACTGTTTGTGTATTGTGTTATTTATCTTAAATAGTGGCCAACACGATGCTGGTCTTAAGGCTGGAGGGAAATTTTGATGTTGGAAGGCTAGAATCATCTGAAGGCCCGTGTTAGAGGTATTTCCCTTTTCCGTTGTGGTATTCAACCGAAAATGCAAGAATTTTGATACATTGGCGAGATCACTGTGCTATTCCTCCAGCTCCAACATTTCTGCAGACCATCACAAACTAAAAGCGGACGCAAAGTCTCAAAGAACCTTCTGATGAACAAATCAAAGATTCTGTAACTATGCACGATAAAGGCAGTGATGCTACCTTTCAGGTTTTAAGTGATCTATCAAGATTGATGATGGTCATCTTTTCAAAGGCCTGATAATGAGAGGAGCTAAAAACCTAAGACCCACCCAAAAAGAAAACAAAAACAAAAACAAAGACAAAAAGAAAAAAAGGAGAAGAAAGCAAAGACAAAAACAAAACAAAAAAAAAACAAAACAAACAAACATGACAGCCATCAGCGGTGAAGGTTGCAGGAAAATGGTCTTCTTTTTTAGGTTCTTCGAGCGCCGCGCGGCTACTGTAGTCACACCAGTAATTCACGCCGACAAAGGCAACCTCCGGCTTCTAATCATGATTTCGGAGAACAAAATTACATTTTGAGTTATAGGCTTGACTTAATTCCTTGTACAGTATAGCATATTTCTTCGGGAACGTTTTATTTTAAAGTTTGCGTACTTACCATTCATCTCGTCACTGGCTCCACCACTGCTTTTCTTCTCTTCCTTCTTCTCGCTAACTAGAAGGAGTGGACCCTGGACCAAAGAATACGCTGCATCCATCTCGTGATCGCTAACCTGACGTTTCCCTCGGTTACCTGCAGGACACTTCTTCGCACACTGGGAATCTGGGTTGGTTGCGTTGCATACGATCACATGGCAGTGAACAAAGACAAACGAATCAGTACCGATGAATTTAGCGGCGTCAAGGCTAAACCGCTGAAAGTTGATCGAGGGAGCAGGATGGTAGATCACAGAGGGATAGTTTGGACATCTAAAAAGAAAAAATCCCAAGTTACAACCCAGTTTATATTGCTGTTTAGGGAATTCAGTCAAACAAATAGAAATCACTGCTACCTTTCTTCTACCTCTAAGTCGATTACACTTTGATCCATTTGGACCAAAGAACGAGATGTTGTCAGAAGAGGACCTACGCCGTGTTGTTCAACTTATTGATTTGTTTCGCATAATATTGCGTTTCCGTAATGCGCATGATTTTCGCGAAATTTTCGCATGCAACGTGGCAGGCATTAAAAGATAGCTGTTTCTGTACAGGGCCATATTTTGCGAGAGCAATAAGTGCGGGTCATTTTCTATAGCGCAAATTTGGTGACCTGTCTTCGAAATACATTTCCCTGCAAAACAGAGATATACCACTTACCAAAGCAGAACAAAAACCAAATGGGAGACATGAATAATAAATTTAATAAGTAGATGTTAGAATCATTGTAAATTTATCAAGGAGCTTTATCAAGTTTAAAGATTTTGATTACCTTGACAATTCACATACCTATTACATCCATTTTTAAATCACCGGTGATCCTTGCACTCTGAATGGCCCTCATTGGTTAGATTTATTCACAAATCGCACCATTTTTCGCTCTTAATTGCACCTTTTCCCAATCAATGTAAAAGCTTTACTAAATCACCACAACCAGTCAAATTTCAAGGCTTGTCCAAAGTAACCAATCAAATTCATTAAAATAAAAAAACTCGATCAGTGCTGAATCAATAGAATATTTGAACAGACTGAAAAATTACTGTGTTTGAGCGATTGAATTTTGTGAGTTCACGATGAACGTATTTCACTGTGGATAAATACTTGTGATATCAAATCAAGCTCGTGCTGCGCGCTCGTTCGATTTTGAAATCACGCTTATGATTTCAGACCAAATTACACTTCTCTAAGTTCAATTACTATTATTAAGGAGAGCGAGCTCTGGCTCTGAAATAAAGTTTAACCGATACAAAAAGAAATAATCAAATACTTGGCTCACCCTTTTGAAATAAATTCATACTTCTGTGCATTTTCTCTATCATGTGTGGGCGTGGTATAACATCGATCAGCTATAATTGACAGCCGCTCATCAGTTATCAATGATACCTCCAAGAAAAGAAGTTTCTTCGCCACAAAGAGAGGAAAATCCTCTTCCTTGTAAGGAATCGCAAATTTCTTGTCAGGGAACATATTCATAAAGAGAGTAAAGTTCCCTTCCCCCTCCTCACTAATTATTACTTTTTTGTGGACTGCTCTCCAACCGACCGATGACACCACACCATGACTGGAAAAAAAACAGCTGAACTGTATTTTCAGCTCACGTATCTTGGCATTTTTGGAAGCTGTGGGGACTTTCAAGACCACATTGGAGTAAACGACAGCCGTAGCCGTGTGTCTGCGTGTAGTTTTACACCCGATCAGCGGTGCCGTTAGACTGTAATAAGTGTTGTCTTCTTCAGCTTTGCATTTCGTGTCCAGGAGTCGGAGATGCTCACGGTTAATACCAGGAAGGAGGGTCTTAGGAATGTGTATTGTCATGTTGTTGCGGTTGCATTGTAGCCTCGCTGACGGATCTATATTCCAGTTACAAAGTCAATGTTAGTGTTGGTCGACGAATACGACTTTGTGATGAGTATGACGAGAACCGATGTATTCACGTGCCGTGAATATGTATTATCTCGCTCTTAATACCCAAGATGTTAAATTTGGTGCAAAAATAAAGCAAACCTGATTAAAATTAGATACTTTGGTCGCTAAATAGATCAATTAGTCAGTCAGTATTTCGATCGTTCATTTGGTCGTTCTTTCCGTCCGTCTTCATTCGGTGGGTCGGTTGGTCAGTCAGTAACTCATCACACACATCATGTGGAAGTCATACCTAAGCAACCGAAGAGCTCCATTCGAAGCGAGATCTGGACAGACCACTCTGTCGGTCTTAATCTAATAAAACGTGCTTTGATCGGAGGGTACAAATGGTGGTACACAATACTGTCTGAGTCTTTATTTCCTTCAAAGACCTAACGATGAAAATAAATAATTGAACGATAAAACCAGAAAATAATGCAAGGAAGAGGCATATTTCTCTTTACACAACAACGAAGATGTTTGACATCTTTTATTGGGTTCAGAGCGAAACTGGCCATGACTACGACTAAGGGTCGAGATAATGTTTTAAATTAAAATAGGAGGCCACTTGGCATTGTTAGACTCAGTAAGAGAGGCCCGTGCATTTCCCGCCTTTGAAAAGTTTCAGATTTTGTGCCTCATTCTTTGTGCTTCCCCTACCTTTCATCAGAACCCTGTCTACTCAAAATTAAATAGTGCACTATCCTCTGTCGTAATAATAAATGTATTTGGGTCGTTACGAAAGATCAGGAGAAAAATTTGAAACGGCATTTGTCACCAAATCAAGTCAGAGCCTAGAGTCTTTGTGTATAATCATCCGCTGATCAAGGTTTCCCTACCATGCGTGATAGAAAAATACCTTCACGCCTGGTTTTATTCCTTTTTCGTCTCTTTTTACTAAAACTCTTTCTCCTCAAAGTTAAACTTAATTCGAGGCCAATACTTATACCAATCTGAAGATGAGCCGGAAAAAACCTTACCACTTCAGGGCCGTCTTTTGTTCCCAACAGAATAAAGAGATATTTAAAGACAGCCTCACCTTTGGCGGACTCTGATCGGATTGTCCGTAATAGTGAAAGTTCACTCCATCGTCGCTGTACTGCAGCTTGTATTTAGTCACCCACTGGCCGTAACCATTTCGCCCTTGTGTCGCTATTCCTTTCACTACAGTGTACTTTCTAAGATCCACTTGAATCCACTGATTGGCAACGGTATAGCCTGCTGACCATCCTCCCTGCTCTTTTGCACTTGCCCTAAAGTTCAACCTTCCAAACTTTGCAGCATGCTGAACGCTAAACTCTGAAGAGGCGGTGATTTGAGCATCTTTTATCCCTCCTTTCTCCATACCCAGAGGTGTCAAACACCCTATAAATCAAGAGAGAAGGACCTGAGGGTGTTTTTAAGTAGTTATTCAAAGATTGCATCCTCAACTAAGACGTCAGAATGGAATGCAAGTCAGTCAGTCAGTCAGTCAAATAGTCGTTCAATCTTTTATTCTTCCAGCATTCGGTTCATTCTTCATTTTAACAATTCGTTTGTTCGTCTATTCGTCATTCGGTCATGATCGGCTAGTCTAGTTTGGAAGACAGTAAGTCGCTCAGCCAGTCTCTTAAAGACTGAAAGACATTTAACAAAGTATTTCTTTACATACATAAGGTGAAATTGATACCTAAACAGCCATACAGCTCCATCCTGAGTGAGATGTGACCATAATAGGTTGCAGGTCTGAGCCTGATGAAACGAGCTTGAATCGGTGGGTGTAACTTGTGATAAACAATGCTCTCGGAGTCTGTATTTCCACTGAATCGCTAAATATACATAAAAAAATGTTTAGAAAGCCACAAACTGGTTACATAAATATCGGTTTATTGTGTAAATCGAGAAACACTTACAAGCTAGTGTCCAGTTGTTACGCAGGCTTTTTGACCGCGCGAGATCGAGGTTCGAAAATAGCGCGAGCTTTTAAAGTGTCAACGTGCAAAACAAACGGCTCGATACGATCGCACGATTGTTATCTGAAATGATGAGTTAGAAACAGTTTAACACAAAAAAGTTTCTATGTGGTGGAATCTAGGGTTTCCAGCTACTGCATTCGTAATATTCATAGGCCTTCTACGCCCGAAAAAGAGGTCAACCGAAAAGAAAACACAGAGGGAAAGATTGCAAAAAGCCGGGCGATTCGAAAGTCTACGCATGCTCAGATACCGATCTTGGCGTAATGTTTTGCGACAAAGGCAATAAGCATCTTTCGAGTAAGATTGATCGCGTTTCCTTTGGTGGAATTTCTTTAGATTTGCTGTACCGTTAAACATACTTGTGCCCTTAGTGCCTGTTGGAAAAAGAAATTCATATGACCAAATTTGAGATAGAGGAAAAAAATCCCCAAAATTGCAAATAGCGAGGAAACTTCCTTTGTAACCCCTAATTTTTTCGGCTTTTAAATGATCGGCAGGACAAATTTCACAAATTGTGAAAATTTTGAGAGATTTCACGGAAGAAAATTGAAGAAAATCAAAGGCAAAGCTAAATTATCGCTGGCGAGCGCCTCCCTTTGTGGAACCTTAGCTTAATAACGAAAATCATTTTGATAATATCTAATACAGCAAACGATAGTCCTAACCTTGCTCATCGCCCTTTTGATGGCTTTTAGTGACGTAGAAAAGCGAAAAGATGAAAATTTTTTAGAAAAACAATACGCTGGCGCTTGCGCCAACGTCGAGCAAAAACCCTGTGGAGCCTCCTTAAGTGAATAACAATTGTTTTTGTGGAGTGATAAAAGTTTCTGTACTCAGTTTAAAAATTTGGTAGAATAAATGTTAAGAAAGACAAATAGTAATCTTAATGTCACTGTTGATTAAAGAATTTAAAACAAGATGGGAATAAGAGACCTAGAAGTTCTAATTTTCTTATGCTATTTTCAAAAGCCTTCAAAGATAGCGCTGAACTAATTTTGTCCGGTATTGAGTTTCATAATTTCGGTGCAATGTTCCTTCACGACTTATGCCGCAAGACGAAGTGTTGGTCTTTGGTAGCTTAAATGTAAGTTCGTCTCAGTTTGTATTTTGAGTGTTTCTCCTCATGCCATTTGCCTCGTACCATTTATCGACATTGGCAAGATCTGCATTTATAACGTATTCAATTTTTTCTGGCATGCCGTTGGCATAAAATATCGCTGTTTCGTCTATGTACGCTAATAGTCTGCTCTGTTTGGCGTAGTAAACAAGGCCATTCATAATTATATTTAAGTTCGGATATAACACGCGCTGTCATGGGTTGAAAGAGCGTGCTCTATCAGAGTACAAAACATAGAGCTGAGCTAAAGCTGTCTCGACATCTGCCAGATTGTACTATGTCCAACCATTTCCCAGACTTCTCTCTAAGCTTTTTTCGTTAATTGATAGCAGTGAAATTTCGGAATGACTGAGCAGGCAAGTAGCAACACAAGAACCAAACAAAGGTTCGTAAACATGCCAAGCACTGTAATTTACGTTAAAAGAACGTGAGCTGAGACGAAAATCCTCGAAGAGAAAACGAATGGACATGCAGTGCGAGTTTTGAAGGTTTTCACGCTCAGTTAGATTGCAAGCTTACGCACTGTTATACAAATCAAGGACAGCTAACACCCGTTCATAGTACATACAGCTTTGTGTTCAAAAACAGAGCAAAACAGGAATTATTATAAATATAGCCAGACTGGCATAACTGTTAATATTAATTATGACGGTATAAGAGCGACTGTGATCATGCTGACGTTCATTACGGCTAGCTCATCATGGCGATCTCCGGCCGCCCTTCAGATATATAGTTAAAAAACGAATTTGACTCTGCGTCAAAGTATAATCCTTAACATTAAAAAGTTTCTCAGTCATATTTTTATACCAATCTAGTTTCTTTCACCTGCAAGGACCAGCAAACGCTATTTGCAAATAATGGAGGTTTTTGAAAGTAGGTCTTGACTCAAATTAAGATGGCACTCGAAAGTAAATTAACAATAACTACAACTACGTCGGTTTTAAGCATTGCTTACCTTCGGTGAACTCTGTCCTTCTTCCTTATAATAAACAAAGGTAACTCCATCCTCGCTGTACTCAAGGTCATATGAGGTTACCCACTGGTAAATTGCATTTCGTCCTTGTGTGGCTATCCCTGTCACAACACGGTATTTACCAAGATCCACCTGAAGCCATTGATATATATTATTTGTCCGTGCTGACCATGCCCCTGTTTTGACTCCCAAGGCCTTGAAGTTCAACCTTCCCTGAACTGCGGCATGATTCTCATTATATTCTGAAGAAGCAGTGATCTGAGCGTCTCTTATCTGTCTGTTCTCCATACCCATTGGTGCTGAACACGCTTTACACAAGAAAAAGAGAAATACTGATTGGACAAGATAAAATGACCAACATGATTAAAAGTTTCAAAAACATATCTCAAAAACTGCCCTTCAGTAAAAAATCAATACAGATCGCGGTAACTTAGATAAACTGTAATTTATCTGGCCTCTTTAAAACAAGTACATCTCTTAGTAAACTGCCATCATAAATTTAAAGTGACCTTCGGTAACCATGCAGCTATCGTAAAACCAGTGTAGCTCTCCATGAACTGCCTGCATAAAGTCAATGTAGCCTTATTGTTATCAGTTGCGAGTGAGTTGGCAGTCCTAGGATAATGTAAATAACGTACACTAATCGAAAACACGAGATATGTTTACGGACGTTGAAAGAGACCAAAGGCACAAAAATATAATGATGAAAAAGATGAAAAAAAGAAAAAGAACGCAGACATAGTAATGAGCTGGAAAATATGGCTAGAATGATTAAACTACGTCGGCATGTTTACACTTCGTTTTTAACAGTGTACAATAATATACTTAACCTTGCAATAAAATCGAGCAATTAACATGACGTTATGGAATGATTTGTCGTTTTAAAAACAGAGAGGTGTCTAAAACTTTAAGCATGTCAAAACAAGGGGGTAAATAACGCATGACCTTCGCTGTAGTTAAACAACATGAATTGTTAAAGAATAGTTGAAGGTATTGATTTGAAGGAATCAGATTAGACGCACTGAAGTTGTTTGATATTTGATGCGATGATCCAGGCTTAGCAATGACTTAGTCTTATCAGTTTCAGCTTCGTAGGTTTAAATAAGTGTCAATTATTGAGTTGCCAGTAATCGGATCCTTGTGTATGCGCAAAGATTTCTGGGATTGCCATTAGGCAAACATTTCAACTCGCTAGAGAGAAATGCATGGCGAAAGGTTATTTCGACGTCCAAAAAACAGTTTCTATGACAGATCATCGCTTTTTTGTCGTTTTTTTATCAGAATTGGGTGTGGGTAATATTGATACAAGAATAGCGCAGGGTTTTGTTCAATCAGTCGTGAAATATGTAGTAAAGTCTAACGATTAACTTTACTCCATGCGCAAGCGGTATAGTGGAATTCACATCGCGTGATGATCTCGGGCTGTTGAAATATTGGTAATAAATTGCTAAGAAAAAATCAATAAAGCTTTTTCACTTTCATTTACGTGTGTTAAGTCTACTTCTTGCCTTTTTTCTTGGCTTGGCAAAAAAAACCAACAAAAAAACAAAACAAAACGCTGCAACAACTACCTCGAGGTAACAGGAGATTGTAATGGTGTCTTTAAGCATTAATAAATATTATCGTTATACATTTAGTGATGTAAGACCTACATGGTCTCTTTTTTGTAATCAATGAGAGCGAACCAGCGTTAATAATCGGCTCAAAACTAAACCTTACCTATGCGACGATCAATAGGTACAAATGGGTCGCTTAAAGAGCGATGTACAACTGAATATACGTCCACATTTTCTGTCAAACAAGATCCTCTAAGGACAAGGACTTCGAGGAGAAAAGTGGCAGCTCAAAAACCTTTAGATTTATCTCGACAAATTATCATTTGACCTAAGGATCTCCTGTTGTTTTTATTGCTTATTTCATCCATCCAAAGAACAACAGCTTGGATAGTACAATTTCCATCTCCGCCGACGACGACTTCTCTCCTTTGAGGAATTATATTTCAGGCATCGTAGTTTGTTTATTTAATACGTTAAAAAGTATGAAAACAGGCTTTACGCACAAAAATATAACTTAGAAGACTTAATTGAGTTATTTCCCTGCGATTCATGTCTAATTTTGTAATAATTATGTCGAGACCAATACGCGATGACGATCTCGCGAGGAGAGAACTTAATCGGTATATTTTAAAACATATTTCGTGGTAATGTCAACAAAAACTTGCACCTCCTCCATATCAACATTATCTTAATCCACTTGTGATAAAACTGCGGCGAAAAAGCGTTGATTTCTCTCCAAAATCATTTTTTGGGACGTCGAACCAACTTTTCACCATATATTTCTCTCTAGCGAGTTGAAATGTTTGCCCCGTGGCGATCTCAGAAATCTTTTCGTAAACACAAGGACACGACTACTGGAAACTCTTTCAATAAAATCATAAACTGCAAGGCAGCAGAGAATATCATTACCCTCTCTAAAGAGTTATAGCTTTCTAATTTTGCATTTAAGTGAATTTTTAAAATGAATTTGTCTTGTTGTAAAACCATCCCTCTCGGAAAATTAGAAAAAGCCTGTCTATTCCCTCGTATCTTTGCCAGAAGATATATAAGTCTGTCGACTGAAATTGGTCTCCATGCCACACTGCTTCGAAAACTTTGGATTTCACAAGTTGTTGATTTGATGAAGCTAGGATAATAGACCTTTTGCAACGAATCTAAAGAAATCAACGATATCACTTACAAGATGAGGACGAGCACACAGGCGTAGCAAGGAATAACAGAAGCAGCATACTCACTAGCTTGGACGAATGAGCCTAAAATAGGTGAGAAAATATATCACTTTGGGAAAATGAGTTAGCAACTGGTGTTCTCTACAAAGCAAAGTGAAAAAGTTACAATACCATTTGAACTGCCATGTTGTAGAAAGCTCAGTTTTCCTGATATTTCCTGATGGAATACTCTACCGCGCTTGCTTGCTTTGAAGTGATTCTTTTAGCTTCGGTTGGTATCACTTTATTCTACCAAAGGCCACCGCCTATGCTGAAAGGAACCTGAAATCGTGATAATGAACTTCGTATCAAAAATACCTGGGATGTTTACAATGAATGAAATATTAGAAGATCAAAAGAAGTCTTAACTTTTTATTGCAATTATTTTTACAGCGGGGTTGCCAGTTGTCATGCTCAGGAAGCAAGTTTTGCAGAGTTGTTTGAAGTTCTCTTGAGTCCTTCGTGATAATCGCAGTTTTCTTTGATCTCTCGCAGTGATTTTCTTTTCCCAATCGGCTTTTATGACAAAAAATTTCATTAAAACAAGACTGTGGTCAAAAGAAACTTGTGTGACACTCACCTTGCTGTTTGCACTTGCTAGATGTTATCTGATATCATTGGAGACAAATCTTTCCTAGGTGTCGCTGGACGGAGAGAAGCTCTGATTCATTTGTTGCATTGCGATCCAACTGACCTGGCATAACATAAATAAGATAATGAAGTGATACTTATACAAATGAATAAATTTATGAATAAATGAAGTCAATTTTCAAAAACCAGGCCAGCAAAATCATTCCAGCTAGCCGATTTGTTGAAAGTGTCAATTGGGTGGAATATCAAAAAGATGTGTTGTTATTGTCTGCCCTCCAAAGCTCTCCATGAAGAGCATAGAAATAAGGTGATGTACTGTTCAGAACTAAGAACACGTATGAAGAGAGAATTATCGTGCCTGTTTTCGGCCCGTATGCCCGTTACAATTTTGATCCATTCAAATTGCTCGATCGTAGAAATATTGTAAAGAACTGAACCACTAGATCACTATCTCCCATCACCATTTAGTTGGACTGGAGAGATGAACGTGAAAATAATACAATTTCTTTTAGCCGCTTTAAATTGAGTTCCTGATTAATGAGGTTTAATTGTTGTGTTGCAGTGTTGCATTGCGATCCAACTGACCTCGCATAACATAAATAAGATAATGAAGTGATACTTATACAAATGAATAAATTTATGAATAAATGAAGTTGAATTTCAAACAATCATTCCAGCTATCCGATTTGGTGAAAGTGTCAATTGGGTGGCATTTCAAAAAGATGTGTCGTTATTATCTGCATTCCAAAGCTCTGCCCGTTACAATTTTGAGTCATTCAAATTGCTCGATATTGTAAAGAATTGAACCGCTAGATCACTACCTCCCACCGACTGGAGAGTTAGACGTGGAAATCATTCAATTTCTTTTAGCCGCCATATATCGAGTTCCTGCATGATGAATGAGGTTTAAAGCTGTTTATTTTCCCTGTGACTATTTATAGCTTCTGATGGACTTTCATCATTCTTGCACACGCTCAAAAGATCTTACTGATTATGCCTTGCTTTTTGACTGTTTTACCTCTCGAGAAGTTTAATATTCGTTGGTAATATTTCTTTTGCTTAGGGTTAGGATTTGGTTTTGTTTCCAGAGACATCTTCCTTGATCGCAAGGGTCACACGGCACAGTTTTTGAGCCACGTTAAAAGAGGAGATTAGAGCAAATATGAGAGTAAATTACAGTTGTGCGTCTATGGTACGGTGATGAGAAATTTAAGACAGCACTTGATTACTAATTGCCCTTACGGTTTATCCAATTTTACACAACTCGACGAAAGCCACGAATCATTCCGTTAATTTCTGAAATACCAGCGCCAAAAACAAATATGAAAGGTGTTTTGATTGGTAGCTCAATAAATTATTACTTTGAGTCTAAGGCGACTAGAAATGGGTAAAATAGTTTTTTCATTACTTAGGGTTTATCATTGCAATACAAAATTAAACCGCTTCAGTCCAACGCCATTCATGATATGGCGTAGAAACAAGACATTAACCAAAGCAGTTGACCTCTTAATCTTAAATCTATCCCTGTGGCGAAAAAAAATATATTACAATAACGTAATCAGTCGAAAAGATATTTTTGTCAGTAATGTTTTCGAATCCCCACCTGTTTAAAATATCTTCACTATGCGTGTTGCTGTTTCTCTGAATTTATTTCGACACAAAAAAAGCCACATAGGCTGAACTGAAAATGATTGGCTGCTGCATTGTAACTTGCTGACTTCAAAATCAAAGGACTATTTTTTTCAGCTCTGCTCAAGACTGCAGCGTCACGCAAGGTGTGATTTCAGATCTAAGAAAATTGGTCGAGGACTATGGATTGCGGAACAAAGGAGTGCGATAGAATTGGAAATATATTAACTGACAAAATATTTCATTTATGAAACACAGTAAACATGTTAAAGTACCTGCCTCACCCCTCCCTTGTAAGAAAGGAAAATGTTCATTATCAAGTGAGGTACCTGGAAAACAATTCAATGCAACGACTGTATTGTTTGAATATCTCATTGCGAAAGTTGAATATGCCTTTTTCAGATGATTATTTCCAGTTTTTTTTTACCTTGAGGACAAGTAGGATTCATGCAGTTGACAATCAATTTCGAAGGAACCTAAGTGCTCTTCGAATAACTCATCTTATGGAACTGTTTCGAGTAGACACAAGAAATAACAAAATATAAATAAATAAATAAATAAATGACTTCCAACCAAAAACTACAAGCTCATTGAGTCAAGGATAATAAATATAATAGCTGGATAGAAGCAAGTAAACAGCCAAGAAAACAAAACATGAACCATGCACAACGAACGAACAGAAACCGAAACAGAAATGATGAAATTCCGATAAACCCTCACCAATGCTTCTTCATCGGATCAGTTTTTCAGAACATCTCGGTTTATAACTTAGTTAAATAAGGAATAAATCCACGATACCTTGTCCAATCAGTAGAACGTAAGAGTTATAGCAATTTCAAACATCAAGCCAGGTTAAAGTATATTTGTCTAATTTTGGCGAAAAAAATCTCCCATAAAAATGGGACATGAAAAGTATCTTTTCTCTTTTTTTCTGCAACCTTGCCTTTTCTTATTCAACATCATGGACTTCCTTTCCCATTGTTTGTTTGTTCGCTTCTTTCTCTTTAAGTTCCATATCATTTTATAACTCTTCAATCCCCACTCCCAACTCCTCACTCTACAATCATCAACGTAGCCTCTTTTGCAACAGATCTGCAATACCGGCATACAGTATTAACTAAACTGCGGTGTTGAGCAAAGTTTCGAGTGACATGACGTACTGGCTGCACCGCAGATTATCACAACTGCCAACTGTTTTGCTGACGGCTGAAGAATTCGATCATTCTCAAGTTACACTCACTTGCCTTAGTGAAGGAACTTCAATCGAATCTTGTTCAAAACGTATTTCTCCTCTAATTTTTTCTTAGTCATGTCGGGGATCATAACAACAGTTTGTAAAGCGACTTTTAATCCCGTGATCGCAACAGCAGTTTTGGTGAAACCGTTGGATGGCTTGTGAATGCAGGCAGAGATAAAGCTGCCGAAAAGCTTCAAGATGGCGATGTTGCAGATGAAGAATTTCGTCGCATCATTATGAGTGAAATCTACGAAATGAAGCTCAAGCTAGACGGGGAATCAAAGAAAGATTTGTCAGCAAGTATCAGCCACTTTGAAGAAGGAATCGAGTTGTTGTATGAAGTACTTAAAGAAATCAGGCCAAGAAGGGATACTGGCGCTGATGCAGCACAAGCGGCGTGTGCGGAAGCTGTGTCGCTCACTGAAGGAATGCGAAACTTGGAGCTTACTGAATCTACCACAAGAAAGCTTGCCAATGCAAAGGATAGATTCAAAATTGCTCGTGAAAAAGCAACAGATGCCTTTTCAAATGAAGCGCTATCAACGTTCGACCGCATCTTAGCAATGCAGTACCGAGTGATAGCAACGGTATTAGAGACAGTAGACCACCCCACGGATGCTCTAACATCATGTAAACGCTGTATTGACGAGCTAAATGGTCTGCCAGTGGTTCAGCAAAGTCTTAAAGTACAACTCAAGACAGGAATCAGTAATGTAAAGGGTTGGTTTAGCCAAAAAGAACGACAGAAACTCATTTCCGGTGTTTGTCTTGTAAATCGTGTGGCTTACGATGTCACACGAACAATATCCGTTAAAGAACCATTGCCGCAGTGGCCTATGGTTGATACAGGACAGGAGAAAGTTGATTTGCTGCGAGACGAAAGAGTTACAAGAGCACTATGTAAACAGGGCATGGAGCACTGTAGTTTATCATGGATACTTGGTCAGGATGGTGTAAAGGTGGACAGTATAAATGATCCATGCAATATCGCTACCGACTCAAGCGGGCAATATATTGTAGCAGACAGTGACTTGATAATAAAGGTGTTTGACAACAATGGCAAGTTTGTGAAATCTTTTAGACTTCCTCCTCTTATCGATGACAATGGTACAGAACTATCGATTGATAGCTGGCCGGTTCATCTGGCCACAGACATGAACGACGACATTTATGCCCTGGTTAAAGAAAAGAATCGTAAAGACTCACACTGGATTTTTAAGTTTAACAAAACCGTTGAGAAGCATCTAAGGTTTCGTGTCAGGGAAATGGGCTTCGACTTCTACCTGTGTAAACTGTCAGTCAGTGATAGTGGTAAAGTGCTGGTACTGAAGGGTGACTGGAGAAAGGAATATTACATTGTGGATGTTTATGAGACCGATGGTCGCTTCGTTTGCAGTTTTGGAGAACAAATCTTGAGGAGCCCGAGGGACATCACTGTTACTGCAAGTGATGGCAGAGTTATGGTGGTGGAGCTATTTCCTTCCCGCTGTGTTCACATATTCAGCGAAAACGGTGACCATCTGGGCAAGTTTGATCTCCAAGATTCTTTACACCATCCAAATAT